TTTGAGGGATCAACAGCTTTTTTTTGATTCTCCTGACTTTGTGCTTGGGACCTCTGTACTTGGGATGAATGAAGGTTTCCTTTATGTTGGCCATAAACTGCCGGAACTTTGACTTTGGTGGTAAGTTGAACTGGGGGTGGCTTACATTGATACTGAAATGAAAATCAGTTTCAACGGATCTGTGGTTGGTTGGGACGAACATCATCTTGACTTTTTAGTTAATCCTGGCTTCTGACTCTCACGAAGTTAGAAGGTTAGAGCTGTGAAGCGTAAGTGGGATATATTTCGGGGTTCTTTCTTAAAGGTTTTAATTCAAACTGTTTAAGAACAAACTTGGAAATAAAAGAGTGGGAAGAAGAGAAATTCTACTGATGAGACAATCACTCTTTATATACTCGTGCTGATCCACAAACAAGATAACCACGCGAGCACACAAAGACGCTGGCACTTTTTTGCAACCACTCAGCTGAGCGCGAGTTTTACTTACTTGGCTTGACATGAAAAATATAGTCATAGTCTTGAGTGCGACATTTACTTATCCAGGTAGACTTACACAATATAATTAGAGGTGAATTACCAAGTGGGATTCAAATATAGAAGATAAAAGGTGAAAAGCTATTCAGAAAATTTTTCTGTGATACTATTAGCAGAAACCGAGGTTTCTTTCTCTTCATTGCTTATCAAATTCTCTTTGCAAGTGGGATAATCTTGCTTGAGCTCTTCTGGTGCACCTAGAACCTCTTCCGTTTCTTTCTCATGGGGACTTTTCGAGTGCAATAAACATAAATGTGCTCCTTCTGTTTCTACTTCATCAGATTCAGGAATCCTATCAGTTATGATTGCATCCTTTTCAGACTTTTTGCTTGACTCATGAACTTCTTTAGCAATTTCATGTGGTTCGTTGAGTTTTTCATTGGGGACATTCACTTCGCTTGAAGAATTTTGAGATTCTAAGGTCCTTTCATTTATTTCTGTAACCATCAGCAAGCTAGAGGCTTTGGATACACGAAGAGTTTCGACAGGGGTAATCCTTTTAAGTTCAACAGACCACAAGTTATGCTCGACTATCTTAAACTTAGATTCCAGCCGTATACTCAAAGGTGTAGATAAGATTTTAGGCAATTTCTTTCCCCTAGGGCCTTTGGCTCTTCTGGTTGAAACCTTCTGAGCTTCAGATCCATACTCATTTACCTCATGAGGGTCTTCTAGTATCTTAGCTTCAATAGTGTCTCGCTGGTGGTCAATAGGGAGTGTGTCCTTGCTGGGATCTACCATCCCTGGCAACGCAAATCCTTTCCCAACAATTCCTTGTAAGTTCTGGGCGAACTTTATATGTGAATTAGACAACTGTCCACGAGAAACGGAGCCCGAATTGGAATCAAGGGCTCCAATTGAAGGCGCTTTATTGAGCATTTCCTGAAATGCAGCTATCTTGGATGATAATTTTTTTGGCTTTGGGGGAGGAGCCTTTCTCTCATTTATTGGACCTTCTGATGAAGACGAAACCACTGAGGTCGCGTCTGAAGATGATTTTACCTTCGGTTTTGGTCGTACAGGGATAATAGGTTTGACTTGCACCAAATGGACAGAGTCAGCGGCTGTAACTACCTCTTTTGTTTCAGAACTTGCTTTAGATATGGGTTGTTCATTCGCTGCTTCATGGTTTTCATCTTCAGGAGGGTGGTCTAGGGGTGTTTCAAGGGATTTGGAATCTTTCAGCGTTTCTACACTTACATTTGAAGAGCTATCATCTATGCTGATATGGCCCGAAGATGCAAGGGATTGAACTTCTTTAGAATCAGTCTGGTTCTCTTTCTTTTTCATTGGTCTTATCGGGATAATTGGCATTATATCCCCATCAGTTTCTTTGGAACTTTCTTTAGCACTCAAGGAATCGTCAAGAGCAGGTAAAGCAAATTTAGCAGGTCGCTTTGGAATTATAGGCATGACGTTCGAAGCAATGATAGACTCTTTAGTCATGTTTTCTGGGGCATGACTTTCGTTCAGTTCAAGCTGTTCTTCTTTCTCTTGCAGAACAGTCTCTTGATCATCATCAAAGCTTGACGTATCAGTGCCTACTAAATTGTCAACATCAGAGGGCATATCATCCTTAAAGCTGATCTTAGTGTTGGAATTGCCAGGCGTCTTATCTCCATCACCATCATTATCATCATTATCAACCTCTTCAATCTCATTGACATCGCCTTCAGCATTCGCTACCGAGTTCAATTGCCCTTCTTCATGAGACGTAGACCTCTGTGAGACTAGGGGAAATGAATTTGCCGAGTCAGCATTGATAGGATCCGGTTTGATGGGCCTCTTGGGAACTCTCGGAGTGGATGGTGACTCGGAATCTTTGCTAGATCCTTCAATAGAAACTAACGTATCAGATTCCACATATTCCTCCAAGGAATTTGATTCAATCAAAGCACTTTTGTTGGGTCTCTTTGGTACAATTGGTGTATTTGATTCCATTGTTTGTTAAAAAGAAATGAAATTGGGGATTTTACATCAACACCGCGACACCTTGCAATGAAGTCTTTCTAGTATCTCTGCACAACAACTTATATATTATTAATACTGAATGAGCTGAGATCTAACAAAAACACATATAGAGATTACCCAAAAACATAAGACCCACCCCCCTAGAGGTAGCCCTATGTCTAAGAGTAGTTTAATCTAAAGATATCGTTAAAAACATAGTATGAGCTTCCATCTGGGATCAAATGAAATACTTGAGAGTAACGCTGAGCGTTTTGTTCTTCATCAATCAACAACTCCCCGGTGACCATCACCAAAATATCACCATTAGGAGAAGCTGGTTGAGCATCTAAGGTAGAAACTCTATGGCTCACTTTCAGGAATGGTAAAGATACCAACTTTTCAACAATATCTTTAGCACCTTGTAATTGAGAGGTTTCGAAAGTCAACATTGATTGATCTCTGTACAAGTTACCCAATTGTGTTCTATCAGAATCGAATTGCTGATAGTAGAAGTTACAGAATTCAGTTGCGACGGTGTTGAAATCAACTAATATACGAGGTTAGTAAGGTGACTCATGCGGGGAATATTCGATCAAACAGCAAAAGTAAGATGGAGTTCATAAGCTGATCCCAGTGTGGAATGGTTTGGGACACGGCTATAATCAGTGTCATTTATCATTTCACAAATATACGTAGGAAGTAACATTTTGGGGGATTTGCTGGAATTTCGATGCAGTCTAGACATTATTGGCATTTAGTTTAGCAGATATTAAACCCTCCTTGTATACTTAGTTTGAATTTCCAGTTCACGGTACATACCAGACATTATTCCTTGTTCGATCCTTTTGTTTCTGTATCTAAATTTTTCATTCACTCAGAGACAGGTGCGAAGTTGATGTAGATGGTAGGGATAAAAGTTACGCAAACTATATAGCAAACCGGTTTGAAAAGTACGCGCATGGTTGGGGAACCATCTTATTCATTTCAAAAGTTACTAGTCTTGCATTATAGATTCAAACAAATAGTCCATTTATAGAGTCACATGAATTGAGAATAGTCTCTTAATATACCCTTCATGTGCGTATTAGTGATTTTTCCTCTTCTGGTTTTCTTCTGTTTCTTTTCCTCCTTTTTGGGTTTACGTTTTATGATATTAGGATCAGCGCCTGTCGGTTTCAATCCTTGATCTACCAAGTCTTGATACAAGTCATCAGGATTAGGAATTTTCGCCCTTGTCCACATGTATTTGAAATCCTCGTCAATAGTATTCAAATTCCCTCCGAAATTGGCCCAAACTAGTCTAGGGGCGTTCTCTTTCTTAGTTCTCAATACCAATATCTTGTTTTCTGCTTCAAGTTCATTGATAGACTGTAAGTAGTTAGCCCAACCGTCCTTTAATTCTTTAACTGGAATCCCTTTAAATGTGGGCTGCACTCTTAGAAAGTTTAACAAGTCCTCAGAAGAACGAATGTTGTGCAAACTGACGTACTCAAATGTATCACTTTTATGATCATACTTTAGTCTATCGATTTCTTTCAATAATGGCAATAATGTTTGAGTAATGTCGAATGATAGATATTCTTGCAAATCTTTGACTTTAATAGGTTTATCATTTTGCTTGATGTGTTCTACCGCCAAATGTAACTGAGTAGACAAATGTGATCCTGGCATATTTCTCAAAGCAGTTCTTTGTCTTTTGATGGCCTCATTGACTGTGTCAGGAGGTCTCTTGTTTGAGGAAGCAGTAGTCACGTCTCTGGCTTCTCTGACCGGCACTTCGTTGGAGACGGGATTTAGATCACTAGCCTTATTAATAGCCTGGCGTGGCGTTGGAACATAAGGTCCGCTTCTGATCTTGTTCTTGAAAGCTGACAATTGGGAGCTCAAGTCACTCATATCTAAACACCACCCCAATTATGTATTGACGCAATAGATGAAAATAGTTCCGCGACTTTACAGATTTAAAATTTTCAAAATTTTTTTTTCAATACGGATGCTTCGACTTGTGGTTTTTTAACACAGCATTAACTTTTGTAGCTAAGAAGATCACAAGCCGCGTATCCCATAAGGATAACTCAGTTTTAAAACCATCGCTTTTAAGGTCGCTAGTCTTTTGAGATTTTAGCTGGCCCATGAAATGGTGATGACCTGATAACTGATACATTTCACATTTTATCTCCTGAATGACATAAAATGTTTATGGAAGCTGGGTAATAATACAAATCTATAAATCTATGGCCATAAAACACAGGTGATTAGGACTTAAAGTACACTAAACCAGATGATAATGTTAATCCATTGGATATTATCACTTGGAGTAGCATGTAAGAAAAGAATTGAAGAATTCAAGTTTCAGTAACTCCTAGTACTGTTTTAATGTTAAACATTCTGACTTCCAGAGTGCAGACTTGTTAAGAAAGATAGTTTTCTGCCATTCTACCTCTTCTTATTCTATCCTCTCTTAATCTCAGCTCCCAGACGTTTAATAATTCGTCTTTCAAGATTCTGATTAGGATATCGAAACTTTCTTGTTTGTTCAAGTCAATTTTTCTGGCCCACACTAGATCTTTGTACATACCCGAGTTGGTTAAATCGATTACCAAGTTTCTAGGCACAAATTCCATTTCGAGGTCAGTCAAGTAATTGGGTCTCAAGAATTTTGAGAAGAAATTTTGGATGAGTTTCTTATTGAGCCAAATCATGGAACTAAGATTCAAGTACTTGAAGTTAATATTGAATTTGTGACACTTGATAAGCAAATTTAAGATATCAAATTCGTTCAACTTAACCAAATAGTTTTGATTCATTGACTTTAAGTTCAAGTCACTTAAGTACAATTTTCCATCATTCTTGTTCAAATAGTTCAGGTTAGGCATTGGAGTAAGTAGAGAGTTATACTTCCAAACCGGTTTTTGGGACTTATTGATGGATTTTAACTTAGATCTTGATCTGGAAGACGAACTTGAAATCATTGACATGTTGTCAACATCATATCTTTGATTGAGATTCTCCAACAAATCCATGTTGTAAATTGAGTTGGAGTCATCTAAATCATTTATGTGCATAAGTAGACTGGAAGGATAATTATGAATGACATCAAACGTGTGAAACTTGTAGATAAAATTAGGATTGATTTCATAATCGACAGATAATTGCAAATTACCTAGGTTAATGGAAGTCAAGTTTGGACACATGTTAAGCAAGTGTAAGACGTAACCAACTGGCAAGTCCTTGGTATTGGAATAGTTTATCAAAAACTTGTTTATAGAAGGATGTATTTTCAAAGATCCTTGGGCATGAGTGCTGGCTTGATGGTGGATAGAATGAATACCATTTAAATGAACATGTCCGCCGAGTTTATTCCTCTTGGACTTTAAGAATGAAAATTTCAACTTCTTCTTATTATTGGAGTTCAAGGACTTGTTTGAGTTAAAACTGGGCGAATTGGACAGAATCCTTGTTAATCCTAAACCACTGGAGTACAATGGGTTTCTCAAGAACTTCCAATCTCTCCAGCCAGCCTTGACTTTGTCATTATCGGCAAATACTAGCTCACCTTCCTCATCATTACTATCTGAACTGATTGAAGTTTGGTTTGTTAACGCATTCGAGTCATCCTGTACATCATAATCGCAAGGCTTCAACCCCGACAAGTCAATGGTTTCCACTAGGTTACCCAATTTAGAGTTGATTCTCAAAATGGTTATGAATTGAGCAAATCTAAACGAAGAGTCAAACACCAAGTTCTTGTACAAAAACTTTTTAGAAAGCTTATAGAAGTCCTTGTTTACTACAATAGTGCTTTGAAGGTCTTTCTTCGATAAGAATGAGAAAACATGGAACTGGATTTCAATTGGAAGCGATTTAAATGATAACAGTTCCTTCACACATAACAAAGGGGAACAGCCGGAGCCAGGAGTATTGACATTGGGGGCCAAACTTGAGGAGTTCAAGAAACTAGGATTGGATATCTTAAGAGATATCTTTCTATTGACATCATTTAGTAAACTCTTGTACTTCATTTTGAATGTAGGCTTCTGCTGGGAGTTTCCTTGATTGCCCTCATTTCTCATGAAGATGAGTTTCAAGTTATTCAACTCATTCTGGCTGATGGGAATAAGGGAGTGTAGCTGATAATCATATTTGGCATTGGGATTGAGGAGGGATCTGTAAGGAGGTAAGTGGCGGTGATAATCTAGTTGATTCATCAAAAAAATACGTGTTTGGGGAAAACAAGTCACTGAATTGAGGACAAACGCCTTAAGTTAAATGCACAATTGGTAGGGCAATACTGTGGAGTGATGAAGTAGAGGAGTGTGGCAAACTGAGGAAGTAAATGTGACTGGTTTCAAATGATAACAGTTCACAAAATAGTATACAATAAAACAATTAGTGAATAGGGGTTGTTTGCAAACGGCTCAATATGAGATAGGATGATCTGTTACCAGGGGCGTGCGAGCTCAACTGTTGCTGCGGCATTGGCTGAAATATGGGGAGGATGGTAGCGGGGGCGGGGGTGCCGACCGGTGAGACCAACCCCTCACACGACTAAATCGCCTCACTTCAGAGACAAGAGGACAGAAACACATGAATACTGATTAAAACTACGTCCATTTGTAGACGTTCCTACGAAGGGTGAGTAGCAGAGGAGACTTCGTCATACATAGAAAAAAATTTCGGAATAAGGCGGTATCTATGGTGGAGACTATGAGAAGTATTGAACAAGGAAATGCTGGCCCGGCGGACCACGTGACCGCCCCCACTTTTGCCGTGGGGGGTTCAACCTTCCACTCTGTAAATGTCATTCCTCGTCTGCCAATGCCGAAGTTCAAGACATTTCGTCTTCTATCATGGTGAATGAAAGTGGTCATGCTGGTGAGAATTGGTGAAGAATATTAGTGGTGTGTGTCAATCTGTGAGTGAAAAGGTTGAAGCGTTGGTCTCTGAAGTTGCGAAAAAGGATTGTAACCTAATTTTACCACCGAAAAAGCCAAGACCGGCAGGTATTCGGCCCGTCCTACCCGGCCCGATAAAAGCCATCGTTATTCTTGACCCAAAGTCAAAATGAATCAAAAAGCGTCACCTACATAAACCCTCTCCGCGTAAATAACTACTAAAATAAATACAGGAAACAAAGGAAACCACGCAAAAAAAAAACTAGGAGTTATTTAAGCACGGCACTACCAACAAGGTTTGTGAGAGACAAGAGTGTTTGCCGACCGTAATCATCTATTGGAACAAGAATAAATAAGCAGTTTACTACTTGAAGCAGTGTTACTACTACGTTTGACTCTGTCTTTAGGAAGCACTCACGATAAACAAATTGTACGTAAAGTCAGGACGGACGGCTGTACTACGTGGTGGTGCACAGATGAGAGCCAATAACATTTTTCTGCGGCGAAAACGATCTATTTTTGGATGCACCTGCGCCATAGTTTTGTAACCTCCATGCGAAGACCTCTTGGATCAGAGCCTAAGAATAGGAGGGTGAGGGATTATTCATGGTAGCCATTTTAGTTAGCCGCTGGTAGGCTAGATCCGCTACCAAGGCTTCCCTCCCACATCCGTCTGACATGCACACCAAAATGGCTCATCTATCACACCCAAAAGTCAAATATTCAATTGTCACAGAAAAGCCAAAAGCCAAAAGCCAACGGTATGTGGTAATGGTGGAACCTATGATTCCTTCATGGCAACGGTTGGTAACTGAATATATGTGTGGAAGTTGAAGCCGACCAGTGTATGAACGCATCTGCAAGCTCAGCTAAAAATGGCAGCCATGTGCGAGCATTTTCCTGGAACCAGGACCAGAAAATACAAACTTTAAATCGCCGTTAACGCTTCACGTATTCCATGTTATCATAAATTAAAAAAAACACACCAGGTTTCCGTAGCAAAAAAATGCTAACTGATATTATAAAATATTCTTCGTCCACGATACAGCCCCCATTAAGAGCTTATTCATATGACATTTATTAATCGTTTGCCGGGTTTGTAAACAGGTTGACAGATGTACGACTGGCAGTAATAAGAGTTAGCTGATGAGATAGATAAAGTAGTTAAAGTTGGACAATAGTGAGAAAGGCCAGATATAATTTGAGTTCTTAGATTAGAAGGTGTGTCAATGAAAGCTTAGCGAGCAGTCAGGAGCCTGTTTAGCTGCCTAGAGGTAGTTTTGCAACCAGGCAATCAAATATATCAATGAATTCCGACTGCTTGCGTAAAAATTGTATGATGTACATATACGTAAAGCTTTGGCGGCTTAGGAATGTAGTTGCGGATAGTGGTTTAGGGGCAAAATGCTGGGCCTAAATTGGCATTGTCCCACCAAAAATAGATTATTAAAAATAAAAACCTATGGGATTTGACAGTTCGCAGGAGTTAATCACAATGGTTATTGACCAATAGAGGCAATTGTGCGTTCGCGCAAATTGATTTTTTTGTCGAGTGCTTCTCGTGCATGCATGTATTATGCGCCATGCATGGTGAGGGCCGCCCCTCCAAACGTCTTTTGCTTAACTATATGCACGAAGCAAACAACTGTCGGCCGAGACCTCATGGATTAGAAGTTGTATTAAGCAATCTAGAAATTCTTTCTAGAACTGAAATCCCTTAAATCAACTTCAAATTTGTCAAAAAATTGAACCCTTGAGAAATGACTCCTTTTATCAGCTCAAGTACCTTCGAACTGTTTTAATGCTTGTGCATTCTTGAGACATTGTTTGTTGCAGTCTGGAAGGGTGACATAGTGCATTAAGTCCTCCTTTGTTTATGTATCTCAAGCATTTACGGACGCAAAAAGTTGTTATAAACAGTACCGATTTGCACATATACGGTAATAAGATAGCCTGTATGCAAACAACAGAAGGCAAGGGTGATATAACCTCTTGGCATTTATTGTAGGGTTCTAGAATAACCCTACATATTCCTGCATTCGCAGAAGCGCATTACTCCAATTTTTTGTGTGTAGGGATATTTTTAGATCTGCCTGGGTCATCAGCCCATAGAAAATATTATCTGGTTCTCGGGAAACAAGCGCGCTTCAACGGATACGAACCAAGGAAATAACTCAGGTTTGTACACAAAAATCGGCTTTCGGGATAGAGGGATTTCAAAGAATTATTGGCTATTCTATAATTAGCTGACCCCCTACTATAGCCTCCCACCCCTCTATAACAAGTGGCTACGGCAAGAGCGGTAGAGCTCTTTTAGGACCCTGAAATCAAAAATTAACCTTAATTTCAACACAACCTGCACTTACGGCTGTAAGGCATTGGAACCACTCTGTTTTATATGCAGCCTGCAAGCAAACTTTATGCATATGAAATAAAATCCGGCTGTGAGGCTCTCATTAATTTTCTTTTTTGACATATGACGCCCATATTCTTTGATTTTTTACTCTGAAACCTTTTTATGCATATATAAACGCTCTTGCCGCTCGTCTTCAAGTTTTTTTTCAAGTATTTGTCTATCATATCAGTCGGAGGCAAATTAAGGTCCTCTAAGTTTGGTCTAAATAAGTTAAGGTTTCTGAAACCAGTCAATTATAAACTACACACGTACACCCAAACATACATATATCCTAAGCTCCACATTTTATTTGCGACCAACTGAGCACAATGAGCAGTACAAAATTATCCCCTTCATACTTTGGATACGTGGGATCTACAAAGGACGCCTTGTTGATCATTCAGGCCACACTTAACCGTCAACTTGGATTGATTCCCAGGCGGCCACATGAACGGGAGCGGTCAGATTTGATTCGTAGTGGAAACGTCTTCATCTTTATTGAAGAGCACAGTGGAATCAAGCGGTGGACCGACGGTATTAGCTGGTCCCCCAGCCGGATTCTTGGTCGCTTTCTCGTGTACCGGGAATTGGACAAAGATAGCTTGCAAGATGATAAGAAGTTTAAGAATAGGAAACGTAAACTGAGTTTAACCAGTGAAGACATCGATAGCATAAGTCCATTGGTGGGAAGCCAGCACGGATTCAAGGATCATGGACTTATCAAGAAGACTTTGAGTATCAATACTACCCTCAAAGAGCTCAACCTAAGTCATGATAATACCACTAAACAAACCATCCATTTGATCAGCTACTACTCTGCTACAGATGTGACAAGTAGGAAGCTCTTGAGGCCCTCAGAGAGTGACTTGAAGAACGTGCATATCAATGGTCACCTCTGGTCTGCCATAAAGGAGAGTAATCTTGGAGGAAAGATCACCATTGAAGATGAAGCCCATTACTTTTTGGACAACAACTATCAGCTCCTGAATATGTCGATGCCAATGGGTACTAATGCAACCAATAACAACAAGTATTCGGCACCTCCCCCACCTCCACCTCCAGTGTACTACCAAAAGAACAACTTTATGTTATCGGTGCCATCCAACTACGACTACTATGGCAGTAATACTCCTGTTACGAATAGCTCGGTGTCAGGAGGAAGCTCCACAAGCAGCACCAGCAGTGCTGCCACTTCACAGGGTATTTCCGAACATGCTAAATTCGACTCTTCAAACGTTTATGCCAGCCCGTATCAGGGATCAGCTTTGCCTATTACAGGATCCAACTTTAGCTTACTGTCGAACTTGAACTTCTTTTACCACGACATACAGCTGCATCATGGTGCCCACGCTCCGCAGACACTGCAGGGTCACTCCCAACTGCAATCGCACTCACACCACCAACCGCATTACGAACACAACCACCTCCATAACCATAACCAGCAGCCATTTCCACAGCTGCAATATTACCCACTTCCTCAAGGCTTTGGTGCCGATACCGGTGCCAAACGCTTGAAGATGTACGAAAACGACTTGCACCCACACCATGACGAACACTACGTATACAACACGTGAAACCAAATTTGTAAAATAGCTGTATAATTAATGAACACTGATTAACGAGTTTACCCAAAGATACAATGAATTTCAATTGGCGCATATGCAACATGCAACATGTAGCACGGAGATTGACCACATTTATAATTGAATTGCGCTAGTTGCATGTGTGGTGTACATGTGTACATGCGTACATGCAGGTCGACCCTTAACCCTACAAACCTGCAATTGCACCTGCGCGGGTAATCAAGGCGTCTTTGTATGGCTTGACGCCTCTAAGCAACCCCACATAAGTGTATAATTAAGTGAAGATGGGGTTTTGTGTTGGGTACTCGGCTCCTATCTGAGCCATCATATAAGCTTTAACATAATGTCTATCTAAGGTATATTAAAGTTTTATGCGTCACCGGATTTGTTCGTTATAGTCCGTGCTGACTGATCACCCCCCACGATGCGGCGCGGAAGGGCCCAATAGGCCATGTTTCTATCGTCAATATCAACGTCAAAGCACAAGGCACTCGTTTGTCCCTCCCACACCCAACACCACACCTGAATACAAAGTACACTGACGTACACGTATTCACATGCAAATGCAGACTTTCACCAGTTCGTAAAGCCCATTTGTTATTTTTCGCCTGCTCAGACCGTCGGTTAAAGAGGACAACACTCATGCAAGTGTTGCGACAAAGAGGAAAAAAACCTTCGCTATCGAGATTGAGAGTTAGACCAAGAGACAATATTTTCGCACTCGCTTATGTCCTACAATTTAGGAATAGCCGAGAAAATCACCACGCTTTGCTTGCAAAAAATAATATTGGTCATGTGGGTCACCTTTCTTATCACTCACTCTTATATGTACGAGTGCCGATCAGACTAATCGCCGTACAACGATGACGGAGAAGTGCGTGAATGAATTCTATTGTTTTGGGCGGTTTTAAATGCGCTATAATGTTATATATCATTTCAGATTCTGGTTTTCCACGCCAACAACGGAGCCAAATCTTCAACTGTACCGTTATTGTTGACAAAACTGTGCTTGACCAACTCATCAGTGGTGGCTCTGTATCTTACATCAACACACAAGCAGATACTCAAAAATTTTTTGATCAGGGTCGATAAGAACTCGGGATGTTTCAATTTGGGAGTTCCATTTGTTGCAATCAAGTAAAGAGCTTTCAATTGTTCTTCATTCAAGTATGGTGGCTCCCCTTCAATCATTTCAATAGTCATGATTCCTAGGGACCACACATCAACCTTGGCATCATACTCTTTTTGCTTAACCACTTCGGGAGCCATCCAGTATGGAGTTCCCACCATGGTTGCTCTCTTGTTACGCTGATCGGTCAACTTTGCGCAGAAGCCGAAGTCAGTGATCTTAACATTTCCCCTGGAGTCCAATAAGACGTTATCACTCTTGATATCTCTGTGAATAATATGTTTCTTGTGCAAGTGCTGCAATCCCAACAAAGTTTCTCGACAAATCACAGAAATTTGCAATTCTGTGAGTTTGTTTTCGTTGTTATCGATGATTTCTGTCAAAGATCCTCCTTCCATGTATTCCATGATAACCCATAAGTCATTGCTGGATCTCAAGTAGGAGTCCAAGAAGTTCACAATGTTTTTGTGTTGACTGTCCTTCATCACCAAAATTTCGTTGATAATCAATTCTTTCCGTGGTTGCACATTCAAGTCCATCTGCTTAATGGCCACTTTTTGCTGGTTGGATACCATCTCGGCCAAGTACACCGATCCAGAAGCTCCTTGTCCAGCTTTTTCAATGATTTTAAACAATGGGGTTGGATCGTTACTGTTCACCACCGTCTTCAACTTGGCGAGAATTTGCATCTCATTGAGCCTTTCCTTTTCACGCTTTAACTGCTTAGCAGATTTCTGCTTAGGCTTGATCTGAAGCGGTTTGGTTTCGTTACTTTCCAAAACAGTCTCTTGCTGAGCATGGGCCTTGTGAGGATAGTCTGAAGGTGCCGGCTTCTGCATTTGAGACTCTGGAGACACAGGTTTGGTGACATAGTGGCTTTTTTGTTGCAGCTGCTTTTGCAGAGGTTGTACTTGGACTTGAGGTGGAGGGTTCTTTACATTGAACTGGCTGGGTTTAGTGGCACCTGGTAAAGTAGGAGGCTGTTGCTTAGGAACAACCGAAGAGGAACCCAAAGGCAACTGGCCCACCTTCTCTCTAGGTGGAGGGGGGGCCCTTCTGATAGGAGCCAACGTAGGATTATTGATATTGGTGCTTGAGCCTGAATTGTTCAAAAGATTGTTCAAAGGTGAAACCGTAGCCGTAGTACCAGCACCACCTGCGGTCTCGTTACCCTTAGACAAATGGTACGGCACAGGTGGTTTGGGTGCCTGCCTGGTGGGCTTAAAGTTCTTCGGAGGTTGGGTCAAGTTAGCAAAGCTGCTAGTTCCAGGTCCCTTAAGGTGGTTTAGATACGGGGAATTGATCGGGGTATTTGCATTGGATCCATTTATGTCGGAATAGAACTCCAATACTTCGATGACAGCCACCGGGTCTTTTTTCCAATCTTCGTTGGTGATTTTGGAATGTTGTAACAAACTTTTCCATGTTTCTGGCAAACCTGTGAAGTTTCCCGAGGCTGGATCAAACCCAACGTGAACCTTATGTGTGAAGTTGATGGGGTTAGACACCTGGTTGGACGAGGACTCCCCAATATTCAAGCTGCCCAAATTTTCCACTACACTTGACGAGCTAGACGACGAGTTGACATTTATATAAGGGCATTTGGTGGAAAATGCATCCAACCAATCTAAGTAGTCGTTATTATGTTTGATGGAAATGAGGATAGGCTTGTTGTTATTATTCTTGGGAATGATTTCAAAACTGTAGGAGTTTTTGGTATAGCCGGTGTTATTCTTTAGGTTAATGGAATGAATTAAATTAAGAGGGAACGATAAATCTGGCAGCACATTAAGGGTGTTATCAGACTTATAAAAGTTCAACGTCTTATCATTGATAACCATAAATCGTTTATTCCACCGGAAAGACGTAAAGATCCCATCATCTTTAATATGAACCCATCCACTTTGTCTCTTACTACTGGAGTTGATGCTTAATTTAATTTCTCTTTCAGTGGCTTGAGAAGGCGGTGGAGGTGCTCTTCTATGATGCTTGATATCGGAGGTGTAGATTGTAGTCATTTGGGTTTAAGTAGGCGTAGTCAAACACGTAAAAAACACTGGGGAATGATTCGAATCACAGACGAATCAAATCTGAAACAGATTATTTTCAAACGACGGATAGCTCAACGGGCAAAGGCACAACGATCCAAGGAAAGGAAGATCGTAGGTATAAGGATTGTGCCTAGAGTTTGCAACAAATGGTAGGGATCTCTAAGTTGTTTATAGATCCTAATAAATTTACACAACTGCCAGACTGTTAGTCGCCTCAAGATAATTAAGCGAGAAAAATGGTCGTGCCGCGGCCACCACATTGGCTTCAAGGGGGAAAATCAATCAGTTGCACGCGTGCATGGCCTGCGAAGGTAAACGCGTAGAGTCTCGTGCTTAGTCAGAATGTGAGAATAAATAAACTACTGGTGAGATCGTAACCTAGGTGTATAATACAGGATATTGACATTAATGGGGGTTAGGGGTAAGGTTCTAGACACCAGATCTCAGGAACATGAGTTGGTCCGCCTTTTCCGACTAATTTTTGAGGGAGAACTTTAGTTCTCTGTTAACTTCGTATGGCTGAAAGACTCATTAGTAGATATACCGTCGTAGAGAAACAAACAACGGAAGATTGTTAGGGGTTGATTGTTCTTTGATATTTTTGTACATGTCAGCGGGAAGTTTTGGGCGGAAACATTAGAAATCGTTAAACATATCACCATATGGATCCGGCACTCCTGAAATCCCATAATCAAGATCTTTGTCTTCAGGGTACCGGTCAAACTGCGATGTGTCTCCCACACCACTAGTTATAGGAGGTTCATATGGGGTTTCTATGTCTCGACTCAATAGCCTTTCCCAAATCACTTCTTTGAACCATGGATGGTTTTTTACGTCATCACTACCGTTTTGGAGGTTTCCCAACCGTAACGTCAAGTCCTTCACAATCAACTTCTGGAGCAAATCCAAAATATCAGGTGGTAAATAGTCGGGATAGTTTATTGTGCCATTCAAAATGTTCTCGTAAGTTTTCATGGGCGTCGGGTCGTAAAAAGGGGTATACCCAGTTAACATCTCAAATATCAAGATCCCAAATGACCACCAGTCCACCGACTTATTGTAGGGCTTTGTTGCCACCACCTCGGGGGCTATATAGTCAGGAGTCCCACATAAGGTGTAGGTTACATCGATCACCTCTTTAGCAAAGCCAAAATCCGTTAGTTTAATATGTCCATTTTTATCCAAAAGAATGTTTTCTGGTTTCAAATCTCGATAGATGATATCCAAATCGTGTAGATACTCTATGGCCAAGAACACTTCAGCGGCATAGAACTTAGCCACTGGAATGGGGAACCTTTGGGACTTTCTCAATAGCGAAAACAACTCTCCTCCTTCGATATAATCCATAATCATGAACAAATTATGGCAGTCTTGGAAGGTGCCCCACATACGTATTATGAAGGGGTGCTGGGCCAACTTCAACATTCTTCTTTCATCATTTGTGTGTTCTACTTGCTTCATATTTACCACTCGTTCTTTCTTCAACGTCTTCATGGCATAGAACCTCCCATTGTGAATGGACCGGGCCAAATGGACTCGACCGAAAGAACCTGTTCCAAGGGTTCTAAGTATCTGGAAATCGTTTAGCGTGTACTTGCCCTTGGTGGTGGTATCTTTATCCAAATGCTTAGACCGTTTGGACTGGGAGGAAGATGGTTTATCATCATCGGCTCCACTGCCACTCGAGCCACTAGTCATCACGACTTCATCTATGGGTGTTGTACTGGCTATATTAACTTCACCAGTTGAACTAGCGGTCATAATATGGGGCTCTTGGTTCATTATATTCATATCTTTACTTGCAATCCGTTTTTCCCAATTAAAATTTTTTTGTGTGCGCGGGCAGATGATGCTTTTAGACTTAAATGACGTTTAGTTGATGACATCAATCTAAATCTTTTTCAACGTCGCGACCTTCCACTCTACCATACCTGTGTTAAATCCGTATTGGTTGGTATTTTACCTATACTATTTTGTCTAGCTCTCGTATGCTTCATATGCTACGTCCGATTTCCTATATTGGTTTATAGCCCGTAGCTGCTAACTAGATTCGCCTCGGCTGATGTTGCTGTCTATCACCGAACCCAAAGATCATCCACATCGTCAACTCCGTCCACATCGTCATCTTCATCTTCATCACGGGTCTCATTGTGATCAGCAGGTTCGTCCTCTTCGGCATCCTGAACCTGAATATCCTCCGCATCGACATAATCGTCCGAGTCGTAGCCAAATCCTTCACCACCACGGTTAACAGGGTGGAACGTCGTGTGGATAAATTTTGGAGGCTCAGGAGCACCATAGGCACTGTATCGTTTGAGGTCTTGAATATGGGATGGGCGGTTTGGTTTTCCATTAAGCACACAATCTACTTGGTGCAACACCGAACTAGTCTTCTCGATGAGATCGTTTATCATAAACCCGTCTTCTTTCAGGTGGGCCATGATTGACTGAGTGGTGAGCGAGTTCTTGAGCCTTTTAACCGAGCTCACAAATCCGAAATCTTTCAAAAACGTTACCCTGGTGACGATGTCACTGAGATTTACTGTTTCCGAGGGGGCAGATGTCGAGTTCCCATTGAAAATATGCTCTTTGAAGTCACCGATCAAATCGGTATCGTCCGAGGTTTCAAGGGTCAACTCAGTGGAGTCGTTGAACAATATGATATCGAACTTTTTATCTTGCCAGGTAAGATTCAATAAGATCCAGAGGATACTCATTTTGATGGCATTTAGATTAGAATAGAATTTGAACATCTGGGCCTTGCTGGCATTGATATCGGTTTTATTGAATGGAGACAAATTCAAAAACACAAGCCATAAACCTAAAAAGTTTTTGTTCAAGTGAAGATCATTGATGGTCAAAATCTTGTGGTTTTCAATGTAGTTGATGGAAAGAATTAGATTAACGTAGTCACTATTGTGAATGAGCTTGAGGAGATTATCATGAGTGAGTCGTGTCAAGTTTCTGTCGAAATTTGACAAGTTGACGATATTCAAGGTTAATAAATGATACCAGCTCATATCCAAGTGGGAGCTAAAGAACTCTGATAAATGACTATTAAAGTAATTGGAGTTTGATGATAAGTTCCGGACGATATCAAAGCTCGCCAACTTCTGTTTCAATCTCAAGCTGTGTAGTTCAGTCCCATCTTCAGTCCTATCATATCTTATAAATTTTAACAATAAGGTCAATGAGAAATGAGATTCGATGAGTTTGATTTTGTTTTCTTCATTTTCGTTGTACATCAAATTCTTCAAAATTTGAAGGAATATGAGGTTAAGTTGTTCTTTGTAGATAGCATCACCTTCATCAATTGCCTGATTGTTTTCGTTGACCTTCAACAATGTATTCAAAAATTTTTCATTGTTGATTAAGTTGTAACGGAAGGAGCTGAAATCCAAGATCAAGTTAGCAAATATACTTAAAACAATGGACTTATTCTCAGATTTAATCCTTAAGCCTTCCAACAACGCCAAAATATCAATCAAGATATCCACAATATTTAAGTCAATGAAGAAGGTTCTTAATAAAATTATAGACCTGGAGAGAGATCTAATCATATTGAAACAGTTTGTAAAAATCTTATGGTTAATAAACTTGAATAGTGTATCATTAGGACTCAACTCATTGTTGGATGCTTTCTTCGCAAATCGAATAAGAAAAGTTCGGTAGTCTATGCACAATTTATTCAACAAATGCTTAAAGTTGAATTTGTTCACGAACCTGACCCGAAATTCTTCTTGGTTATGGGTCAACAAACTAATGAGTAATAAAATATCTGATAAGTTTATTTCTATCAACTTGTTCAATTTGAAAGTCTTTAGGTTGACCTTCAAATAGTTGATGAGCTTCAAATCGATCTTGAATTTGATCAATTCAGAAACCAAGTTATCGTTCTTAATGATCAAGTTCGATAGTGTTTTGAATGGGTTGATCGAATATTGGTTGATTTCAATAAGTTCAATGAGCTTATTGACATAATTGACACTTTCATCGTAAGACACATAAGCTTGGACCTGATAATTTTTAGGTTGAAGATCCTTTTCGAACAAGAACAATAAGTTGATAATGTTCAAGTTCAAAAGCTCATTATCGAATTTGATCAAATTAGACAACCCCAATTTTGTTGAGTCGAGGAGTTCAAGGTTGTATTTGTGAATCAGCTCATAGCTCAAAATGTAGTTCAAATTCAACACTAACTTGTAGATGAATTTCAAGCTTAACGGTTTGGTAGAGCTTATTTCAAAGTTGATTCTGCTTATTAATTTTGTGATAAGCAAAGGCTCTAATTGAGGGTTCGAGATTATGGGAATCAAATCAACACATTGGGTGATCAAACTAGTAGTATATGATTGAGGCAAAGTTAAGCTGGATTCGTAATTAATTTCCAACAACACCAAAACAAACCGTGACAATTTGAAACTTGGCTGTTTAATAGACAAAATGTTCAATAACTCAATACATAAGCTGACCGCTTCGTAGTTGGACTTTGTCAATTCGAAAACCGATTTGTTCTTGTTGTGATAGATCATATAAACCGTGAATTGATCAATAATTTCAATTAGGATTGAGTTTAACTGTTTAAACGCATCATACTGCAAGACCTTATGATCAAACTTGGCCAAGAACTTAATGACAGTAAGACCATCAATAAGGTTTTCTGGAGTCAGAAGACTTTTGGATAACTCTGTCACTATCTCTTTTATAAACCTTTCATCGTTTGCCAACTTGTACTTGACGTCTATGTTGCCGATGATGGAAATTCGAAGTTGGTTGATATCCATGGTCATTTTGGGGTAGTCACAAAAAAAGGGATGAGGCTTAGAACTGCACACCACACAATTATAGGTAACGTTAACTAGTAACAGCAGTTGAAACTATTGTTTACACACTCGAGTGTCTGTTTGATTGCAAGTGATTGGTATTTATTAAAAGATACAACCCGGAATAGCCACAGACGATAGATAAATGAAATCTTAAATGCGAATCGCAAAATCAAATACCCCAGAGTCTATCAAAGACAGGGACAGAAATACAAAAGCGTGCATTGTAAAAACATTAAAAGTCAAACCCTATAAACTCTAAACCAACAAACCGATCAGATTTTCAGTCTCCAGTATTTCTGGGCCTCCTTGGCCGGTCTACCATTCTTGATATCATTAGCAACGTTTTGGTCCGCTTCCACTCTTTTTGGAACATACCCCACCACATCTGCCAACAAGCTCTCCTTGATTATAACTATACCACTGTTATCACCCATCAAGATATCGTTAGGCTCAACCACTTTAATGTCGTATTCATTGTCTATTGAGTGAACTTTCACCTCAATAGGAACGTTAATTCCCACTACTTTCAAAACTGGACCTGGAGCTGATGAGCCTACAGCGTAGGACCAAACTGGATACTCCAACGCATTGTGCTCATCCAAGTCTCTTACTCTTCCTAAAATTATTGAGCCCCGGCACTTCAAATACAGTGCTCTGGTAGACATTAGACCCCCATACAAGGCATTATTCACCTTGGTGTAAGGAGCATTGACCATCTGGAGACTAGGAGGAAGGCCCATTATCAATACGCTGTTGGCAGGCAACTGGTCAATGTAACTGGCGGAAACCTCCGGCCTTGGATCAGACTTGGGAGCATATAATACGGTGTAGGCTTTCCCTATGACCGTGGAGTTCACAGAACTTTGCATTGTTAAATTGGGCAAGAAGCCTCCATCTTTGACCCCATACTTCACCAATGCATCCGAAATATCACAAATACTGTACTTAAGGAGCTTATCCATTGCGACTGTGGTTTGTCAAAGAAAACACTGTGTGAGTTGAACTTGAACATTTCTCACAGTTTCGGGTCATCGGACATTATTCACAATATTGAGTATTATTGGTGGATTATATATATATATATCTATTTACAAGAAGGTGGGAATAAGTTCAGAGATTATTACAACTTTTCAGAGATATCTGTGCAACAAGACCAGCAGTAAATATGGAATTTTAGCTCCATGAAGTCATGTGTTTAGAAGAAACTGTATGTTTTTCATTTATCCACACTAATTCTGTCTTCCAAGGCTTTGGCCGATGACTCGTCTGATAGCCTGCTCTCTCGAAGTAGTTCTTCATCGATGAGCGTCTTATCCTCAAAAATCCCGTGGTGAGTGATCTCGTCTTTCTTGTGTTCTTTGAATTCTTTATAGGTGTTAGCTACTTTGAATCGATTCAAAGTTAGAAGCCAACTATCACTCAAGTCATAGTCCTTGAGAACTTGCTCCTTAGTGTACCGCAAGTCATGGATCTCGTTTAGAAGGGCCGTCAACTGCTGGGCACTGAATTCTTGTGTAGAGGTCTCCAATTTCTTACGATTTTTCAACTGATCAATAGAAACCGAATCTTGCTTGTGAGGAACATCTGAACTAGACTCGATTACTCGGCCTAAACTGGTTATGGTGTCGATGAAATCTCGGGACTCTTGTCGAGTCATTTGGGGATCAAATCCATCTTTCCCTTCAACTTGTGGAACATTTGGTTTAGGACCTTGCTGTTGGTCGATAAACTTCTGTTTTAGTTCGCTCGAAGGAAGCTGGTTAACCTTGGACCGTACAAATGAATCGGACTTGTGGCTAACTTCCAGCTGAAGTTTTCTGGCGGTAGAAGCTTTATTTCCCATCAGGAACTAATACACTAAGTTGAGAAGGTGATTAAATCGCGGATGCTCAACAACAGCACGATAGTGCAATTTTAACAAATAGAGAAATGCTCGTTAAAGTAGATTATATTGGGGTTTATTACTTGTAAATATCGTTATTGTAAGCATGAACATGTAATAATGCTGTGTTTTCGGTCCTGACTGAATGTGTACTCTGTAGGCTTGGCCATAAACATTCTTTATATTGTCTCACTTCTCTCTTTTCTCTTTCTTGTCTTTTTTGTGTTTCTTCTCTTTCTTCTCTTTCTTCTCTTTCTTTTCGGTCTTAGAGCTGGACTCCAGTTTCAAAGTGGCCGGAACCCTCACATCAGTGTCCTGAACGAAATCTGAAGCTTCGTACCCAGTAGGAAAGTGTCTCATTCTTAAATTCTCCACCTTAGGCACATCGGTTCTAGGCTTCTTGACAGCCTCCCAGTCTATTTCGGGGATATCCACCACCTCGTTTATGCTATAGAATTTTGTGATTTTCAAATCTGATCCAGTGAATTTTCCATTCTGCTTATTTATGAAGATCTGGTACTTGCTATATTCATCTTCACCATCGATGTTGTCACTCGACAGCTCCACAATATCATAAGAGGAGCTTCCCTGACTCAATTTGCTCTTGGATGTCTTGAAGTTTATGGGTAACTTGGATACTTTGAACTTGAAGTTCTTGGGGTGCTTGAGTAACCACACCTGTTTGTCACCAAAATCCGAAGAGGAAACTGGGGCTGGCACGAATGGCCTGAAGTGTTTTGAAGGCTCGTACACATACTCCTCCTCAGAGTCCAGGGAGTCGGAGTTGACGTATTTGTCGGACTTGTACAGCATCAGTGCAGTGGGTATGCGACGTTTAGATGCTCATCTGAAGTCTGAAAAATTTGAGAACTAAGAGGTGTGTGCAGGACCGCGAAAACATTTTGAACAGGAAGATTTAGGCTGAAGATCTCATATACCACCGAAGGAATGCAGGATAGATAGAACACATAACAGATATTGCAGTAGAGTTGCCCGATCCGCCTCGAATATTACTACAGTCTCCCCGCTGCGCCAATTCGCGGGCACGGTCCGTACTTGACGTACCCTATCGGGAGCATCCGTAGATGACCTCGTATATACAAAACAATCAATCCAAGCCACATTGCCATATCGTTGATAATTTCTCTCCTTACCAGTCGGTTAATACAAAAAAAACGTGACTACCGTCTTCTACTATGACGTACCAGAATGGTTTGGTAGATGATATAGTTCGTAGCCATCAGTGCAAACAATACGGCCATTTCGCATATAGTTTCGACCTCTGCGGTGTGTCTCAAATTGTATATTTTATCCATTGGTGCCATGTATCCAGTGAATAGTACAGCTTATCCCTCGTATGTGAAAGAATACAGTCTAAGCCTTTATCATTTTTCAGCCTGCAGACATAAGGTGCACTTTGATAGCTTGCTACGGCTGGATCACGCTTCCCGCGGGGCGGAGCTCACGTCAATTGGGTAACGACGCTTATGTAATCATCTCATAATCGTCCTTTGATGTTGTCACCATCGAAGAACACATATAAATACGGGTTTCCTGTCAAACTTGCTTCTGTCAACAATAATTATTAACATCTATAATGGGTTTTGAAATTGTCGATTTAGGAATTGCTGCCAGTGTATTCTTGGGTCTTTACCTTTGCTTCTTCGGACTTGCAGTTTATGCCATAACCCAAAAAGGGTTCAAAAGTGTTTACCTGTGGTTCTTTTTCTATGGAATTGTTCGAACTGGAGGCCAAGTTTCAGGAGTGGGTTTCGCCATTGCTGGAGAGACCCACTATCAATGGTTGATTGCTTATATGGTTATGTCTGTTGAAGGGTATTTTGCCTTGGTGATGGCTTCCCTCTACATCTTATGCATCGAGCAGAAGAGGGTATGGGGAGTATCTCCTTTAGAAACTCCCTTTATTACTATACGTGGTGCTAAGAGATCCTATAAGTCATTGTTCCACCTTATTTTGGTTCCAGGAAATGCACTTTTGATCGCCGGTGGGTGTATGCTTACAGGATTAACAGTCCAACAGTTGGCCAATAACCATTCTAAAATCGTTACTTCCAGGGCTTTGAGAACCACCGGTCAAGCTATCTTTTTGGTGCAGTCTCTCAGCGTATCGGCATTGAGTATCCACAGCTATTTCTTCAAGAACTTGAGAAGTGTCTCTATGAAGATGTTGTTAGTCATCATCCCATTCATCACCATGAGAGGTGTGTACGGGTTGGTATCCATCTACATTGATAAAATGGATTACTTCCTCATCTCCAACTACATCAGCATAGCCAACCACAAAGATATGACCATTTATGAGTATACATTGGGAACTAGTATGGAGTTCATCTCAGCCTTCGTTATGGTGAACACTGTTTGGTTCAGCAAGGGCCCAATAAACGAGGACACTGGAGGGCTCAGCGACGGAGATTCCAAGGTCTGAGTGCCAGAGATCCAAAGTTCTTGTTATTCTTCATAGCTAGTTATAGTGATAATAGAATTATATGAATTATACACGGTTTTGGTATGAAAAGGAACACGGAAAAAACATCGAAAGCTGGATCTCATTACAAAGGTAATTAATTAAAACTCGCAAAAATCATAAAAATTTCTAGTTCGTCTATCTTATCGAACATTACTACGTGTCAGTTAAAGGCCATGAAAGTCGCCAGATTTCTATTGGTGAAAAGCAGGGCAATTACTACAATATATATATATATACATCAAAATGCTTACAAGGTAACAGCTGGAGGACAGTTCAAGGCACCCTTAATCTTACCATAGATGGCAAATTGCAAGGAAGTCAAAGTACCCACCATGATCAAACGGGTTGGCAAACCGGCGAATGAGCCCTTGACACCCAATTCTTTGGCCAATTGACCCAATAAGCCAATGGTGGATTGACCTGGAGCCTTCTTGGTCTTGTTAACCTTGGACAACAAAGTGTCAGCAGGTTGAGAAACGAAAGCAGCAGAACAACCAGCGATGATACCAGCAAGTAAGTCGATACCAGTCAAAGAAAGAGTGGACAATTCGGACTTTGGAGTAGGAACGAAACCGAAGATAGCTTGAGAAGCTCTTTCGAAAACCAAAAACTTAGCAATGTTGTAAGGAATTTGCTTGAACAAGATTGGGGTGAAACCGTTGTAGAAAGAACCAGCACCTTCTTCCTTGAAGATTCTGGAGAAACCGCCAATCAAACCGTTAGCAAAGGTAGGTTGAGACACCAATCTGATTCTGGTAGCTTCCAATGGACACAAAGCAATATCAGCGAAGAATTCAGCCAAAGCAGAAGAACCAATGTAGATAGCATCCTTGTAATTCTTGGAAGTTTCCAAACCCAAGTATTCGACGAAGGTCTTCTTGAATAATTCGTATCCACCAAACTTGAAAGCACCTTGCATAGAGTAACCCAAGATGGTTGGTCCCAAACCAGTCAATAAAGCACCGACACCTTCACCCGCAACGATCTTTTTGAAGGATCCAACCATACCAGTGTTGTAAACAGTTGGTTCCAATTGAATTCTGGTTTTGATCACATCGATGGGAGTCATGGCCCCGTGGGTAACACCACATCCAATGGCACCGGCCAAAGCAAACTTGGCGTAATCAGTAGCAGTATAGTTAGGTAATCCAGTAGCAGAAGAAGCCATTTTCAAAGATATCTGTCCTGAAAAGTCTATGAATAAATATGATAGGAAAAAATTATGAAATTCAATTAGATTCGAGGATTCGGCACCTTTATATCAGCACCGACCAATGGGAGCAAAAAGTTTTTTTTTTCCGCGATCCTGCCACGACTTTGATCGCTTGTTCCTGAATGGCAGCGATTCCTTCCGGGATTCTGCAAATGGAAAATGGCTGCAACTTTTAGTTATAGGGTGTTGGTTTTATGTGACACCATGGAAACTTCGGATGTCACTTTAATATATGCTAATAATACATATGTATAATGCGAATGTAATTTATTTGCAAATATCTCAGGTATATACCTTGTCTTGGCACCTCCGGGTCCTCGATTTGGCTTTGTGAACTTGTAAGAAGAATACTCCAAATAAGCCTACAGGTTTCACTACAGCAAGTAGAGTTCTACGGACAGGTTATACACACAATACCACGTATAAGATTAATCCTGCACCATGATATAGAGAGGAGAAAGGGATTATGAAGTCGTTTGTTTGTTGCAGAGCACTTCGGGTACTTTGCGATGCTTAATATTTGGTTGGCTAGATATGTGTGAAGGGAGTTTGAATTTACAATGTCAGAGATTATCTTGTTTTAACAACACACTGAGGTTATTATAACTTGATTGCTGACTTTTTTTGATGGCCATGGTTTCACTTTTATCGATACCTACTCCCAAAACTACCGCGTTCCATTTAATGACACAGTGATAAACGGGTCCAGCAGAGTTGGTCTCGTAGCTGACGGCAATATTATTGTCTTGAAGAAGCTTTTCAAACCTATCAACATCTTGTTTGAGTTCGTTTGCTTTGTAGGAGATAAGATATTGTTCGTGTAGCAACTTGTGCTTATAGTCTTTATTGTTCATGAACTCTTTGATGGCATTAAGTTGTGCCAATTCCTCGCTCTTAGAGTTGGTTCCAATCGTGGAAACCCCTTTGATATATAGCTTCACCACGTATGGATCTGATTCAAGAGTCTCAAAATGATAGTTCATTTCAGAGAACGTAAACGTGAACATACTCCGAATAGCAGGTCCTAACGTGTTGGACTTGAAGTCTTGTTGTTTTAGCTTTGGGAGAATAACTCGGAACACTTTATAAACCCAAATCTTGAGCTCAGGCAATGATTTCTCAATTGATAATGCCCCCATATAACTTAGAAAGAGATCACTTATCATGGAAATCTTGTTTTCAAAAGAAATCCGGTCTGACAATTTGAACTTGAAATTATCAACAAGCCTGTAGACTAGTGATAACTTGAAAAGCACATTATGATCCATGAGCTTCAGTACAAGTACTTCAGCATCAGCATAATATATGTGGGGATATTTAAAGTCAACAAGTTCCCACAATATCAACTTCAAATAGTAAGTTCCCTGGTGGATAAGTTTAGTGTTGAAGAACAGCGTGTACTTGCTCACGTCTTGAATCTCTATTATGGGGTCCACGAATGAAGGGTCATGAAATGCTTTCTGGAAAAGAAGTTCATCTTGTAAAGGTAATAACATCGGCAATTGGATTTCTCCTTTTCCATACTCAGCAGAGTCCTGAAGATCATCCTCACTGGACTCAAGCTCTTTGAGGATAGCCAAATCCTCACTTATGCGATAGGATTCATGGCCATAGTCAAGTAGATAGTCAAGAGTAGGTGCTTGAAGAAACTTCATGCTTGGTATGGCACCAAGGGCTTGGAGAAACGGCAATTTATCTTCATCTACAAGCAGCTTAATCTTGGCTCCCACCTTTACAGGCGCACAATTTAACAAGTTCTTCAACTTTTGTAAAATGGTATTGTCGTCGGCACTCAACCCAGATGGGTCTAGAGAATTCACAAGTTGTACGAGTTGTTCATATTGTTTCGGAGGTGGAAAAACTTTCATAATATGCTGAAATGCCCCCTGAAGTTGCCCTACACATCCTTTCACCTGGTGAAGGTCTTCGGAGAGCTGCTTCAACTCGTTGTTCATCTGTACCTCTAACACTAAACTTTTTTTTAATTCTGGTGTGCGACTTCTGGCCGCGTTTAACATATAATAGTACAAAATCTATCTAAGTGCTGTTCATATATTCACTCAACTCTCTGTCCAAGTCCTCAACCGACTTAGGCACCTTTTTGGGCTTAGGAGGCTCTCTTCTACCTCGCTGTTTTTGTCTGATATCGCCAGGGTCTCTGAAATCTCTAGAATCTCTAGGACCTCTTGGGCCTCGATTATCTCTGCGTTTGGGTCCTCTGAATCCTCTTTCTCTAGCCCCAGGAAGTGGTCCCAACCGGTCTTGCAAACTTTTTACTGTTTTAGGCTTCAAAGGATCCTCCACAATCAAAATCTTGCCCATTGCCTTTCTACCGTCGAACTTTTTGATGGATTCAGCGTTGTTTTCTGACCAGTTTTCTTGGAAACCACAGTAAGCAACAGACTTCTTATCAGCGTCGAACTTGACAAATTCTACGGGTGAAATTTGACTGAGTAATCCTGATAAGTCATCTTCTGTTAATTCTGGATGGATGTTCCTGATTCTGATGACAGGGTTTGATGTCAATTCAGTAATGTAAGAAGGAATCTATACTGGTTAGTCTGCGTTTTCCTTAGTCATATTGGCTTAAAGTGCCGCCATACATCCCCGGAGTCTTCCAGTACACGGAAGAGACCTCTAATAATGGGGCTTATCATAATATCATCACATACGATTCCTTCACCTTCTGTCACGCTCATGTAGGAGTTTTTTTGAGTTCTCAAATTAATTTTTCAGTCGCTTTATCTACATTCAAAATACATACGGAACAAAAAATACCACTTTAATTACTCTTTTTGGTTTGCACTTTAAAGTCCTTGGCAGTATCGTACTTGATACCGGTAACTCTTCTAGTGGAATCTCTTACCTTGGTTTTAGTCAAAAAGTCCAAGTTCACCAAGTTGGGCCAGTTCACAAATTGATAAGAGTTGGCTAAAATGTACTTGAACAGGTTAAATTGGAATGCTAAACAGACCGACACCGTAAGCAAGTTCTTGAAGTTAGTCAAAGACCCTTTAGGGTATAATATCATAGAAAACAAAATCAAGAACGAGGTTGTTAACAAGTATGGAAGCAATTGAATATAGTTTGGTCTGTAATCGATGAACGGATTTTCAACCAGTTCATACGGCTTAAACTTTCCGAGAAACAAGTCAAATGAGTCCTGTCTAACACCATCGTGGTAATTGTTATTGTAGTATCTGATAATGGAATTATTCAAATCCAGTAAGGATCCTCTTATAGTTCTCTTGCCCAACCTAGTAAAGTCAGTTTTCAAAGCTGGAGTTGAGCTGTAACTTCTAGAAACGGCATCAGCATTATCAGCCCAAATATTCTGAAATATAAAGTTAAACTCTGGGTCCACTTGTTTCCAAGGGGTAGCATAGTCTAAGTATCCCAACTCACTAAAATTCTTCTGTAAAATGTACCGAGAGAGAATAGACTGTACCACGTTAGTTCTATCCAAACAGTCCATACAATTTGTCCTGACACACTTCTTTTGTAAATTCACCACTTTTTGATTCTTGAAATCATAATGAAAGTAGTTGGCTTGGTCAAAGCCCATATTTTCCAAGATTGGGATCAATTTGTCAGCATTTTCAAACTTCATGTTCTTACATTCGTGATGAAAGTCAAAGTAGACATAATGTACTGCCTTCTTAAGAGTAGAGGGCAAACTGTTCACAATCGATTCATATCCTTCTTTGATAGGCAATTCATAGCCTTTGTTGTTGACGAGATTTACACAGAAAATCTCCCCATAGTTGGACACCAGATTCGAAAAGTGCTGAACAGTAGCGTCAATAGCATTTTTGGTAGAAACGACCAAGTTTGGTTTATAGCACAAGTTGTTGATTTCACTCCAGTAAAGTGGAACCGACCCTCTAATCTGTAAGAAACTCAAAACTTGATCATTATTGGTAAAGATGATTTGTTCGGTTTCGTTGAAATTAGCAACGTTTCCTTCGTTATCTATACCTCTTCTAAAATATCTTGTACCGACTCTTGCATTGGATTTTCTGGTGATCAAAATGTAATTGAATTCATTATGATAACTACCAGCAAACTTTATAGACTTACTTTTAACATAACCGTTGATGATTGGAGTGATAAACTCTTGACTCGCACCGGCGTCAAGCAAGCTCTCACTTAAGTACTTGTTCCACCAGAACTCCAGGTTAATCTTGGTGCCTGGCTCCGTGTACTGTGTCTGCAAGTTATTAGTTAAATCAAACACGTTGTTAACAGCAAAGTAGAAATCATTCTTATTCAAATGTTCTTTGACCAACTTCAAGTAATTAGTTTCCTCCTGATTACTAGAAACATCTTTGTGTTTGTTGATTGGGAGAATTTTGTAGCTGGAAACTCTACCAATGGTCTCACCCATTATCTGACCGACATCTTCATGACTGTTGGCGATGATTAAATAGGAATTGACCTTAAGTCTGATGAGACCAATAATACAACTAACAGGTGTAAAACTCACTTGTTTGTAAATCGATGGAACAGAGGATTTCACACCAATCACGCCGTTAGATGCCACTAAGCATCCACCACTAGATTTGTGTAAGAACACCAAGGAATCTTCTAGATCCGCAAACACCAAGGACATAATTGTTGTTTTCACACGAGGAGCACTTAACAATTTTGATTTTCATGGAGGCTGATGCGAATTTGGCGATTTGGCAATTTGGCAGATGCCAATTATCGGCGGTAGAGAAAATTTTCAAGGGTATCAGAGTAAACATAACACCCGGAACCATACTCATAAGGATAGAGAGAAGGTATGTATCTCAACGATATTTTCTGTACCTTCCTGAGGCTAAATGGAGACTTTTACGACGAAATAGTTCAGAAATACGCCTCTAAAGCTGCTCTAAAACAGCCATATGCATCGATGAAATGTCTCAGAACACTTATGATAAGTGCTTGTCTTCGAAAATCTCCAGAATTTTTCATAAACTTGTCCAATACATTTCATGTTTCTACCTCGAGCTCATCATTTGCAATCCTTCGCGATCTGAATTCTGCCACAGTTTTTTGTACCACAAAGAATACCTGGAAGTGATCATATCCAGCAGCCGAAAAAAATGGACTACGTGGATACCATAAGGAACTCTTCCTTTCAGCTGGCCACCGAATTACGAGAGAGCTACTCTCCTAGTCCGTTTCCATCTTCCTCAATACCTCCTAGTGGCTCCATTAAACCCTCTTGTCTTCAAGACACAATGAATTCCGAAAGTCTCCCGCTTGAACCACCTCACTTGACCCACTTATGGAACAGTGACGACAGTATTATTTCCAGCATTATTGCCCCCCTCAGAAAACGGCTTATTTGTGGTACCCAGAATGGAAAGATCCTTATCTATTCACTTGAAGATTACACACATTTGGAAACACTAAGTGAACCAGAAATGACTGGTTCAAATTTATGTCTCAGCTTAACCGAAGATGAAAAGTACCTATTTACGGCTGGAAGTGATTCATTGATCAAGATATATGATTTGAGCAGTGAGAGAATCCAGTGTATCAAGATCATTTATTCTTCCATAGACATCGGAGATATATTCTCCATTTACTACTGTGAATTCTTGAAACATTTATTTATCGGTTGCCAAAACGCTTCCATTGTGTGGTGCAAAGTTGATTTTTCGAATGTAGACTATGCCATAGCCATAGACAGAAATAATTTACCTCATTTGAGATACAACAAGTTTTTTGATTCAACTGGGCCCGGAGGAAAAGTTAGCACTCAGGCTAAAGAAATCAATTTTTTGAAAGAAATTAGTTTATGTGAAGTCGAAACTATAAATTCAGTACTGTTTGCTCATTTTGGATATATTTACAACCTTCGGGTGTTTACCAATGAGTTTCTATTGTCCAATTTTCCTCAATATTCCAAGATTTTAATAAGTGGGGGAGGTGATGGTTTGATTAATATTTGGGGAATTCAATGTGATCCTCAGACAGAGAAGTTGACACTTTCAAAGGTTGAATCTTTGCATAACGAAGAGTCAATTCTCTCAATGCACATAAATCAGACGTATTTGTATGCTGGGTTATCCAGCGGGGTAATCAACGTATGGGACTTGTTGACGTTTCAAATGATCAAGTCTTTCAGTACTCCTAATAATGAGCAAGTGAATGCATTGGTGACAATGGGTCAAATGATAATTTATGGGAATAAGTTAGGTTTGAATTTGATCTACAATCGAAGAGTCTATAAACTTAACAGCGATCCAATCCTAACCTTATATTCCTACGAATATAGGCCCGACGACCAGATAGCTTTGGTGGCAGGTGGAAAGAAGGTAGTCACTCTTTACAATATGGTGGGCTCTTCAGAACGGGAGACAATCAAAACCTTCAAAGGTGTTTTGAACAATGACATGCTAGTGAAGAATTTGAAGAAATTTATAAGCTATAAAACTATTCTGAAATATCCTGAATTATGTATGGATGATTCCAGAAATTGTACCAAGTTCTTGATCAAGCTTTTTGATAGTTTTGGTGCAAAGTCTACTCATTTGATTCCTATCGACAATGGTAATCCTATTATTATTTCTACATTCAAGAATACTTCCAATAGTAAGAATGCCAAGAGACTCTTGTACTATGGCCACTATGATGTGGTTGAAGCAGAGGAGAGGAACAACTGGTCAGTGAACCCCTTTGAATTAACCAATAAAAATGGGTACTTATACGGAAGAGGCTCTAGTGATAACAAAGGGCCCACTTTAGCCATAATCCACGCTATTGCTGAGCTTTTCGAATCCAATGAATTGGATGTTGACTTTACTTTTGTCATTGAGGGTGAAGAAGAAAATGGTTCCAAGCAATTTAAGGAGACTGTGTTGGAGAACTTGGATTTAATCGGTGATATCGATTGGATTTTATTGTCTAACTCTTATTGGCTAGATGATGAGAGACCATGCTTAAATTACGGCTTAAGAGGTGTTATAAACTGCTCTATTCAAGTGGAGAGTGATCATCCAGATCGACATTCAGGTGTCCATGGTGGTGTTTGCAAGGAACCCACAATGGACCTAGTCCAGGTATTGAATACGTTGAGTGACCCAGTGACGAATGAAATTCTTATCCCTAATTTCTATGATAATATCAATGAAAGTAGTCCCAAGGAACTTGAATTTTTCGATAAAATTGTTTCATACAATCCCAAATTCAGGCTTGATGAATTGATTGCTCAATGGACAAAGCCTTCATTTACCATACACAAGATTGAAGTAAGTGGCCCGAATAATGATACTATCATCCCCAAAACTGCCACAGCTTCAGTGTCGATGAGAATCGTGCCAAATCAAGAAGTCAACCAAATAAAAGATAGTCTAATCAACTTCTTGACCGACAATTTCACCAAGTTGAATTCCACAAATAAAATTGACATTTCTATAAGCCACGAAGTTGAGCCTTGGTTAGGTGATGTTGAAAACACATTCTACAAGGTTTTGTATGCAAACTTACAAAAGAATTGGGAAATTGAACCTTTGCTAATCCGTGAAGGTGGATCTATCCCAAGTATTAGGTTCTTGGAGAAAACATTGAATGCCCCAGCATGTCAAATTCCTTGTGGCCAATCAAGTGATAATGCCCATTTACAAGATGAAAAATTGAGATTCCTCAATTTAGTGAAATTGAAAGATGTTGTCAAAGATAGCATTCACGATTTGAGCAAGTAATATTTATATTGCATGTGTATTAAAACACCACAGTTCTATACATACATATTTCATAATTATAATACAATAATTTACAAGTTACAAGATGAAAGCGTTGACTTTGCTCTTGTTGGGTCTATTGTTATAGCATATTTTGACATTTTTGTTCAGCTTCATTAGTTTATTGATATGCCTCGTAGAGTGAGAGTTGTCTGTTTTTTGAAATTCGTTGGCCAAGTCCACATCTTTTTCATAATAAAGCCAATGTACTTTTGATGGTAGTGACAAAAGCTCATTTATTTCGTGCAGTTTGACAAAACGATTATTATGGTAGTCTTCTTCAGTTTTTCCTTTGGTTGAAGACGACGTGGTTTCCAGTGTTGTAGAAGCATCGGAAAAAACGCTTTTGGTAGGGCTTTTCGTCGTCGAATCTTCAACCGAACTTAAACTCTTGCGAGGAGTGGAATTGTTCAAACTAGACAAATATGAGAGCAAGTCAATAAGGTCAAATTTATGAAACCAATTCAATTTAAACTCGGTAATGACCTTATCAGTTAAATCAAACTGCTTGTAGTTGGAAAAATCCACCGGAAAGTATTGGTTAAACATGACAAACCGGTACCGAGACTTAGTGGACTCAAGACCGGTGGAAATGATACTATTGAAGCAAAAATTCAACACTCTATGATTGAAATCAAACGTCAACACCATATTAAAGTGGGACAGAAAGGTGTTTTCTTCGCTTGGCGTCATAGCTTTAATCTGGGGAGCATCTATAATTGTGACGTTTTTCTCTATTAGTTGAAGCATTTTGAATACTACGAGCACATCATTCATCTCCTTTCTCGAGTCACTGAGTACCAATAGTATTTTGTCAGTAGGATTATAATTACCACTATTTTGAAGCCACTTGAAGTAGCTATAGAATGGCAACAGGATGTCCAATGAGAGAGCTGCATCATGTGTACTGACATTATCGGGGACTTTGATCAATATTTCCAGACTATTTTTGATCTTGATAAAATCTTGTAAACCCCCATCAACATTATACCCAAATTCGAATCTGGCCAAACAAGGCAAAAAGCTTGATGTACCGACTGCCGACCTATGTGACGACAAATAGTGGGTACAGTTCTTGCATAATGTAGGGAAACCTTGTTGAATACAAGTAGTATGAGGAAACACAAGGAATTTTGAGTTGTCCAACTCGAAGTCTAAGTTCACATCGTTACTGGCATAGATCTTACCAATAAATTTATTGCACGGAACGATATTGGACGGTAGAATCCGACCTCCCAGAGTACTGGTTTCTGTGTTATACTGCTTCATAAGCTCAAAGTCTCTGCCGTAGTTGACGGCTATTAATTTAATTTTGAATAGGATTTCGCTGTCGTCTAGCTCAAAGTCTTTTGGTAATTTCATGGATTCTTTTAGTTTCCCTGTCTGAAAATCGAATAGTCGCTTTACTGGTACCTGATTAATGGGCTCAGGTACGAGGTACTCATCACCTCCTCCTATCACCAGCTGGGACAACTGTTCCATTTAACTGTAATTATGAATATGCAAGGTTTATTTTCACCGCACTATTTTCTCGCTTAACGGCTTTATGCGGCGCTGTTCATCCCGTGACATTCTTGTCATAAAATACTCTGAACTGGGGAAGAAGTTAGCTGAAGGATAGCACGATTTTGACTTGATGTGATTAAAGGTGGAGATTAGCCCAACCTAGATAGCGATTTCCAAATCGGGTGAAATTCTCAGATATGATAAATGTAACATTTGCCATAAAACATGTATTAGTTGACGACAAATTTTCTTCGCAACACATCACGTGATGACAGTAAAATACAATGTATTGTACTTGGTTGTATAGAAATGTGGACTTGGTGGACCAGTATAGTATGGAAGTGAATAACACAGTAATTTGTCAATTATACCGAGTCCTCTGGTAAGCAGATATACAGTTATGCACATTCTAAGTATGAAATTTGCAATTTTTGCGATCTAGTGCATTTTTGTTTAACTTGGATATTTAAGCTTTAACTTTACTACAATTGGTGAACACAAAGCCTTCTTATCATATGTGTATAAAAACTAAAACCCAGAACTATGAAAAGGATCTATCTCTATTAGACTTATCTTTGCGTTTCTTTTCCTCCTCTTTACGTTTGCGTTCTTCTTCATCTATGATCGACAAACGTAAAGCTTCTTCAATCATTCGCTCTTCCATCGTTTGCAATCGCAGATTCTGTTGGCTCTGCGTGGAGCTACCCGTGTTTCTTCTTCTACGGGTGTCGTACTCAGCCATCTCAGTCTCCGGGTTAATGATTAAATTGGAAGCATGAATTGCGCTAGCAGCAGCAGCCTTACGGGCCAACTTGCTTCTCGCCGATAAAAGCTTACTTTCCCAGTCAGGTCGTATCTGATCGATCGTGATGACACGAGGAGAATTTGCCGGAACAGATTCCCTTCTTTTGCGAAGCTTCGTTGGAATTATAGACGGTTCTTGTTCACTGGTAGGTGATGACGACATTACGGCTTGTTCATCACTTTCATTATCATTATCATTAACATTGGGTGTACTTTTGTTCGTTTGTTCAAAATCATGCGGTGGAATGCCATTGATGCCGGTAGAAAAATCAAGGTTTTTATCAAAAATAACTCCAAAATCTGTCATAGCACAGTAAGGACAGTTAGATGGCTCACTGATCAATGTGTGTGGTAATTCTTCCGTGGTTCTTTTCACAGTATTGGCATTGGTGGGATCATCGTGAGGAGGGTGGGGATCTAATCTCTTGATTTGCACAAAGCATTCAGAACAGATTGGCTGCAAACAGCAACGGGAGAGATTCAAGTTGTCCGGATAGAACACAAAACAGATGGGACATTCAACTGGGTTTCTATATAACCTCAATAAAAGATTATTGGATGGTAAAGACTTCACCACTGAGCTCGATGTCTTGGCTTCCAAATACCTATCTTCTTGTTGTTTCTGTAACTCTTTAATCTTCTCGATGAGCATCTTCAACTTGATCTTCTGTTCTTGTCTTTTGTAAAAGTTAGACGACCTATGAATCTTATGATTGTCTATATCATCATCTTCCTCTTCCCCACTATATGCTCCTTCAATCAGGTGCAATGTGAGTTGTTTGATGATAATAAGTAACTCTTGATCACTCCAAGATTCATCAAAATCCTGTAAAGGCGTGTAGAATGGGGCCAACCGCCGAGCCACTATCAAGCCTCTGACTATTTCCAGGTCAAAATCCAAGTTGGATTTGTAAGTTCCGTAAGGTGCCAAATATCCGCCATCAACTGATTCGTCAAATTTAACGATCAAGTTCATATAATGTTCTTCCCGAAGTCGATCCTTTTCTTCCAGTTTCTTGGACTTACGTGATGGTACTATATGACCAAACACCGAGGATGTAGTATTACGTCGAGACCGAGATTCACCCAAGTAGGAGTTAAATGGGGATCCTGGGCTCCGGCCGTAGCCATAATTGTAACTGTACCCAAGATTCGGTTGAGTATCTACCCCAGGATAGCTACCGGAGTTACTGCTGCTATAAGACGAAGCCCGTGGTCTGGACTCCTTTGCTGGTGTATTCCCCATTTTGTGAATATGTAGATCTTGTACGGGTAAGATTGAAACCACAAAATTCCCCAGTTGCTCGCATCTGTGATCATTAATTCGCGACCTCTCCTAATCCGACAGTTGCAAAAACCCTTGTTGGAGAATGATATTTGAATATGAAACAGGCTTTAGGGCTATTGCTAGCGTTATATACTAAATCCCAAATGTTGACTACTGCTACATCCATACCAGATTCTTGTAATTCTGTTTCTATGACAAAGAACAATTTTTAAAAAGAATTAGTCTAGATCTCACCTCCGAATACGGGGATATGATCATGTATATTCTATTTTACATTTCATTGCGTTAACCCAAAACCGACTCCTATCATACCGAGCACTATAGAAAACCAAAGAATTCCAACAAAGAAGCTCACAAGTTTTTGCCGAGGACTAAACTTGACTACCCTACCCCTATTTACCAGAAGCTGCTGCTGATAATAGATTCCGTTGTAATAGTTTTTAGAGCTTTTCAACTTGTCGAAAATCCCCAATGAAACCAAGAAATATATAGGTGGAAGAATTAAACCTATTCCCATGAGAAGTACAAAATAAGACCATGAGAAATGTTGAGGAGCAACATATTCCTGAGATTGTTTCTCTTCTAAGTTTCCAAAATAACTCTCATCATAGTCCGTGTAGTCTGGAGATGTCACATTACTTTGGGCAGTTCCAATGGCTGGAAATCCGTCAACCACTGTTTTGGTTGTTTGTGATTGGTACATATCTTCATGTTGGTTGTATTTATACAATGAATCTTGAACAGGTGCCTGTGGAGGAGGTCTTCTAGCAGATCCAAGGTAAGCTGAACCAAACTTAGGAGCCTTAGATACAATACCACGTGTGGTTGGGACTGTTATCGAGCCAATCGAGTTTTCGGAGCTGATATCAGAATCATGGTAATGAGCTGGTTCAGGATTGGGAATTTGGATGAGTTTGGGAGACTGAGAATTCTTCACTCGATATGCAACCACGGCTCTAGAAGGATGTACATGCCGATCTGCTACATCAGATAAAGAGCGGTTCAATTTGGATAATAATTCTCCGGAATTCAATGAGGTTCTGGAATTTATGAAACTCTTCTGTTCAAATAACGGTCTCTCGGAAGTCTCATTTAAGTTATCATAAGTAGTGGTATCATAGTAAATTTTATTCCTACTGCTTGAGGATGAGGTATTATTATCGATGCTGGATAATGCTGTCATATGCTTATTGGCAGCAGGGTTGGCAGAACTGCTGCGATTACTGCTACTTGAGCCAATGAAACCACTAGCATCGTGAAAGATAGCAAAATCCTTTGAAGACCGACCGACTGAACTATTATGAGACCCAGAGGTACCCTCAAAATCGCTCCTGGTTTCATTGAGAGTCCTCTCGATCACTGACTTCGTGCTTATGTTTCTCTTCACAGAAGCTAGAGATTTCTCATCAAAGTGCTCATTGAAGAAAAACTTCTTTTTGGGACTATCGTCAGTGTATTCCTGAAGTATGCTTTCTACACTTGCACTGTATTTAGAGCCAGAGTCATCATCATCATCTCCTGAAGTGTCTGCAAAATCTCTGATGGATGTTGAATCATCTTGTACCGGCTGAAACAACTGGGAAGTGAGGGAAGTGATCTGAGATACATCAGTGTGTACTGATGATCGGGACCCTGAAAGCATTGGAACAAGATTTCTGAGCTTACCTGCAGTAGTGCTGAGTCGTGAAGGGCTTGTGGGATTATACAACGAGTTAGACAAGGACTTTCTTATAGGAGAAATAGAACGACGATTGGAGCCAAAACTAGTGGAGCTGTCCGCCGAATCAAATGAATTTTGTCTTCTAAAGATGCTATGCAATGGTTTGGTAGGAGATTGGAATTCGGACGTCCCAAGTCTCTTATGTCTTGAAGGCGAGATAGCTTCAGAATCAGTGTTCATGATTGCTGACCAATTCGAGATTGATAATAGCTAAGGAACAACGATCCGCTAATGGTTAATTAAAAGGAAGGACCTAAAGAACAAAACCAATCTATGGGTTCACTATAGTTTAAAAGGAACAGTGCTACTGAAACTATCTAGAGTGCGAGTGTTTACAATGGCCCCGAATGCGGAAGATAATTTTTCGCAGTCATCGCCTTCGCCTAATAAGGTAAAATGGATGGGGCCCTTCATAATAATATTCGCATAAAATATATTTTTGAAGAATTATACAATTATACAGAAGGGTGATTAAGTGGTATGATATTCGTATCCGTTTCCGTAGTTGTCGCCACAAGAAAGACCAGTTTTTTTGGGTTTCTTAACGGTACCCTGAGCAGGTCTCTCTAGTAGTTGTAGTTAGCTCTTCTTCTTCTTCTTCTTCTCTTCTTCTTACATGGGTCAGTAGTGGTGGTGGTAGAAGTAGAACCCGATGAGCCAGCAGAAGTAGTGGCGGCAGAAGAACCAGACGAGCCCGAACCAGACGAGGTAGAACAATCACCAGAGAAAGCAGCAAAAGCATTGGTGACGACAGTATCGAAGGTGTTAACATTCAAAATGGACTTAAGCAAATCAGAAGCCAAGTTGGTATTTTCAACAGCATCAACTAATTCACCCAAATCCAAGGCATTACTAGACAATACTGCGGAAATCAAGCTTTCGGCAAATGGGATATAAGATGAATCAGTGATGATAGACTTAACAACCGAACTGGCTAATCCTGAGTTAGCCAACGATTGCAACAAATTAACCACAACCTCATCTAAGTCAAGTCTAGCATCCAAATTAGATCTAGCTTCTAAAACAGATTTCAAAGCAGTACGCTTTTCCTGTCTTTGCACGGCCTTCAAATCTCTCTTGGAAGAGTTAATAGCAGATTGAACCTTAGAAACCAAGTCAGAAATGATTCCTTCTGCAGTTCTGAACAACGACACATACAAAGAACAGTCAGAAATCAAGTCTTGTACCACCGTTGTAACCAACCCAGACTGATCCAAAGCATTGAACAATGTTGTCATGTTCAACAATCCGCTCTTCAACACGGTGACAATTGTACTGATGACAATGGGCTGTAAAGTGGAATTAGTAGCCAAGTAGTGAATGATCTTAGGAGCCAATTCCGTATCGTTCAAAGCTTTCAAAACATCAGTAACAATTTGATATTCTCTCTTGCTTAAAGTGCTCAAGGTTTCTTCTCGCTTGTCCTTGAAGTTTTGCAAGTCGAGCAAGATATTTTCCAAGTCATCGCTTCTCTTAGCAATAACTCCGACACCGGATTCTGCCACTGTCGGAGCTGAATTAACTATGGAAGTAGTTATGGCAATTGTAAGCAAAGCAGTAGTACTCAATCTCATAGTAACGAATGGAGATGGGGGATATACTAAAATGAAATTATTTTAATAACAATAATTTGTTGGACTCCTTGCGGGTTTTATGCTGCCGTAGAGAGTAAAGGATTAGTTTCACCCTCTCGCATTATGATTATGGGGATTATAGTCTTGGTAAATAAATATCTTTTCCTATTAAAGTAATTTTCAAAGTGTTATTGCAAAATGTGCACCTAATTAGGAAATGTAATTAATGATTTCCCAATAAGGAAGTTCTTTTGTTTTGTGAGGGAAAGCGTAATTTTGTAAGAAATATCCATTAAAAGGCATAAGCAATATACAGACCAATGTTTGCATTGCTAGCGATGTTCATTTCTTCTTCCCGAAGAAGTTCATGAGTGAGGCTTGTTTTTTGTTTCCCGTTTTGGGGGCTATCTTACTCAGAGGAGGAGCTGAGCCTATTTCTGTAGGTGCATTGTTTTGCAGTGGGGCTTTAGGCTTGTTTGCTGATTTAGCCGCTTTATTGGCTTTAGGCTTTGGGCGGTGTGTTATTATGTAACCATCCTCATCATACTCGGGTTCTTGGGGCTGTTCAAGCTCAAAATTTGTCATCCCCTCTTCCGGGGCTTCAACTTCTTCGACTCCTACTTCTGCAGGTTTCGCTTCATCGGCCTCCATCTTGAATAATTCCACATTTTCGTCTTCATTGTCTTCTGCCATAATAGGCTCCTCAAGTTCGTTAACGTTGCCATCATTATCACTAAAATCATCCTCAAACATGGCTGAGAGCTTGGTTTTATCTTCCTTGGTTATCTTCTTGGCCACATCAAGATCCGCGTGTTCGTCATCGTTGTCATAGTCGTGAGACATCACCACCTTATCCGGCTTTTGAGTTGCAGGCTTCCGTGATTTATACTGGTACTTTGGTACTGGCTCTGCCTTTCTCTTTGTCGAAGCCATCTTAGTTATATCGGATCCAATAGGGGCAGGTTTCTGTTGCTTCCTCGATACATAACCTGATGAAAGACCAGTGTTGAACTTTTTGGGCTCCTGCTTCACATTGGTTGGGGACCTCGCGCTATTGTTAATTGGTACAACCTCTGCTTTGACAGGCTGTAGAAGGCTGTTTGAAGAGGCTACCAATGCGGGGCCTTTAATCATCCCCAAGTCGTAATAGTAATCCAACTTATCGACGCTAACCTGAATCTTCAATTGGTTCAAAACAAGGTCCTTAACGGAGTATTTGAATTCACTCAAACTCAAAGAGTAAATGTGCACACTGGAGACTTTATCGAACGCTTTCAAATGCTCATTGACTTGATCTTCAAACTCGACGAACTTAAGCTCGATGGCACCTTTAACGGTTCCAGTTATAATAAATGAAGCATTCAATTTTGTCTTATTGGACTTGAAGAAATTATACAAGATTTCTTTAGAACGGCTCAAAGGTACACCCAAATCTTTGGATAGCTGAGAGTAAGAAACAATGGAGTTGTCCTTGAAGAGTTTGTCGGAGATGTATTCAACCTCCTTTTGTGAATCTCCCATCGTCATTACAAAATACAAATATTAAATTCACGCGACGCGAGAATTGAGAGCTGCGAAATAATCATCAAAATACTAATAAATACGATTTTACTATACACGGACACATAAAATAAATAGTTAGACCTTTTACAATTCGTCTTTCACAGGTTCTATTGGTGTTTGATGTTCAGCAGCCTTCCTGGATAAGTATTCTTGTTCGGCCTTTTTTCTGAGTTCTAAAGACCCATTCAAATCGTTTTGAATCATGTCTTCAGTAACACCACCGCTAATTAAAGTCTTCCATGTCTTCAAGTTTGCGAACCCATTTCTGGCATTCTGATAATCAGCAAAGGCTCTTCTGATTCTTTCTTGGTCCTTGGCAACAAAAGGTCCGTAGTGGACAGTATGTTGATCCAACACTTCTCCTCCAACCAACATGAACTCAATGTTGTTATCGGAATCCAAAGGATTGGCTCCTTTGATGGAAGATCCGTCCATTTTGAAAAAAGCAGCACTATTTTGCTTCAAAGTGTTTCCGTCGCTTAACCTCAAGCCATTACCTTGAGTAACATAAAGGAAAACGTTGAAGTTCTCTGGGACTGGTTGTTCGAATATCGAGCCTGGTTTCATAATGTAGTGGTAATAGTGGATTGGAGTGTATGCCAAATCTTTTAAGGATTCAACACCATACGAGTTTCCACTGATGACTTTGACTGTCAACTTTCCATCTTGTTCAACAGCTTCTGGGATCTCATAGGCTCTCAAATCTCTGTACCTTGGGGACACTTCCTTCAATTCATGGGGTAAATCTACCCAGAGCTGAATACCTGCTGGTGTGACACCATCTGGTAACCGAACAGGCATTTCAGAATGCACAACACCTTTACCAGCAGTCATAAATTGCAAGTCACCAGCGTACAAGATTCCTTTGGATCCGGTGAAGTCTTCGTGCGCAAAGGCTCCTTTAGTAATGTACGTAATGGTTTCTTGTCCTAAATGTGGATGTTCTGGAAATCCACCTTCTCCACCGCTGAAGTGGTCAGCCATTAGGAATGGCGAAAACTGCCTCATTCCATCGACACCGACGAATCTTCTGACGATTGCTCCAACTCCTTCAGGTCTTTCAGTAGCATGTATGATTTTCTTAACGGTTCTGTTCATTAGATTAGATTCGGGGATTTTAGTACTCAAGGTCTTTTTGATTAAACTAAGCAAAAAAATTGATATTATGAATATCTGGAGATTCATTCACCGTATTTATAGTTTCTCTGAAAACCTAGGCGTTGACAAATAATCAATGAATTTGGTCACTTTATATATTTCTCGTTTGTAAGATCTTAGTAAAATGAATTTTTCCGCGATGTAAGCGGCTGCAGAAACAGAATTTGTTACTAAAGCTAATTAGCAATTGGTTAGCAATTCTCCTTGAAGGATCCAGAGCCTTCTATTCCTTTATGTTAATTCAGTGATATTGACCATGTAGAGGGCTCATTAGGGCATTGTATATTATTTGAGAATAAGAAAAAAGTAGAAACGGATTAGAAAATATATAGACGGAAATAAACGAAGACTAAAAAAAAAGTAAAAACATTGTGGATGGATCTAGCCCTGAAGCGTTAGTACGTAAGTCTAGTTCTCTCCAACTCTTTATCAAGGTCAGCAAACCTTTTCTTGATTGCAACATCGGTAGCGTTCTCTCTCTTTTCAGCTATGACTCTAGTGACTAACGTAGAGTTCTCTCTCTTTCCCACTAGTGCTGTAGTAGCCAATGTGGAGTTATCTCTCTTGGAGAACGCTTCGACTTTTCTGGTCAAAGTACCTTCTTCCCAGATACTTCTTCTGGCTCTTAACGGTTTTAAAATTGGGATAGCATCTCTCCCATAGATAGCAGCAGCGTGAACAACAAAGACGAAAGAGAAAAGCGCCAACAAAGATGAAATGAAAGTGGGTTGCATGTCTATAGAATGCGTCTATGAGGTTATTGATAAATATTTAGGTGGACGAATCTGCAGATTAAATACATAAGTTGGGAATTTTGCTCATCAGGAACGACAGCTTATTAACAACGATTTAACAAGAGAGATGTATACCTAACCCCTACAATTATTGTGGTTCTTCAATTGTCAACTTTCATCTCATTGTAGCAGTGGTACATTCTTACCTGCCAAACAATCATTTTGCACCCATTATGACAAAGTGCAAATACATAGGTATCGACACGACTTTACTTGAAACGAGTTTAGCAGCCAGCTCTAAGCTGCGAAAACAATAGACTAAGATAAAGACTTAGATAAAGTAATAGGAACAATTAGCTCTAGAGCATAGGGTTTACGGGCTAATTAGACCAGTGATATTATTGAACATGAAATTTGCCATAATTATGGTAGTAAGCGTTTGAAGCCTCAAATATGATTTAAGGAAAAGCGATTAAGGGACATACTCGGCTATCTGTCCTCTACTGAGTACTTCAAACTGTTGAATTGGAGAAAGGTTGGAGGGTTGTGTATAATGGCAGGAAAATTGGAGGTTACCAATCGCCAAAAACAATTAGCGTGTGTCTGTGGTTACCTGAGAAAATGTACCTATTCACCACAAAGTTGTCCGGATATTGACAATGTTAGTTCCATTTTGACATTTCCCTTTCACACGAATATTATGGACATCGTACGGTCTCCAAACATTGTTATTTTGCGTATAAACCTTGTTTGGTGCACTGTGGGCCAGCCGTATTTGATAGCCCGAGATGCAGGTCTAAAATTGCGAGACAGTCCGAGGGGTCTCGGTTTTCAACACCAATTTCATCTCTTCACCCAGACAGTAAGAAGATATGAAAGCAATTGTGTACCACGGCAAGAATGATTTGCGATTCCACAGTGACTACATTGAACCTCAAGTACAGCATCCAGAAGATGTGAAGATTAAGGTGTACTACTGTGGGATTTGTGGGTCTGACTTGAAAGAGTATACCAGCGGACCCTTCTTTTTCAATAAACCTGGAACCACCAACCCCATTTCCAACTTGCAGTTCCCGATGGTATTGGGCCACGAGATGAGTGGTGAAGTGATCTCTGTTGGATTTGGTGTTACTCTGTTGAAGGTTGGTGATAAGGTGGTGGTGGAGGTAACAGGAACTTGTAAAGATAAACATCGGTTTGAAGAGTCGCCTGCGAAGGACAAGCCCGAGTGTGGTGCTTGTGAAGATGGTCACTATAATGCTTGTGACAACTTGGCATTGACGGGATTAGGGTTTAGTGATGGAGGTTGTGCTGAGTATGTTGTCACCACTCAATCGAAGTTGATTAAGTTTGACGAAAAAAAGATCCCTATGGATATTGCTGCATTGGTACAGCCTTTGGCAGTTTCATGGCACGCCGTGAAGGTGTCTCGGTTGGAAGAGGGACAATCAGCATTGATCTTGGGAGGAGGTCCCATTGGTTTGACCACTATTTTTGCTTTAAAAGGTCATAAGGCAAGTAAGATTGTGGTCAGTGAGCCAGCTCTTGCCAGAAGGCTATTGGCAGAAAAATTGGATGTGATGACTTTTGATCCTACTGGAAAATCCGTGGAAGACTGTGTTAAGGAATTGCGGGCTTTGTCTCCAGGAAATCATGGATTCCATCACACTTTTGACTGTAGCGGAATAAGTTCGACCTTTGAAACCAGTATCAAATGTCTTCGAATCAGAGGTACCGCCACCAACGTGGCGGTGTGGGCGAAGAAATACATCCAGTATTCGCCAATGGATACTACCTTGAGCGAGAAAATCGTCACTGGGTCCATTTGTTTTGTCAAGTCTGATTTCGAAGCTGTAGTTAATTGTATTGAAGCGGGTGATATCGATGTCAATGAACTCAGGTTGATGATTACAGATAAAATATTGCTCGATAATGGGGTCAAAGAAGGATTCGACGAGTTGTTGAGCAACAAAGAGAAACATATCAAGATGCTTTTTACTGCTTATAGAGAGCTTCTCTAGGAACATTGTAAATAAGCCATATTAAATATAAAAACTACTACTACTACTTTTCACATCCAGGATCAACCCTTCTTTTTGGCAAACGTGTAGACAGTGGCCCACACAACGGTGAACTCGAAGTCATCGTCCCAGCCAAGTGTCAGTGCCAACTTATCAATGAACTGATCCGCAACATCTTTCTTATCTGGATAAGCCTTCATCCAGTTATGATAGGCACTCCAGCTGGTAACATACTCCTTGAAAATCGCAAGGTTGATTCGTTTAGCGATATACAAAGTGTTTGGAGTCTTGTCTCTCAAAGGCTCGTACTCAACTCTAGTAATATCAGTGTACAAGTCTTCGGGAACATCAATTTCTTTCATCAATGTTCTAAGCAAGGCCCTCCCTGGCTGCTCATATTGAGGTCCCATATATTCTGGAGACTCATAGCAAAATTCGTCATAAATATCATTAGCAGCTGGGAAATCAACAAAAATCGGGTCTTTGTAGAACCAAAACGCCAAAGTTCCACCTGGTTTTAGAATCCTCCAACTTTCCTTGAAGAAAACTGGGTGATCAACCCAGTGACAACATTCAGCACCTGTAAGTAAGTCTACCGAGTTTTCTTTGATCACAGAGGGAGTTTCCTCTGCCGCACCAACATAAAACTCGAGTTTATCACTTTTTTGAGTACGGGGATCAGCTCTACACTGTTCGACCATCACTTCACTAATATCAGTACCAATAACCTTTTTGAAATACTTTGTCAACGCAAAGGTAACAAACCCTGACCCACATCCAATGTCAACTGCTAAGTCACGAGAGGATCCATGATAGTCCATCAATGTTTCGTAAAAAGCAGGAGGATAAGAGGGTCTAGCATCATTGTAGTGTTTAGTGTTGAAGTCTTTCTTAGAATATGTGGCCATTGTGAGTAATAAACGGAGCCAATTGAAGAAACTATAATCCAAATCACTAAGAATGGGGGTCAATTTATATATGATAAGTTCCCTAGACCGGGCCGCAACCGGCGACTGATGCGATTTTGCAGCCTACCAATTGATTCATCTTATTTACATATTTACTTCATTTACACATGACACACAACAAATTAGATATTAAAAGGGAGGACAGAGTGCCCGCTGCTACTAGTATTGTTTATTCTTGTTTTTTTGGGATTTGAAAAAAATTAGTCTTTCTTATCTTTCTTGAGATTATAATTGTACTTGCCCTTGGTCTTTTCGTTCAAGAATTCTTTGTACTTCTCCAAGGTGACCTTCTTCTGAAGTTCTTTGTACTCTTCAATGAACTCATACTTGGTGCCGAACCATCTATCCCAGAAGGTGAAGAAAGGTTGAGAAAAGTTATGCTTGAAGCCCCAGCTCTGATGGTGAATATCATGATACACAGAATTGTTGGGGAAAATGAATTGGAACGGGTCCAAGGGCAACCGGTACCCGCAGTGGTCATCAATGGTTTTCATAGTACTAAATGTGTACAAGAATAATGACTCTCTGGAGGTTAAGCCAGTTAGTAAGCCCGCTACCCCGGTACCACATGTATCCAATAAAAATCCTTCCACTGGATCATTATACAAGGCTCCGTATGCGTATGGCACTTGTAGCCGATGGTGCCTCGAATGAAACCGGGAATATAAGTATTTGTTGACATGCATTAACCGGTGGAGCATAAATTGCCATGTATCGATGATGATGAAAGCTAACACCACCTTGAAGAACGAAACTCCATAAGTATACAAAAACCAGATCACCTCATTGGGGACCCAGGTGAACTTCTGTTTCCAATACCACATTTGGTTTAGCTCGTAGCCCGTTGTAGGGATTTTATCAAGCTTGTAGAACACGATTCCAGCAATAGTCTGAATAATGTGCTGGAGAATCACATCTTTAATGACATCTGAGATCTTTGCCTTGTTTTTTGCAAGCTCCTCTTCACTTGGGTGGATTCTGTAGGCCTCTGCAAGTTTATACACATCAATTATATGGAAGAAAGTTGAGTAGACCCAATACGCTACTATGGGTGCAATCAACGCCAAAATGCCATCAGGAAGTCCCTCAATCAAGTCAGCCTTTTTCTCAATAAACACTGGAGGAGCGTACAGTGCGTTGGATATCACTGTTAAGTTTTTGGGAGGTAGAAATGGGATTTCCATCGTGTTGTGTTTGACCTCACGAAGATAAATAAACCCGGAAAAAATCTCAAACTGGTGACTTATATGCGAGCATGGAAAACCAGCTGACGGAAAAAGAAAGTGCGTCACGTTAGTGATATGGTGAGATCTTGGACAAAATTGGTAAGAGAGCCTCGTGGTTATCGGTACTAACTATGGTGACTGTGAATGGTGATGAATATTTATAGGAGTTGACAGGAATGTATTAATCAGCCCATTTGTTTAGGTATTTATAATCAAAGGTCGTGTACACCGGAAACCTCATTGGATGCGAACTAGAACTTCTAGTAGACTAGGAAGTCTAGACTAAGAAGCCTAGACAATGCTGGAAACAGGCAAATTTGCTACACGGTATGCATCTTTTTGCTGTTTGTTGCATCTTATCCGTTTCCCGGAAATTTTGGGAAGTTTAAAGTTTACTTCTGTTTGTAGTGAGGAGCCTAGATGTTAATGATATAGCAACGCAGGATTCGATAAAAGATATCACAAGAGGTCCAGAACAGCTATATAGAGTCTTAGAAGAGCATACTCTGGAGTCTAGTTTGTAAATTTGGAGGATTGAAAAGGTATTTCAAGGTTGCGGGCCTATAGAGTTCGTGTGAGGTTTGATCTCTACGGACCTGGACTTAGAGAGTTCGCATCTACCGCGATTTGTCTGCGCGCACGGCAGCGAACAAATCTCAGTTTCTGTTATAACTAAAGTCAAGCTCTGGAGCAAACCACAAACATAGACGATTTCACCCAGTTTAATCCCTAGCATCGCAACTCACATATACATCAAACGGCTACAATGTCTAAGAACTCCAAATTTTCAGCCGATGATATATGGAAAAACAACATTGACAAGATCAATTCAGAATTGTTCATATTGACATACGGATCTGTAGTAAGCCAATTATGCAAAGACTACAACCAAGAATACGCCCAAGTCAACAAAGAACTTGAGAAGATGGGATATAATATTGGAATACGACTCATCGAAGAGTTTTTGGCCAAGACTGGGATACAAAGGTGTCAAACTTTTAAAGAGACGGCAGATGTAATATCTAAAATGGGGTTCAAGATCTTCCTCAACATCCAACCAATCATTGCAAACTGGTCACCAGATGGCAAGGCGTTCAGTTTGATTCTCATTGAAAACCCCTTGACCGAGTTTGTGCAAGTGCCGTTGACCGGTGGAATGGCTAAAGAATTATGGTACAGTAATGTTCTCTGTGGGATATTGAGGGGAGCCCTTCAGATGGTGCAGATGGACTGCGAATGCTGGTTTATCAAGGACGTTCTCCGTGGTGATGAACACACCGAATTACGGTTAAAGTTGAACAAGATCTTAAAAGATGAGGTTCCTGCTGGAGAAGACTAGAGCATTAGACCGAGCCAAAGGTCCTTATAATATACGTATAAACTTCAGTTATAAAACATGTTTAACCCTTCCCCCCACAAGAGACGCACCTATCCCCGTCTTTACTTCTCTCCCTTTCTGCACATGTCGCACTTTCGACGCTCTGATCCAAGTTACAGCAATTCACATATCCTACTCCCTATGAGTATAGGCAACCAATTGTACCTTATAGTCCATGCCATAGTGTATGACTTGGTTGTAGTATTTTGCCAGTCAATTATTCATACTTTTTTCAAAGACATTCGAGTTCGAGGCTCCTTCAACATTCCTAAGAAGGGTCCCATCATATTTGTGATTGCTCCCCACCACAACCAATTCTTAGATGGTAGCGTTGTAGCTGCTAAAATTAAGGAGTATGGCGATAGAAGGGTCTCTTTTCTTGTGGCAGGGAAGTCGTATCGGGACCCTTTTATTGGTCTTTTGTCAAGATTGACATCTGCAATTCCTGTGGAGAGAGCTCAAGACTTGATGAAAACAGCAAAGGGGAAGATTTATCTCGGTGATCAGGACAATATTATAATTGGTGAAGGAACCAAGTTTACTAAAGACTGTCAGGTCAAAGGTTTGATCGGGTTACCGAATTCCAAGGGTAATTTCCAGATTGTGAAGATAGTGAGTGATACTGAAGTGGAAATAAAAGGTGACTACAAAGACAAACGAGAACTGCTCACTAAGATTCGGTACGATATGTTGCGCGCAGGCTCAAGATATAAGACTGCTCCTCACGTGGATAACCATGTGTTGTTTCAAAAGGTGTTTGACTTTTTGAACAGTGGTAAGGCCATGGGATTGTTCCCAGAAGGAGGTTCGCATGACAGAAGTGACCTTTTACCATTGAAGCCTGGCGTGGCTATAATGGCATTGGGAGCTATATCTCAGTGCAAGGATCCCGACGGGGTGATTAATATCATTCCCATGGGGTTGAACTATTTTCACGCTCATCGGTTTAGATCCAGGGCTGTTATTGAATTTGGGAAACCCTTGCAAATTACAAAGGAAGATGGTGAAAAGTACCTCAAAGACCAGAGGAAGACCATCAACGACTTGCTTAATACGATAACATTCAAGTTGAAAGAAGTGACAGTTACGTGTGATGACTTTGAGACTCTTGTGACGTTACAAGCTGTGCGGAGATTATTTACTACCGGACAACGTGAACAAATCCCTTTACCAATGGTGGTGGAAATGAACAGGCGACTCATTCGTGGATATGAGTTGCATAAAGACGAACCAGATGTGATCGAGATGAAGAAGTTGGTTATGGAATATAACAAACAATTGATGCTTTTAGGGTTACACGATCACCAGGTGGATTCTCTCACTGCTTCCAACAAATTACACACAGCCATTGTGTTTCTTGGGCGTTTGTTCAAGGTATTTTTGTTCTTTGGATTGAGTATGCCTGGAATCTTTCTATTCTCCCCCGTGTTTATCACCGCCATAAGAATCAGTAAGAAGAAGCAGAAGGAAGCATTAGCAGGTTCAGTGGTTAAAATCGAGGCCAAGGATGTGCTTGGAACGTGGAAAGTATTGGTTGCCTTGGTATTGGCTCCATCCTTATATGTGTTTTACTCTATTTGTGGTACGGTGCTTATCCTCAAGTTGGATGTTATTCCTTGGTTAAACAGCAGCTGGAAGTACAAGGCATTGGTGTTTCTTTTCTGCTATTTCTGGTCGGTTCTTACGACATATGCTTCCTTGAGAATTGGAGAGATTGGTGTGGACTACTACAAATCGTTGAAGCCGTTGTTCTATTCCCTTGTGAGCGAGAATAAAGACTTGATTCAAATCGACGAGTTGAAGAATCAACGGCAGTTCTTATCACAAAAAGTCACCGATTTCTGTGACAGGTATGGGAGAGTCATTTTCAAAGACTACCAAGAGTTCTATGATCTATATAACGAGAATGACATTGATGTCAATATCGCTAATGTGAAGATTTTTAGTGACCAGGTTAGTGAGCACAGCAGCAGCGGCGACGAGGAAGAAAAAGAGACTCATCGGAATGAAGAAATAAGAAACGAAGCAACACGGAACAAGATCTCAAAGATGATGAAGAAGAAGTCCAAACAATCGTAAGTTGTACTCTTGACATTAATGACATTAATATTATTGCAACCAAATAAATGTAAGTGTATATAGTGTATTGCAGCCAAAAGTTTGCCCGCGCACCGCCCGGGGGCAGCTGCCGGCATTTTCTTTTTCCCATGACCATAGGTGGCCTGACCACACACACGACCCAACCTAACAATTTCATGATCCTTATCAGTGGCAAGAAACAAAACTCAGATTTAGTCATCAAAACCACTTTAGTCGTTTTAGATTTTATTGCCACCAACCCTTTGTTACTCCCCTTATTGCCACCCAAACCATGAAGTTGAACATTAGATTATCCACCGAGAATTCCTTCACCGTCTCCACTGCATCCACTGTTTACGCCGATTTGGTCCAAGAGATTCAGCTGTGTTCGTCTTTTCCCTTACCACAAACATTTAAACTTATTTACAACGGAGAGAAATTGAGCGACACCCGCCTTGCAGATTTGCAAGCAGCTGCCAGCGAAGGTGTCGCTGGCGATGCTGAAATCAATGTAATATTAATGGAAGAAAGCAAGAAACTTGTTAAGAAGAAGAAGAGCAAGAAGTGTTCATTCCAGAGCTGTAACTCAAGTCCTTTGAGAATGGTTGGTGACTGTCATCACTGTACCGGCAAGTTCTGTGCCAAACACCGCTTGTTAGAAGACCACATGTGTCTGGGTTTACAGTGCTACAAAGAAATTGCTCACGAGCAGAATGCATTAAAGTTAGAGAACGAACGGACTATTTCCAGCAAGGTATAAGCTTAACAGTATAGACACGGTAGATAGGATATCGGTGATGGTTGGGTTTCATAGAGTGACGTTTATTATGTAGTAATGTATGAAATATTTATTCCTCAAGTAGGTTGTCAAGAATGTCTTTATACTTGCCGTTAGTGACGTTATTGGCCCTAACAAGGATTTTCTCGGCTTCCGCGTAACACTTGGTTTGGTCTTCGGATTCGAGTTCGTGCAAGTTGCCTAACGAAATCAACAGCTCGCTCAAATTGACCCATGTCAGAACGTCCTCGTCGTCCCAGCTTTGGCGTAAGTAGTTGATAGCTGTCTGGAAGAGTTCGATACCGATAGCTTGGGCAGTAGCCTCATCTAGTCCATTAATTTCCAGGTCGGTGAACAGATCATCATACTTTAACGTAGTAAAAATGTTGGCAGGTTCTTCTGCTTCTTTCAAGTACGACTGGCCAAGATTAAAGCAAACGGTCTTATACAATTTCTCAGGTTTTTTGTCTTGTTTTTGCAATACCTTATAGAATTTGATGACATGATCTCTCCACCACTGGTTGAACTCGTCACTTTCACGGATGTTTTGAATCGATTCTGGGACATTTGAGTCTTCTTCTTGGACATCTTTATCTTCTTCTTCTTCGTCACTATCGTTATCGAGATTAGATTTACCGAAATTGTCCACCACCTCAAGGATCTCATCGAAAAGCTTGATGGTTTCGAAAGTTTCTTCGTTGTAGAGCTGAAAGTTGTCCTGGATTTCACTCAGGGTCTCAGCTTTCTCGAAGGCTGAAAGGGCCCGAGCCAAGTCTTTTTCTAAATCGTATGATTTAGTGTGTTTGAGTTCTTTCAACTCACCCAATTGGTGCATTACTTGGTTCAATAGAACTTTAGAGGTTTGGAACTGCAATTCGATGTTCTCAGGGAATACTTCGATCCCAAGTATAACTTTTTCTAGACTGAGATCGATCAAATCCCCGACTTCGGAGGGATCTCTGTAGTTGATGAGCTCCAACAAGCTATTCGAGTAAAGAGCATAGAAAAAAGCCGGGGTTTTCTGGGAGTCTTCGTTCCGGATGAGACGGTCACATTCGTGGATCACACCGTTTAATATGAGCTCGTTTTGTTCGGATTTGTACTTGGAATAAAGAGACTTCAACTGAACAAACTCATCGTCGCTCACACTAGCAGGTAGCTCAATGGTGACATTTTCTGCCGAAACCGGCTCCTTGAGCACATTGGAGGGACCTGTGCTCCCAGACTCGGTCTTTTGTCTCTTTTTAGCTTTGCTGAGTCCTAACTGTCTCTTGGCCATGTTTGCAGATGAGTAAATAGTTGCAATCAGCTCATCGAAATGTCTTCGCACCAAAATGCGGTCGCCTGCACAGGGCGCGGCACGTGATATAACATTATCGGTGATGCCTCTAATGTCATAATTATCTGGAGAAAATCCTGCAAAAACCTATATCTACAACATGTTGGTGAACTGGAAGTGTGAAGGAGAAGTGCATTTAGTGGTAGGTGATATCAACGGGATCATCAGTCACCGACTCAAGACCATCGTTGATTCAGGAGCCACCCCCATTCTTATAACACAAACTCCAAACAATCTTGAGTATGAGCAGTACAACAAACAGTTTGACCTCAAGGACCTACACCGAGGCCGAGCCGAAACCATGAACATAGTGGATAAGGTGACGGTGAATATAGCCTCAGATGGCGTCAAACGCCAGATCTACAACGAGTGCAGACGTCTAAGAATTCCTATTAGCACTATTGATAGTGCAGAATACTGTACTTATTCAGCGGTGACCACGTACAAAAAGGGCGGATTCCAGGTGGGTGTCACTACCAGTGGGAACGGGTGCAAGTTGGGATCTCGAATCAAGAGGGAAATTGTCAGTAAACTTCCACCCGACATAGACTCAATTTGTCAGAATGTTGGAGACTTGCGTAGAGTGATTTTACAGCAGGATGGAGTGTTTGACAGCGACGATGATGACACAAACTTGCAGTTGAACGTTCTAGTGAAGGAATTTGACATGAACGAGCAGGACTTGAAAATGAAGCGGATCAACTGGTTGAATCAGATTGTGGAGTACTATCCTTTGGAAAAATTAAGAGGCTTGAAGCTCCAAGACTTGGAGGATGGTGCGGGTGCATTACCAGCATACACGAGAACAGACACTTGCGCTGCAAAACGAGCCAAGGGGAAGGTTCTCCAGAAAAAGGGTACGATTTCTCTTGTGGGTGCGGGTCCAGGAAGTGTATCATTACTTACAAAGGGTGCTGTGGATGAAATCATCCTGGCAGAATTGGTCCTTGCAGACAAACTTGTACCACAGGAAGTTCTTGATATGGTCCCCAAGAAAACCGAGTTGTTCATTGCCAGGAAATTCCCAGGAAATGCAGAAAGAGCTCAACAAGAACTACTTGAGTTAGGACTCGAAGCATTAAACAAGGGCTTCAAAGTGGTGAGATTGAAACAGGGTGACCCATACATTTTCGGCCGTGGGGGTGAGGAGTATCTTTTTTTCAAAGAACATGGATTCATTCCTCTTGTTCTTCCGGGAATAACTTCAGCATTATCAGCTCCACTTCTAGCCAACATTCCTATGACTCACCGAGACGTCAGTGACCAGGTTCTCATTTGTACTGGAACCGGGAAGAAAGGCTGTTTGCCCAACATCCCTGAGTTTGTCACCACCAGAACTACTGTTTTCCTTATGGCATTACATCGCATCAATGAGTTTGTAGATGCTCTTGTGGAGAAGGGCTGGGATACGGAATTGCCATGTGCTATCGTGGAGCGTGCCAGCTGTCCAGACCAAAGAATTATTAAATCTCGTTTGATGGAGCTCCCTGATGTGGTACAGAAGTACGGATCTCGGCCACCAGGCTTGCTTGTCACTGGCTATGTAACTAATCTTTTGAACGACGACATCTTGGTCGAGGGAGTCACCAACGCCGTTCCTGGGTACACACTTCCAGCATAGATGGAGCCTGCTACTTAATATCCTGATGTAAGCTCTCATGAGCTCGTGTACATAGTATCAGTATTTATTAATGGATTTCGTTATCTTTTTGCAGTCAATCAACTCGCGACGAAAATCAAAACTTATCTCGATAATCTTGCTAATGTTCAAAAACGCAGTTCGTTTCTTGAGCAGAACACCAAAGAGTGTGGTGTTCGACATAGATGGTGTGCTAATTAAGGGAGGAAGGCAAATTCCACAAGCACGTCCAGCATTGGAACTTTTGGACAAGAACCGCGTTCCTTTTGTGTTGTTGACAAATGGCGGTGGTGTGAAAGAGTCCGATAGGATTGAATATCTATCAGATTTGATTCATTACAAGTTTCGGAATGATCAAATCGTGCAGAGTCACACGCCTATGAAGGAACTCATTCATAAGCATCCCAATGTGATGGTGGTAGGAGGTGTTGGCAATAGAGCTCGCGAGTGTGCCGAAAGCTATGGGTTTGAGCTGGTGGTAACTCCAGTAGACTTGGTACGGTTCAATCCCCACGTAGCGCCATTCAATCGCTATACAGAGGAAGACCTCAAAACGCTTGCCCGGCCTTTTGACGGACGGCCCATAGACGCTATTATGGTTTTTAACGACCCTCGTGATATGTCTACAGATCTACAAGTGATCATGGATCTTTTAAACAGTGATAAGGGTCAATTCGGAACACACCGGAAGTCCAAGGGTCCTGTGCCAGCAGTGCCCATTTATTTTTCAAACAATGATTTTTACTGGGCGAACGAATTCAGTCTACCACGGTTCGGGCAAGGGGTTTTCAGAATTATTATCGAAACCGTATACAAGGAGATAAATCGTGGCGCAAACTTGCATTATACTATGTTTGGAAAACCATTTAAGGTTCAATACGATTACTGTGCTAAGCTTCTTAGCAGCGACCAAATCTTTATGGTAGGAGACAACCCATTAAGTGACATTGAGGGTGCAAACAATTACGGGTGGGAGTCATGTCTTGTGAAAACAGGAGTCTATAAGCCCGGAGATGTCACAAAGGACCCAACAATGGGAGTATTTGACGATGTTTATGGTGCCGTATCTGCAATATTGGCAAATGAAGGGTATTCGCCCAAATAGGGATGATTGGCATGAATTTTTTTTTATTATATTCCTGCAATAGAATTCATGCGTCTGCATGGAACCTCCCTAAGATCGTGTGGTAAGGTCCGAAAATTCATGCTTGAAACTTGGCTGAATTCACTACTCAAAAGCCTAGAATCATGCTATATCTTATTAAACAAATTAAACATAAGCAAGAAGAATAAACAAGTTTAGATAAAGGCTAGAATTCGGATTAAAAGGTACATTAAAAGAAATCATTATTAAATAGGTTCTAGAACTAAACAAGCAATGTCATAAAAGCGTTTTCATGTCTATGTGGTGGGTGACTACATCAACTTACTGTTAATCATAGCACTTTTGATTGAAACTCTTCTACCATTCTTCCCCTTGCGTACCTTGTTGTTCAACACCTCTTGAGCAGCAATTGCAGCTCCCTTTCTCTTCACCAACTTGGCATGGTACAAACCACAAGCATTGCACAATGTTCTTACACCATTGGGACCTCGTCTCCATTCGGGAGTCTCTGTGGTTCCACATCTGTGGCACTTGTTGATGGGTTTGTTGATCACCTCTGGCACAAGGTATTGCTGTTGAGGTGACGGTGTCGACTGGCCATAGTAAACTGAGTAATATGGCATATAGTAGCTGTATCCCAGTTGTTGTGCAACCGGAAACTCTGTAGGTGAGTGTATATGTTGTCCATGAGCAGCTGGAGGTGTTACCACCGGTGGAGGAGACACCATTTGCTGGGGAGAAACCATTTGGCGAGGAGACTTCCCGTATTGATAGTTGGTACCAAACTTGTAGGCTGGTTGAAGGGCAGGAGTGGTAGTATTAGTAGTGGTTGCGGTATTGCCATTGGCAGAAGTATAAGCTGGACTGTAATGCGTTAACTGAGACAATGAAGGTAATTTGATGGGAGTAGCTAAGGAAGGCTGAGAAGCCGTGTAACCACTCAAGTCAGGTAACTTGACTTCATGGGATCTGGTCAATTCACTGATGGAGGGTAATTTTGTTCTACTGTCCAACATATTATTACGTTATATTTTTTTGGAAATTTTAGATAGGTTTTGATAGATTGAGTTTATTGTACAAGACCCGAAATTGGGTGGGATAGCTGGATATTTATAATTATTTGATCCAGAGTGGCACATTTCAAACCTTTTTACCAGTTATAATATTCTAATTTAAGAATTGCTTGCTTACTTAATCCGTTCTTTCCCTGCAGAAGAGGTCAAAAGCGAAAGAAAAGAAAAAACCAAATTGCGTTTTCAATGGATTCCCTTTTTTGCGGAGTCTCAGGCATTTGCCCGGCAACCATTTCGCAACCCGACGGCTTATTACGAATTATAAAGAGACAAATTTACCTGGATCTGCGTTTAGTTCAGGGTTTAATTGAACCAAATATGAATTGTATCATTGGTATAGAGTCATATGAATGTACCTAGCTGGACAAGATGAGGTCTTAACAGCTATCCGACCCGATCCGATCTCATAGCCGGCATTTTACAGCGAACAAAAGGTTGTAAGAGCTGAATATCAACACACATAGCCAATTATTACACTTGTGGCTGTCGAGTATGCGGCTGCGTCACGCAGTTGCAGGACTTTAATAAAAATAAAGCATTGCGCTCGTCTGAATAATTTCAAGAAACGCTCAATAGTGAAATTTATGCAGTGGAACGACTACAAGGCTGCAGACGAAGTTATGAACAAATCCAGGCCCATTTTACGATCTTGAAAATAATCAGGCAGGAATGCGTTCGCCCATTATTAATTTGCGAATACTGGCCTAGGACATTGATGTCAAGTAGCAAACTTTGTAATGGCTGTGTCATTACAAACCTAATCTGCGCCATAAAGCTTGTATGGAGATCCTGATGAGCGAGCGCACGAGAGTCAATTAAAATCCCCAGTAGCACGTTTGCAAAGGTTTAAGGTTCAAGAACTGTCGGCAGGATTCAAGGTTACAGTTTTTGGGTTGTGCGACTATTGAACCAGATACTCTTCGACTAAACCGGCGCATAAGGTTCTGCCTCATTAGGAAATTAGAGTTGAACTTTATTAATGCTAGAGCAAAGAGAGATACGCGACACCTCCGACACATGCAGTTTCGAGTAAAAAATAACCCTTAACCAGTATCCGGAAGCAAATCCCGGTTGAGAAACCGGCAGGCAGGCATGTAGAGGTGCATCTTGGCTGCCATCTAATGCAAGGGTCGGTGGTCAACCTGATACATCCATTCACTTTTAAAACGCTGAATATATTTAGTACTTCAACCTTATTTCCTGAGTATCTGCCATCACCACCAGTGGCTCGGCTATATCTTGTACAGGGTCAAGACCCTCAACCGCAAAATATCGCATTTCCGTGCGTAGGTGTTGATCCCGTATCTACTTTTCATTTTCCCCGCTGTCATGCAAGCAAGTTTTGTATTGTTTCATCATCGAAAGCTTCCATATTAGGTCGGTATATGCAACCATTACATAATCACACCCCGTTGTTAGTATAGTTTCGTCGCCGTTACTAGTGCTAGCCTTGTCTAGTTTTCAGAGGACGAGGATTAATTTGGGCGTAGCAATTTGAGGGAAAAAGATCTGGATGGTTATCCAAGGCAAACCTTAATGAGTTTTTATTTGCTCATTCAGCATTGCCTGCATTACCCAGCGACCAACACTACCATAGGTTTTGAGGTTTTAGATATGTGAAGAATCCCGAAACAACACTCTGTACTTCGACTATGCCAGAGTGGCACTTAAAAACAGAGTTAGATCTGATCCAATTCGAAAACAATATCAGATGGAGGACTGGCCAAGAAACCATATTGCTGGGCCATCCATATGTAACGATCCGAAAATGGTTTCTACATGCACTGTATCATGCACAAGAATGTTTGGCGCATTTCGAGAGGGGTGATGAGACGGTAACCAAAAAATCTCAGTCACACAACGTCTCACCATATTAGCGGTGAGATTTTACAACCAGGATATTTATGCGCCGGCAACCCAGTTTATTATTCTTGTGTCACTGTTGCTGCAGCCTTCAAACTCAAATTTATCACTGAAATTCCCACAACAAACCTTGCGCAAACAGTGGTGCCAATGATGATAGTGGCTTGGTATTAGAGACAAAGTTAGATCGTCATAACCGTGAACATCCGAAACTGCACTTAAACGTTGATGAATTGGTTATGCATATCGACATCGGCGGCATTAGCCAATCGTGCCATGTACAGGAAGTGCGCGCGAGCTGTAAATGTGGTACATGTGTATCGTGTGAACAGATCAGGCAATTAGCGCAAAGTTTACAGTTCAAGGTTGAACTACTCAATTATGTAAATTAGCAATTGGAGATCTTCTCCCTTAACAATGACGTCTTAGTTTTATCCGATGAATACATTGCGCTGTTTCATTACCCTAGCTTTCAAACATGTAAATCTGCATTGTCATACAGCCAAAAAGTTGCGTCTTCGCTCCCACAGTTGCGTCTCTACCCTAAGTCAAACCCTTAAGGTCCCTTGAAATTATCAGTGGCATGGCGCAATATGAGGGTGCTTGCATCACGAACCAGTAAGAAAAGCCAGAATAATGTTTTCACATGCTTGCGATTAGTTTTGGTCCACGGGGTCATCGGATCATCGTCTATTACTGGGATAAGCGTTGGTCTGCTGCAGCAGCGGGTCGGGAATCGTCACTACTTCTTGAGCAGACCTGCATCCCACGCTTTTAACGCGCAAATGACTCCCACAAAAAGCCCGTAAATCGCGCGCGGAGGGAAGTAAACTTTTCCGTCACCTTACTAATCTACTGAAATTACGCAGATTTAGAAGATTGCAGCCAGGGTCATTTCACGAAGTTCACATCTATTCCATTGTTATACATAAGCTATACATTCCAATAGTCTACATACTTGCGCTTTCATGAAGGGGTATTATCATGACTTCTAATCGTTCTTGGTCATGTTCTTGAGCGGAATGTCACTCAGGTTTTGCGATAATGGAGAGTATGCTTTCTTCTTCTTAAATGGGATTCTACGGTGATTGTGGTCTGTTCCACGGGCCTTTTTGGGTTTCAAATGACTTAAATCAACCTTGTTAACCTTCACGAACAAATACATTCCCATGGCCAAAGCAACCACAAATAAAGGAATTCCCATGATTGCAAAATACTTTTCATAGTCCAAGCCTTCATCGATTTCGACGTTCAAGTTCTTCATTCTTTGCTTCTCATCCAAGTAATCAAGGTCTTCATTGTGACCCTTGTATACCTTTCCAGGCTTGTTGAGTGTCAATACCAACGAGTTTTTGAGCAAGTCAAAGTCCTCATCAGTAACTGTATTAGGTTGGATCGAGAGTAACACTTTACGTTCCATCGCATCCTTGGGGAAAAACTCTTCTATGACTTCAAGAGCCAACATCCCGTCATCATTATCAACCCAATCGGTGGTGAAGAAAGAAGGTATGGTGATCTTTCCTCCTTTATCCATGATAGCAGACCGTTTCTTGAGTCCATGATCTTTAAGACTGGGCTTGATCACCAGCAAATGCAACCGCACCTTCTCTGCACCCTCAAAGTAATGCAGGTACCATGTCACAAAGTACGTCTTATCTCTGTACCAAACCTGATTATCAAAGGGGAAACAGAAAGGTGCAGAGCTGGTATCTTTAGATAATCCCTTTTTGAAGTACAGGTCAGGTGTACACCTGATGATAGGGTTCAACTCATGGTAGGTCTGGTCCTCTGGGACCCACTCGACTTCTTCGTGGATTTCGTCAGCAGCCATATTATGTGCTTTCAACTCTTCCTTTGTATAACGAATAGTGGTGGGGGTAGCGAACCATGTTCCATACGTAGGCAGCGCCTTTTTGATGTGACCGTTTTTCAATTGTGGGACAATGGTTTTGGGGGCTCCATTTTTATTCAAGGAAATCCATGGTTCTAGTCCGTTGGTGGTCTTTGGAGGTTTGGCACTGATAGTGACACCTTGGATCACAGTGGGACGAACAATCTCCTTGACATTTGTGTAGATGGTCCGGACCCAGGGCTTAGGCGAGTCATCTTTTTTCTCACCTTCGTTGCTTCCAAACTTGGCCTTATATGCTTCCATCAACTTCTTCTTTTTTTCCTCGAGGGAGTCGGCGTTGATTCTCTTGTTCAACATCACTGTAGTCTCTACTTCCGCGGCTACAGCGGTGTGGGTAGAGGTGGCATCTGGTGCAAGCGTGATGAGCGCTGTTTCCAGGTCACTACGCTCGATATATGCAGACATCACGGACGATGTAAGCACCAAGCCCATCATTAATGATGTGAGCTTCATGTTATGTTGTGATGAATTTTAATTTGATCGCGGTCTGCGCGGACTTGATGGATCCATGGGGCAAAGCACGTGACTGTCTCAAGATGTTTGACACTACTTCGATTGCTACACTACATATGTTTGTCCACATTGGATGAATAGAAAAGACGGCTGCTAGAAAGCTTCCGATATTCAGCCGGTGGACAGTCGATCTGTGGCAAGGATAAATATCTCCATCATGTCACACACGGATCACGTGTGCATGAAACTATGCGATTGCCAGGTGTCAGTTTTCGGTTTCTCGATACACGTATGTACAGAGCTGCTGCCGCTTCACATCCGTATTTCAAGCAACTGAAAACATCAACTTTTCTGTTCGAGTTTGAGTGAAAATTTCTCTGTGGACGTTCTAGTGCGAGTGTTTATAGGCGGTCGTGTATATGACCATTATTTAGTAGAAGCCTAGTTGATATTTAATTTCGTTGTAAAGATTGGGAATTTGGCTTCCCACGGGTGGTACAATATCTTTATAGTCTGCCAACTTTTCTAGAGTCTGGGTCCAATTTTCTGCCCATTCATACAAGTTTTGATGGGTTTTCATGGTGGTTGTTAGGCTTGAATCAGGTAACTCTTCATGAAAAATGCAGCTAAGATACGCCAAAAAAAGAACCTCTGCAGCAGTAATTTGGCTACTGTTTCCTATGCTCAGTGCCTCCCATTGGCTCAAATACCCATCCAAAAGAGCTATAGATTTGAGTGTATTCTTGGTTTCTCTTAAGGACATTCGTTCTTTGTTCTTGAGCATCATCTGTTTCTCATGAAGCTTCGAGATTGGGGTCATCGTATCATCTTCCAAGTCATCTACTGGCGCATTGTCGGGCCCAAATGAGAAGAACCGGGTCTTATTTTCGCCAATACCTATAATCTTAACCTCCTCTTTTGCGCTATTGAAGTACTTCAAGGGCTGATTGTACATCATAGGGAAAGGCAAGTAATTCTTGAAAAGCTTGCGGACGTATTTCCCGTAGTTTTTCGTGTTGATGAACAAGTTGTATTGGTTGATATAATACAATTTGGTTGACACAAAGTGAATAAGACTCTTTTGCTGGATCTTTTCGGATGTGTTGAGTTGCTTGGAAGTTATAAACTCATTTCTTAGAACGAAGTGTTCACCTATATACGAAGCGATATCTGCAAACCCCTCTACCGTTTGTTCTTCTGTAATGAGGATGGGAAGAGTGCCCATTTTTGACAAGTTTGTGTTGCACGAACACACTACTTTTACAGCTTCGTGGTCCAGAATGAGACCGTTCAACCAATAGCATGCAACTGACTCTGGAGATATTACTGACGGCTCGCCATTCGCACCCCAAATATGTAGTTCGATCATGGTGCACGGTTCTAGTGACTGTCAGAAATCATCGCGAACTTCACAAAAATCGCTGGCTCCATCAAACCACAAATCCTCTTCAGAAATGAGTGGAGATTCTAAGAAGAAAAGACTAGCGCTCGACGTGATCGGTCAACTTGAAGATGATCTAAAGGCTAACCCGTTGGACTACGCTAAGTGGAACAAGTTGATTAAACAAGTGGTGGCCAAAGACAAAGAAGAGCAGATTCGCAAGACGTTTGATAAGTATTTGAGTATTTTCCAATATGATGGCAAACAGTGGTGTACCTACATAACCTATGAGATGAGTCGTCAGGATTTCTTGAAGGTGCAAGAGTTGTTCTCTAAATGTATCACTGTCGTTGACAACGTCGAGTTGTTTCGGTTATATGTTTCGTACGTGAGAAGAGTGAATGATGTTATCACAGGAGGAGAAAAGGCCAGAGGTATAGTAATTCAAGCGTTCGAGTTCGCCGTGAACCGCGTCGGGATTGACTTGAGGAGTGGTGATTTGTGGACGGATTACTTGGACTTTTTAAAATCATGGACTCCTAGTGCGTCTTGGGAACAACAGCAGAAACTTGACTTGATTAGAAAGGTTTACAAGAAAATGTTGGTGATTCCCACTGAAAAAATTGAGGCGTTATGGTCTACATACACCAAATGGGAAAATGAGGTGAACTCTTCTACTGCTAGTAGGTTTATTGCTGATAAATCCTCTGAGTTTATGGAAGCTAGATCATGGAACGTCGAATGGCATAATATAACTAAAAACCAGTTAAGAAGGGACCTCATTCCCAGCGACATTTCCAGTGATGTGGTTAAGTTACAATTGAATTTATGGTACAAATGGGTTGAATTTGAGCGGAGGAATGGGTTAAACTTGAAGGACGAAAAGCTACTTGAGCAAAGAATCGAATATGTTTACAAACAATCGGTTATGTCTTTGGTTTTCGTGCCTGAAGTATGGTACAAATATAACAACTACAATAAGCTAAATGGCAGTTCTACTAGTAGCATTGATTTACTAACTCAAGGCTTGATTTTGAACCCCACCAGCTATTTGTTGTCGTTTGAGTTATCAGAACTTTATGAAAAAGAGAATAATATCTCCAAAGCAAACGAAACGCTTGAGTCACTTATAAATTCGTTAACAGCTGATTACGAGGTAGTTGTAAAGCATATAGATACTATCAACGAACGCTCAGAGGCCCATTCAAGGAATGGGAAGCAAGCTAAATCTTCTTCTGATAATATGGATGAGGATGATGACGACCAACCCAATTCGAAGATAGGATACCAGCTATCAGATATCGACATCAGAACCCTCAAAGCCTTGAAAAGTCAACAGAAAGAGTTGTCCAGGGCAATTACTCTTGTCTACACCAAACAGATGATGACCAACAAAAGATCCAGTGGTATAAAGGAGTCCAGACAGATTTTCAAGCAGGCCAAAAAGTTTGCTGGAATTGGGAATGAATTATATGTGGAAAATGCATTAACAGAGTATTACTCTGATAACAAAAATATTGCTAGAAAGGTATTTGAGTTAGGTATGAAAACTTATGGCACAGATGGAGATTACTTGCTTTCGTATTTGGATTTCTTGATTATGGTCAACGAAACGGAAAACATAAAGGTATTGTTTGAAGTTGCAACGAATGGATTAACTAAAGTCATTGAAGAAGATACCATTATTACAGAAGATGTTGACACCCCCGTTTGGATCAAGGATGAGTTGAAAGAAACCATAGAAAGGAATAAGCTCCATGTTAAACGTTTGATCAAGAGGTATAGTAAATTTGCAACCAAGTTTTTAGATTTAGGGATCGTTGCTAGTCTTGAGTCGAGATACAGAGAATTGTTTTCAGATGATGACCCGATTATCTTCTTAAGTTCCAGATATGCCTATGACGATGTTGACTTAATTCGGGCTGATTTGGGTATGAGCACAAAGATAAAAGAGCCTATTGGTGATGGAATCCCTTCACAAACTGAAGGGCCTGATGCAAAGAGAAGAAAGGTGCAATTACCTTCCAGACCAGTGACTAGGCAAGAGACCCCAGACAAGGAGTCCAACTCACAAATAAGTCAACAGCAATCCCAAGGATTTATTGGCAATTCCATTTACAACTTACTTCGGGTCTTACCCAACTCATCTTACTTTGGCAAGCCCGAAGATCGTGTTTTTAACAGCAAGAAATTGGTCGAGTTGTTGAACAGCATCGACTTACCAAAATGATATATATGGCCATTGAATAGGCGCATCTTGTATTAGTATTACATAAAGATTTATTTTGTTTCTTTGGTAGCGTAGGTATAATGGGATATTAAAAGTGGAACTCAGACTGGTTATCTTCCTTCTCATGTTCTCTCCTGAACTGGTCTTCGTAACTGGGTAATTTGTAGTTATTGAACGATAATTCACTCAAGTCACTGGTTCTCACGTCATCATCGAACTCCTCATCACTCAATTCTTCTTCACTCTGTTCAATGGATTGTTCGGCTGTTATTATGGCTCTGACCTTCTTGGGTAATCTGTCAGGTCTGTAGAATCTCAAGTCAACTCTTCCAACAGCATACATAAGAACTACCAATGCTTCAGCTGCTCCCCAAATAATATACATGGCAATGGGAGAACAGATAGCTGAACTATCCTTCTGATAGTTAGCTTGGAACACAACAATACACCGACATAAGGAACCCACGAATAACACAAAAGTAGAGATAGACACAATAATTAACGACATATTATGGGTCAAATCACCTCTCTCATTGGTTAAACCCTGCACCATGTTATAATGATGATGGGTGGCGGCAATGACTCTCACCGCATGTCTATGGTTATGATTTCTCTTCATGAAAGTCTCTTCCGCTTCTTTTGAAGCATTCTTCTTGACAAAGTAAAACGGATGGAATGATTCAATCCAATAAGGTTGATAGGTGTATAAATTTTCGTCCTTTCTGGTTGGCTTAAAAAAGTACGACAAACCAATCAATGATACAGCCGTAAAGGGATATAACACCACTAAAATTGCAGCTGCTTGCTGGACCTTGATGTATTTTTCGTAGTTAGCCTGCGAAAGCATGTGAAGATAAGGCACGAAACTGGCCATAATAGTCATGGCAACAATTCCAAGCACAAATCCGTAAAATCCAAACATAATACCCCAGAAGAGTTTTCTGGAACCACCAACTGGATGTCTCCAGGTGAAGATTCTCTGAGCAAGGATCAAGTTAAAAGAAACCAAGATAATAGTAGGAATAATCAAAAGCACTTCGCTGGTTAAACCAATGGCCGTAATACTTAAATCTCTCTGCCAAACAATTCTGCAAGCGAACCCCACAATCTTGCAAGCACAGTAGAAGATATAGGTTAATGTGATCCAGAAATAGTGACCTCTGGACATGTTCAAAATGAATATCAACAAATGTAAAATTAAGAGGATTCCGTAAACCCCCACGAAAACTGCACTGGGTACAATATCTTTCTTGAAAGGATAGTCCCCAAATAAGTTGAATTGGTATTTCGTTTGGTACTCCACAAAGACTTGAGGAATGGTCCCCAATAAGTTTCTTGCTTGCGTAGCTAAGACCTGTTGGCCAGTTCCAAGAGCTGGGTAATTCTGCTGGTATCGAAGCAATTCCATAATACCATCCGTGGCAGTATAGTTTACCACTGGGTAACCTGGTATTGGGTAGTCTACCATGCTGTCTATGTCGAAGAAAAAATTCAGAAGCTTGTGGGGAGTTCAATGGATATAAATGTAAAGTACCTCAAATGGGAAGTTATAACATTACCTAATTAGGCAATTATAACGTGCATATGGAAAAACAAACTACTGCCTATTTAGGCTGCGATATAAATCAGTTCCTGTCCTCCAACTAGCGGAGTGCAAATGCTCAAAGCATCAGCCGAGTCCCAACTAAAACTGCTCCAAGGCACCACTAGGTCGAGTTTTCCTCTTTGCGTTTCCTGATGTAATTCCGCATTAGCCTGTGGTTTTCCTATTGTTCTACCCTTAGTATGTTGTGCGGTACGAATCTCATGAAATCCTCAGTTGGTCGGGTCACTTTCTATGGAGTATAGATCCTGCTACCAGACTGTCGCCGAGTGGGGCGATATTGACACTTTTGTGAATTGTTATTCTTAGTTGTTTGAGAATGTTGGTTGTCAGACAGAGATATTCTACTTTTTGCGAAAACTGAGTTTTGTAAAATATTACATGATGATTGTGCAGTAATAATAAAACATCATTAGAATGATGCAGAATACAACTACATGGCACATATGATTCAGCCAAACAAACAAATACTAGTTTCTTGAAATTGTCTTTTACATGATACCGTACACCAATCTGAGAACTCTTGGCTTCTTATCTCTTCCTTCACATACTTCTTCGGTAAACCTTAACTCAAATTCTCATGTTAACGGGCTTGACATATACACTCACCGAGATGTGCTCATGAAATTACCACTACAAGGCCTGAAAGTCACCCCACCCATGCAGAAGACACTTCGCGATCGCCGTGTTGAAATATCGCATATTCCCTTGCAACCCGATGTACACATACTATTACCACCAAGGTTGATAAAACCGCACTGATTTACATACTGCAATTTTTCTAAAAACCTATAAATTTTTATAAATCATACTCGCCATCTAAAGCATCAGCTGCATATAATTACTCAGATGGTCACCATAAACCAAGGTTGGCTCCTTGCCATATTTGCTTCTTTGATTTCGTTCGCGGGCTGTCTTGTTATTTATGTGGATGATATCTACAAACTTGTTTTGCCCCGGACCTTCACAAAGAAACATCCATTTGTTCTTAAGGAAAACTACCGATTTTTGGTCACCTCCTTAAGTTTTAGTTCCGGATGTTTGTTGTTCACTGGACTAGCAGCTCTTTTGCCTCATGCTAGAGACTATTTGGAAGATTCCGACATAGCTCCAGACATGGTCGTTACTAATTTGATGGTAGGTTATTGGATAGGTATTGTGTCAAGTTTGGGTTTGAACTTCTTGTTACATATGATGACTAGTCAGTCGGTGGTGCATTGTAGCCACGATGGTGAGGCTGGCCACGAGCACCATGAGCACCACCATGGGCATGATGATGTTCATAGTCACAACCATTCTCACGGATCCGACAATTTCCATGCCCCTGAGACTACCCATGAACACTCCCACTCGCTCCATACTTCACATTCGAGTGACTCCTTGATTTCGAGTACATCAGTCACAGAAGATACACCGCTTCTTACGTCACAGGAACTCCCCAAGAGGTTTTCTCTTCTTCACATTTTCTCCAAAGACAAGGTTGTGGGAGAATGTAAAGGGTATTCATCAGCTGAAGTGTGTGTGAATGATAGCCTGAAATTACATTACTGTGAGCTTCCCACGCTTCCAGACTCACAGAGTTTTTCCAATGAGATTCACCTGTTTAATGGTGATGAAGACCAAGAAGAAAATACGGGTGAGGGTGTATCAACTGACGATGGATCGGACGTTCACTTTTCTAAACCTGGAACTGGTACAAATCGTCCCGTATCAACCCATACTTTTGTATCAGAGCATCACCACCATGTCACTACATCAATGTCAAGGCTTCTAATGATCGGAGTTCAAACCACTTTGGCACTCACATTGCACAAGGTTCCTGAAGGGTTCATGACATACATCACATCGGCTGCTAATTCTGAGCTTGGACTCCAGATTTTTGTAAGTCTTACAGTCCATAACTTCATCGAAGGGTTCACCATGTGCTTACCACTTTTCTACCTGTTCAGCACTCCCAACACTGGCAGGCAGGTAGCAAAACTAAAGGCCATTGCTATTGCCGGTGTATTGGCAGGACTTTCTCAACCACTCGGATCCTTGGCAGGATACTTCTGGATGAAAGGTAACCCATTCTTGGGACAAGAGCCTGGAGACAATGAGAGTTTAAACTACATGTTTGGTGAAACCATCGCTGTAACCAGTGGATTTATAACGGTGATTGGACTCACAATGTTTGGGCTGGCTGTAGCATTTAATAACCGATCAGTCAATGCGGTGGTTTTGTGGGCTGTTGTGGGAATGTCGGTTATCGGGTTGACATCCATAATTTCAGCTCATTCATGAGCATACAATAAATGAGTATTATATAGTATGATATACGTCACGTGAATATGCCTCTTCCCACCTGGCGCGCACTCCCTTTTCATCAGTCATCGAAAGCGCTTTACAATTCCTACAATTTTTACAACATGATGGCACACGAAGTACCGGTCCCCATACATGGGCCTGGCACCCCACCTGTGGTTTCTAGTACCCCGAAGAACACTCAGCCAGTGAAATCAACTCAGAAACAGACCTCCCGTAAAAAGAATAACAACCCGAATAAGAAATCACCCCTGCCTCAACAGACACCAGGGCATAACGACAAACCAACGACGTCCTCTTTGAACACTCCTCAGAAGGAGTTTAAACTGAATAAGAGGAGGTCGCAGACCAAGAAGAAAGATGAAGCACCAGTTTTTGCTGGAAGCTCATTCCACTCATCGCCAGAAGCGTTGAATTTACCCAAACCTACCTTTAAACCATCACCCAAACCGCAGTTGGCCAACCCTGTGACCAGCTACCCCTCTGTTTATTATCAACCTCCCATGACACCACATGGATCCATGCCTCATATGCCTCATATGAGCATGGGTCCCGTTCCAATGGGATATCTGGCACCTCCTCAAGGACTTGCCCATGGTCCCATGATGCATCCTCAGCAACACGTAGCTGTTCCTTATGGCTCGGCACCTCCTATGATGACGTACCCTGGACAGGCTCCAGGACCTTATTATGGATATGCTCAACCACCACAGATGGGATTTGCCCCAGGCGGAGCTTCCCCAACAAGGACAGCTGCAACTGGAACTGCTTCTCAAGGCCAAAAGATCTCGTTCAACGACTTGATCGGTTCAGAGAAGTAGGTTGCTCCTATTTATAATGACTTGGTACGAATATACAAAGCCAAAAATGACCGTAGAATATGTTTACCTCAAGTATGATGTGGACTCAAAACCTATTTGTGCAAGGGTGATGAAAAACCTGTAGAAGAGTAAGATGGTTCAGGCTGAATGTTGGCTTATAGTTTCTAGTGCCTGAATAATCTCCAAGTAAGATAGATGTTTTGCCTGAGCCTATATACTCAACCATCCAATCCCACTTACTGAAAAAGAAGTCGTTGTCAGTGACATGGTCTTAATACCCAATAAAGGAGTCGGGGTAATATCTGATACAATCCACAGACCTTGAAACTTGGACCTTGAAACTATAAATGCTTGGGTACGATTTAGACACCTGCAAATCTCCGAAATCTAAAGATCAGATTTGCCAACAAAAAATACCCCGTGTGCATCAAAAGAAAGTTGTATCTAGTCCGAAGCATATGAAAGCGAACTACAGCAACTCTAATACGTTCGCTAACGAATGAAATACTACTGTTTTTGTAATAGTTCCAAAAATAACCATTAGGGTGTTCTCGACTACTTAAATATATCATTTGTCAAGGTTGGGCGTAGTAAACAACTTTAATTTTCTATAAAAAGATTAAGGCCAAGAGCCTTAAACGGAACAAACGACGCACCACCAGCCCTTCCTCTATATTTGAATACTTTAAAAAAAGCCTACCGATGACCTATTTTTCAACTCCGAGAGTGGATATTGGATTTCAATCCACAGTCCCACTTTGCGCTTAATCTGACTCCTGCGCGGATCGGGGAAAGCGAAACAAATATAAAATCATATCAGCATCCATTTAAGTTTTTCCTCTGATTTTCACTGGCTTAATATATTGCTCCACTTGCCCTTACTTTTTGAAGTTGATCATATCAAAGAAGCTGTACCCTTAATTTAAGTCAAAACCTGAACTGATTTGTATAATGAATTGGAAAGAAGTCAGAATTATTTCCCTATTAGTACTCGATACGGTATTCTTCTTACTAGAAGCTATCGTCGGGTACACCGTGCACTCGCTTGCACTTGTGGCCGATTCATTCCACATGCTTAATGATATAATCTCACTTTTTATTGCCTTGTGGGCCGTTAAGGTCAAAAACACCAAACCTGCTGATGGTAAGTATACTTACGGTTGGCAGAGAGCAGAGATTTTAGGTGCTTTAATCAACGCCGTATTCCTACTCGCTTTGTGCTTCACCATTGTCATCGAAGCGATCCAACGGTTAATTTCACCACCAGAGATCCTGAATCCGGTCTTAGTTTTGGTAGTTGGATGTCTTGGTTTAGCCAGTAACTTTTTGGGGTTGGCGTTATTCCATGAACATGGCCATTCCCACGGTGGTTCTAGTACTCCCAGCGGTCACACTCATTCTCACGGAGGAGCTTCTAATGTCGATGAAGAAGCAGGCCATCTGATTTCGGAATCAGAGCCATTGTTATCAAGAAACCAAAGTACTGGTGACATCAGGCAGTACATGCCCGAAAACTTCATCCAAAGGTTTGAAGACGGTCATCATCACAATTCTGAAGCAACCAGCTCGGCCTCATCTACGACGGATAAAAAGCAAAAGCAAAAGAAGAAGTCCATGAATATGGAAGCTGTATTTTTGCATGTGTTAGGAGATGCTTTGGGAAATATTGGTGTAATTCTATCAGCACTTATCATCTGGAAAACTAGTTGGGCTGGTAGGTTCTACAGTGACCCGATCATTTCATTGTTTTTGACGGTTATCATATTCCTGTCAGCTTTGCCATTATGTAAAAAGAGCTCCAAGATCTTACTTCAGGCCACACCAACCCACCTTGATTCCGCCCTCATCATCCGTGAGATTACCAAGATGATCCCAGTAAAGTCTGTGCATGATTTTCATGTGTGGAATTTAAATGAAGATATCTTAATCGCTTCTCTTCACCTTCAACTCGATGAAACACTTGACTCACCAGACTTTGAGAAGGCTAAGTTTGTGGATATAGTCAGAGAAGTCCGGGAAATCTTGCACAAGTTTGACATACACAACGTGACAATCCAACCCGAATTCACTGGAGATGGCGACATCCCATCCCAGGCGAGTATCGATAGTGGACTCTATGGAGACTCAGCCGGTGGTGCGTGTTCAGTGGACAAAGCCACTGGATGCTTTAACAAAAATTGTTTGAAGCACAATTAATATCTTTCAAGCCTATAATGTTATACATACTAGTACATTATGAATATCGCAACCAAGTCTTTCTACGTAGTAAGGCAAAACTAATAAATAATGTGTATTCTACATAATAGTACAGCGGTCTGGACCTGCAGACCAGCTTTTAAGTAATTATACAGTCCTGTTTGTTGGTGGTGCCAGTGGAGGCCGTCGTGGATACCGTCCGCAAGGTGGACATACTGCTCCTCCTCGATGGTTTTGATAAGTTGAGGGATGACAAGCGTTTTCTCAGTTTTTGTAGACTGAGTCGTTGTGGTTTCGATTCCAGATTGGTAGCACTGGATGAAAATGAATTGAGATAATCGTAGGATTCATCCTCGTCTGATGTACTGTCCAGAGTCATCGATGATGTGACATTATCATGGTCGTCAAGATTCTCCACCAGGTCGATGTCAATGGTATTACTGGTGGTGCCTTTATTGGGCAAAATGGTAACGTCATTGATGTGGTCCATTTGGTCGTCGTCGATATCGTGGGCCAATGAAAACGTCAGCGAGAGGTTGGAGTCGCTGTAACTCAACCGCGGGTCGTCCAACTCTAGCACCGGGTCAGCGCTGCACTCGTTGATATATGTGAGAAGCTGGTTCAAGAATTTCAACATCACAATTTCTTCCAGTACCAGCACCGGTACTAGTTCATGAAGGCTCACGATAAGCGCCTCACAGAACCCGACCAAGTCCAAGTCGTAGATTCGGGCGTTGATTTTAGCAAATCGGGCCACTAGCTGTGAGTCCAGCGGTTGAGGATCGTGTAAGTTATTGATTACTATCGTAAGAATGTGAATCAAATGGGTGAAGTAATGGTTCACAAGCCCGAGTTGGTCGTTGTTGGACTGGCAGTTACTAAGTACCCGATGGCCAAGCTTTTGCATTTGTTCGTAGCTGAGGGTGATTTGGGGGTTTTTGTGGTTGGTGGGAATGGATACGTATAGATTTAGCGATTTCCAAACTCGCTGGGCGATTGAGTTTTCGCTTGGGGACAACACCAAACTCATCATGGTGGGTGATAAAAATGGTTTGGAACAACGAGGCGTTGGACGAAAGTCAAATTATATATGAAGCCGGATGAAAGTGAATTGCAATTGATGGGTTGTTCCCAGAAAAAACCTCAGGGAATTTTACCTTAAACGGCAATCAACACAGAGAGAGAGAATGCTGTCCGCACAAAGAAAAGATCTAGTTGAGATGTCGGAAAATAAAAATCCTCTCATTTTGTGAGAGGTAGGAATATATAGGTACGAACGCGTTCCAAGCATATAGGTACAACCTTAAAGCAAGCGATACAAATAAACTTTTAGGCTTTGACAGGCTGTGTGGGCCAGTTGTAGTAGGATCTAGATTGGGGTATGGGTAGATCTGCTCCTCACTAGTAGGTAAAAATAGTCATTGAAGTTGCTGGGATTAGCTATGGTTATGATTATACCAAAGCTCAATAGAGTTAAAACTCCTCATAATGCCGATATGCGATTGTATAGAAGTTCGCCGTGACGATATATCTGCATCGTAGTTGGGCTGGACTTGAAACCTTAGTAACCCCTTCATCCAGTTTAGGAAACCAAACTGTTATTTAAAAAAAGGTGCCTTAGCAGTACCTCGGTTATGCTATGGCCGATGGCTATAGTGCAGTCATTGGATGGTGCGAAACCAGGAGGCGGGCGTGGCACCGCTGGTCCCTAGTTAGCTACCAACTAAGCCTTTATATTATTCTGCATAGACACCAATTTACCCCATTTAGGAAATGTCATCAACAGTTGCCCACGCATGTAAGATGGTAACTGAAACAATGGTTAGTGTCTAATGCTGGGTCTAGGAGCCATTATAGTGAACCTGCGAGAAGCGGTACGATCCATGCTTGCATAATAAATTGTTTAGGTGGGGTTTCCTCGTAGTCACCTGAAACACGGTAGCCAGAGCCTATTGTGTTTCATGTTTTAACGATCGACAAAATCTCCTTGTTCGTATGTTCAGATGTAAATGTCGTATTTTCTCGATAGGATTATTACATCAGCTTAAAGTCTTTGGCACCTTCTATCATCTCTTCTTCGTCCAACAGCTCGTCACTATCAGCAAGCTTCCGCAAATAAAACACCACAAACGTGATGATATTGCTGATAAGAAAGATCAAGTCGAAAAGAGTATCGATGAACTTGATTTCCCGGTTGAGCATCGCTTCAGATTCGACATTTGAACCCGATAATGATAAGATGCGAGAAATTTGGAATGACAAATTGGAGGGTAAATTAGTTCTTATCAAGAGGCATGTAGATATCACGTAGATTCCAAAAAGCTGACACACAATCAAGCTGACCAGCCAGCTTTTTATTTGTTTAGGTAAACTGGTGATAATAGGGAAAAACCGGGAAAACGACCGCAAAGTCATCAACACGTTTGAAAAGGTTAATAGAAACAAACTTCCAGATAACAGAAAACTGATTAAGGTGACCAATTGTTTCTCGGTAACGGATGAAGTACTTGAGGAGGCAGCTAGAATTATTTTGGAGATGGTGATGGCCAAAGCATCTTTGGATTCATCATCAGTTGCATTACTCCAGTAATAATATGGTAAGCGGAGCACCACGATATTGATGAGTCTGTACAAACAATAAATAGCAAATCCGCAGTTCAGTAAATCAGCCACCGTGGTGGTGATATGCTTAGGCTGGTTGTCGGCCTCATATGCGTATAATAGTCTTGTGAGCTGGTTGTAAGTATCATTTCTCATATTTTTAAGAGAGCGGATTTCTTTGTTCAACTCACTTATTTCATACTCGTCAGAATTTTTGTCTGGAAGTCCCTGTAAACTAGCAAAAGACTGTACTCTATGCATGATTCCTCCAAGTTTATTACCTTTCTTTTTCAACAGATTATTGAGTGGATCAGGTGTGTTGTAAACGGTTCCCCCTGTCTTCACCAAATAGCCATTGAGTTCCGAGTTCCGTTTCTCAAGGAGAACATTGATATTGTTGTAGTTGGAGATGACCCCATTAATATCTTTCTCGGAAACCCCACGAGACAGCTTAAACTTCCAGGCCGATATCACCTTATAAATGACAGTCGAGGATCCAATTCCTGATAGCACAGAATTGGTGGTTATACCCATCAACCCCACCTGAGTGATCTTTGTGTCTAACAACGATCTGACCAGCCAGTCGGTAGCAGCGTGTCTGAAATCACGAGCCAAACTTCCAAGTCGCAGAAGCATTAAAAACCACCCGACATAACCTACACAAAAAGCTAATTTCCCCATATGAGAAGCTTCTATTGGTGTCAAACGGTGTGCAACAACCAACCCGAGCACCATAAACGGCATCACAAGAGCCACGAGCAACACGAGCGTATCAACAAGAGTTTGGAACAACCACGGTATCACTTCAAACCCTGCTAACTCACAAAGTACAAGAAATATCAATTCCACACTCATGGCAATGGTGGCAGCAAAGAACAAAGCCACCACCTGGTCAGTGAGATGCTCACGGCCTTGGGGTAATGCCTTTAATGATAACGGTGACCAGTATGTGGGCTTGGATTCGCCGAGATCTTCTTCAGATATGTCCACTTGGATTAGCCGCAAAAAGTGTTTGCTGTTAATACGGCCTATAAAGTCATTGATTTCGGACTGATGAAGCCGGCGCTGGAGCTCATAGTTGCGTAGGAGTGAGCTTCCATACACTACAAAAAACACCACATAGAACACTCCAACCAATGGAATTAGGCCTATCACTATTCCAAATGTATCATTCATAATGGTACAGCAGATCTAGTGACAGATTGTCGCACCGCGTAAACCCATTCTCAAAAGTGTTTGTGCGACAAAAAAAATTTTCTCTCTAACGAATAGTCCACCATGTCAGGAATGAAGTTAAGAGCTGAGAAGAAGATGAGAAAGCATCTCATCGAGCAGCTCAAGGCCAGAAAGGTCTTGGGTGCTCGGATTGCTCAAGGAGAGAAGTCTGCTGAGGACCTTACTCGTTTGAATATGCCTCCTCAGTTGTATGTATTCCACAACCGATTCTCTGGCCAGGTATTATATTCACAAGTTCCTGGGTTCCACCAAGATCAGATCGACGCCCAGTTTACGCGGCCCAACTGGCAAAACCGCAAACCCAACAGAAGAACTGATTTGTGGAAACTCATGTGTGTGGTGAACTTTTCCAACCACGAATACGCTGTGGCCGCATACCATGGACTAAAGGACTTGAGGAAGTGCCGGGACACCGTACAGCAACAGGTGGCTAAGGCCATGAGAAAGAAGGACGACGACGGGAACATCTGGAGCTCTGGGCAGTATCGCCCGACGTATGCCCAAGAAGCAGTAGCTGATTTGAGTCATGTGATCGATGAGTTTGAATTGGAAAATACCCGGGTGATGTGGGAAAGTGCCTGGAGAAAAGGTGATGATGCCCGCTGGCGGAACGACTTGGTGGAGCATGAGACCTTACCTCCATTTACAACCAAGTATCAGACGGCATTAATGGCGGAATTGCAAGAAAAAGCGGTCGCTGAGTTTGCAGCTGCTAGAGAAGGCGATATGGCCCACCAATCTGATACCGGAGCCCCTGGCCCGGGTACTTCATCTCCTGTAGCATAATCAAATTTGTTCACGTGACATTCTGCCATTTTGTACATAGCCAATACACGCGGGGCGGCGGCGGCGCCTCGCCAGTGCGCGCACGACTCCGCCCCATACTTTAAGTGCCAAATCCCGCTCAATGTTTTTTTCTCTAGCGCCATGGACCTCCAACACGAACCAAAAGAAGAAGACAGTCAAGAACAACAGCAAGAAGTGGACCAAGAGACCACCTTACAAGATGCCTCCGTCTTAATCGATAGCCAGCTTGCGGCCGGCCGGTCACCTGCCGATATTGTCAAGAGGTTTCGGACATCACGGACTGCTCGCGCCGACTATACACCAGAGCTACTTGTATCAGTGGCGGCCACCAGTGACGGCAAGTGTGTGGTCAACTGCCATCGATGTTACCGACTTAAGAAGAAGTGTCTGCGGGAGTTTCCACAGTGCCAGTACTGTTTAAAGACAAATCACGACTGCTTTTATGTGGACCGCAAAAGAGCGAAGAAGAACTTTAGTTCAGAGTATTTCCCATCAACATCGACAACTACCAAGGTGGGTGGTGAAGATGGCGGTGAAGGTGACGGCGAAAGTGAAGCTATGACTGACTCCACCCAAATGGCTCCTGAGTCAAGCGCGGCTTCGCCCGTGAAATCGCTGTCTCTAAATCCCACTAGCTGCACAAGATGCTCGCGGCTTAAAAGACGGTGCCTGCGATCTTTGCCACAGTGTCGGCATTGTGTTCGCACCAGCAACGAATGCGTGTACGACAAAAATAAAAAATACCGGGTGCTCAGTTTCGACCAGCTCGTGCAGGCGGCTGCTGCCGCCACCGCCAGAGCTAGTGAGACATCGCAGTCGGGTGCCAACTCCCACGAAGCAAGTGACGAGTTCACACAAATTGACCCGCACGTTCCGCTGGCTTCTGCTTCTGTAAGCACCAACGAGGGTACCAGTACCCACCCCTTTAAAAAGAGCCGCCTGCGCTCGGAAGAAGAGCTCATCAATATCAAATCGTTTGGGGCCGATGCCCTGCTCCCGTCCACTTTTATCGATAATTTCTTCTACAACTACGAGTATACCTACCCGGTTGTCCACAAGACTGAGATGGAGGCCGAGCTCCGGCAGATTGATTTTGCAAGCGAGGCCCTTGTCAACTTGAAGATGTATGTGGTGCTTAGTATCGGCTGCTTGGTGTATGATTCAATCAACCGCACCGATCAGTTTGCTGAGTATTTCAACGAACATCTCCTCGAGTCTGTGGCGGACTCGGTGGAAAACCCCAACCCAGACGTTGCAAATGTGGCGTTGGCTGCCCTTGTGGCGTTGTACTATGTGAACCGCAAACGGTTTAACCAGTCGTGGAATATGGTGGGGGTTCTCACCCGTCTAATGATCAAATTCGACCTCTACAGACGTAAAGGTGTATATGCCGATATTTTCTGGACGGTGTATAATTTGGATAAGGATTTGAGTTTAATTCTTGACAAGCCCAGCCAGCTTCCAGTGGACTCGATCATCGAGGCACCAGTTCCACAAGATGACCTCACTCGTAAGTTCAACGAACTTTATCGTCTTGAGAATAAGATCAATAACTACAAGTTGTCGTTGAAAACTTCCAGAGGTGAAGATACCACTGTCAGGATTATCTCAAACGAAATTGAGAATTGGCGAGTATCTGTGAGCAGCTTGCTCCATGTCCATTTCTTTGACTCCACCAACCTTCAGGAGTTCACCACATTGGTCAACTTGAACTATTTCTACTTGTGCATCGAGCTAGACGAACTTGCAGACGTCAAGTCACTGCAATTTATGCTCCAGTTTCTCTCGCAATACTTCGCATTGACGTTAAACGAGAAGCAGAAGTCGATGGTGGGGCTTTCAATCAACAACTTGATGTACTACCAGAAGCTTCTCAAGGTCATCCGCTACAATGCTCTCAATGTGATTTCAGACAGGAAGTCTCAAGGCTACGTGGAGAATTTGCAGATTGTATTGAACTTGTTGAAGTATATGTCCAGTTACTGCGATGTAAGCGTTTTGGTGAGCCTCTGCCAGCACCTCAGTGACGTAAGAGATAGCGACGAAGCCCGCGCAACCGTGAACACCATCGTGGCCAAAACCACCCCCATCCCCTCGATATGACCTATGTAATGAAATACTATATCACGACATTTGCCTGGCCTGCCCGACATTTTTCCAGTTGGTACGACATTCAGTCTCCGTATTTGCGCGCACAAACAACTTGTTGCCACTCACTCACTCAACACACTATGCCACCAAAAGCAGATTGGGATAAATACATACCCAACGAGGATGATGAGGCCAATCAAGAAAAGATTGTGCCTTTGAGTGAAGGAGACATTCAGGTACTTAAGACATACGGTGCTGCTCCATATGCGTCGTCCTTGAAGCAAATCGAGAAGGATTTGAAAGATATCGAGGACAGAATCAAAGAGAATATTGGTGTCAAGGAAAGCGACACCGGGTTGGCCGTGCCCCACTTATGGGACATCATGGGCGATAAACAAAGGATGAACGAAGAGCAGCCTTTGCAAGTGGCCAGATGTACCAAGATTATTGAGGCTACCAACCCTGTTCCTCAACCGGGATTGTTACAAAATGCTGACAATAAGCTGAAATACGTGATAAACATCAAACAGATAGCCAAGTTCGTGGTGGGATTGGGTGAACGGGTCAGTCCTACCGATATCGAAGAAGGCATGAGAGTCGGGGTCGATAGACAAAAGTACGAGATCCAGTTGCCTTTACCTCCTAGAATCGACCCATCGGTGACGATGATGACGGTGGAGGAAAAACCTGATGTCACATACAGCGATATTGGTGGTTGCAAAGAGCAAATCGAGAAGTTGAGGGAAGTGGTGGAATTGCCATTATTATCACCTGAACGGTTTGTCAAGCTTGGTATCGACCCCCCCAAAGGAATCTTATTGTACGGACCACCAGGTACCGGGAAAACTTTATGCGCCAGAGCGGTTGCCAACAGAACTGATGCCACATTTATAAGGGTAATTGGGTCTGAATTGGTGCAGAAGTATGTTGGTGAAGGTGCAAGAATGGTGAGGGAATTATTTGAAATGGCTAGAACCAAGAAAGCATGCATTATATTTTTCGATGAAGTCGACGCCATTGGAGGAGCCAGATTTGATGATGGGGCTGGAGGAGATAATGAGGTACAAAGAACCATGTTGGAGTTGATCACGCAATTAGATGGCTTCGACCCCAGAGGTAATATCAAGGTGATGTTTGCAACCAATAGACCAAATACCTTGGATCCTGCTTTGTTGAGACCCGGAAGAATCGATAGAAAAGTGGAGTTCTCATTACCTGACTTGGAGGGCCGAGCTAATATTTTCAGAATTCATTCCAAGACCATGAGCTGTGAAAAGGGTATCAGATGGGAGTTGATTTCCAGATTATGTCCTAATGCCACCGGAGCTGAATTGAGATCAGTATGCACGGAAGCAGGAATGTTTGCCATTAGAGCTAGAAGGAAGGTTGCTAATGAAAAGGACTTTTTGAAGGCAGTTGAAAAAGTTATCAAGGGTAACTTGAAGTTCAGTTCCACCAGCCAGTACATGCAATACAATTGATTCAATGAGTATACACCATTTTATATACATATAATATTAAGAACGTCTAGTCCCACCACGATACACATCCCGTACCGGCCGCTTGGCACGACGCGTAAATGGCATACGGAGGAGTCCGATTGGTCTTCTGGGCCTCATCCTCTTCAGGATCTCTTGTAGTAGAATTATCGGTTCGAGGCTTGATATTGTAAAAAGCTTCCTCTTCAACCCGAAACCGGATCCGTTCGTTGAGATCTATGAACAACTCATTCTCGTCATCGGGTTTCCAACACCATGCTCTTTCCACGCCTTTGAACTCACAGTTTTCGAATAGCATCTCTTTGCGTATAAAGATTTCATCGAAAAAATCAAGTTTCACTTTGATTCCTTCCACGTTACAATCAGTCACAACCCCTTCCAACAACTCACCGATGAATGGCTTCCACACGATCATGCGGAAGGTGATCTCGACGTGCGACCCACCATCTCCAGGCCTGAGGAGCCCTTCTTTGATGTCTTCGATGTCCCATATACTTATGGCAAGTCCGACGTTGTGGATGATTTTGTTGCTGTACTTTTTGTGTATTTCATTGGTAAGTGCCTGGTGGATGGGTACGTTGAAGGTATGCGGCGGAAGGCGTATTAGGTCCGAGAGTTTTGTAAGAATGAACATGTGGAAGATGTTATGAAGTGTGATGAAGATAATTTGTGCGCGATGCGATTCTGAATCTGGCTCCACCACAGAGACCAATGAGTTTAATAGGAATTGGTACAAGAGGTGTTCATCGCCAGTTTTTGGCAATCCGCCTAACAGAAATGTCTAAAAGTTTGTACGGAACTAAATCACACACTTCGTTCCTCGCTTTTCCAGTTCGGTATAACTCTGATGTACCATCTAAGAAACAGGAAGCCCCAATCCAACAGAGCGATTGGAAGCAAATCAACCAGTTTATTCCCGGAGAAAAGACCCAGACCGACTCGCTCAGTGACAGAATGCCCAAGTTCCCGCTCGGCAAGGAAAACGTGCCGACGTTGCTCCCTCGTCCAGGAATACCTAAAGTGGGCAAGAATGTCACCTTCAGACAAGTGATAAATATCCTTAAGAACAAGACGGAGCCCGAGCTCATCTACGAAAATGAACCACATAGACTATACTTTTTGATCTGCGTTTGCTTTGGAGCCACTCTCTTGATATACTCGATAGTGTTGGGAGAATGGGCTATTTTCCAGGCCACCAAGGACTTCAATGAGAACACAGAAGAAAAGAACGATGTGATACGCAAACGGGAATGGGTGCTTTCGTTGTTGAAGAACCTGGTGTACAGTGTGATCACCTTGGCCGCTGCGTACTATATCTTTACGTTCCCATCTCGGTTGGTCAGAAGAATGTGGTACTTACCAGGACCAGTTGAGCATGTCAAGTTCACCACCTATCCCCTTGTTCCCGGTAGATCCACCCCCGTGGTAACCTTGCCATTAGAAGCATTAGAGAGAAAACATAAAGCCCGGGTTTGGACTGGAAGAGGATTCTACGGTACAAGTGATGCTTCGTTCTTCTTTTTTGTGTTGCAGGAAGTGAAAAATGGAAAAACTGTCAAGAACTGGGTGGTTGACAGAAAGGGATTCTTTTGGAGTGATGGGAGAGTTTTTGACTACATTTTTGGGAAAGAAACAATTGCTGAAGCTGAAGCAGGGGTTCCATATGATGAGCAGGTGGGTATTATCAATAGAGAATTGAAGAAGAAAAAGCAGAAGTTAAGAAAGGAACAAGGGATCTTTTATGGCTTGAAATTTCAAGGAGAGGAGATGAAGAAAGATGCTCGTAGGCTTATGGGGAAAGATGATTTGAAAAAATTAAAGTAAGATTAGAATCAATACTTGTACATAGTTTAACATCAGTGAAGTATTCTGCAGAAGATGCATGTATTTAGATAATCCACGAACTAACAAATGTCGCGGGCTCAGGAGGGGAACTGCTGGTACAGGGTTGGGACAGAGTCGTACATGACCCGATGTCGTGTAGACTTGGTTGCTGGGCCCAGGCGGGTAACAGGGTCGTGTGCCCCTCACAACAAATCGCCGCTGGTGGGCCTCAACTCGCAGAGACGGCTCGACGCATACAGCACATCGCCCGCGCAACTGCCTTGTTAGACGGGGTTTCAAACTCCTAAAAGAGGCAGTGTAGTGTCGTTACCACCAAACAAACCCCTTTTACCCAAATGTCGTCACACTCCGTCGCAATTTCATCCCTTGAATGAAAATCCAAAATCCTCAATTTTTCAAATCTATCAGGAAGTTAAACAATCCCTGGACACCAGTTGTATAAATTAACCAACAGCAGGATACTGGTTATCTTATAGTTAATTTTTCAGCTATACCCATACCCATTCGTATTATTGTTGCTTCTGCGTTCTACGTTTGCCCTCCTCCCAAGAAATCAAATCGAAATATAAACACATTTCGTTTTCGTTTGGTGGCGGCTACTAGTAATTATTTGCAGAATCGGGAATTCCCCAACACATTTGTTGATTTACCATACCTCATTTGTTCATAATGGCCATCTCCGAGATGAAGATGAGAAAGAATGAGTTGGAAGACATAACAAACACCAGCAAGAGCAAACTAAGCTTTGTTAAGCTTGAAAAGAAGGAAAAGCCTAAAGCCGTGACTTTTGAAAACTACTTGCTCACCCCTAAAGACGAGGACTACTACGATGATGACGAGGAGGATCTTGTTCCCCAACATGAGGAACCAAAGCTTGAACAAGCTATGACGCCCGTGGAAGAACCTGAAGTTAATGAAAGTCAAGACCTCGATAGGAACCCCGATTACATAGCATTGACGTCGTCTTTGCGGTTACTCAAATCAAACAAAGACAAGATATCCAACGAAATCGTCGAGTTGTCACAGCTCCTGGAATTTTTCAAGCAATGCCAGGATGAGAAAGAGATTATGAAGTTCTTGAACAAGCTTCTCACCAACAAATTGAACTTACCAAAGCAAAACAAGATCTTGAAGTGCCCCATGATCAAGATCTCCAAATACGAACCCCAGCCTTTGAAGTTGAACCTTAATGAGAAGCCGTTGTTTAAGACGTTGAATTTGTTCAACAACAGTTGATTTTGATTTTATGGAGTTATGATGATTTGCTTTTGATTTAGTTAATGTAAATAGTGTAATTTAGATTTAGGTCGTACGTACCAAAATGAAGAAAAAACCGCAACTACCTATTAGCTACAACTTGATTTCCTTCTTGTCTTCATCCTCTGAATCTGTCACCATAAACGCATCACTGTTAAGAGGGACATTCGTAGTGCCTTCATTCCAGTCGTTGGTTTTCCGCTTGGGCAACACAGGTCCTTTATCATCGTTATCATCCAAACTGATTTTCTGGTGGAAGTCATTGGATATAATCTGAGGATCTTCATCAAACTTCCTGGTATTCCGCTGAGCACTCGAACCTCCCAAAGCTCCAAAGAGTTTGGGAGGATCACTGCTCTTCTTAGACTGAGTTTCGTTGCCGTCAAACCTCTTGGTCAAACCACTGACCCATCCGTTCAACGTCGTACGAGCTTCTTCAATACCTTGAGTAAAGGTTTCTTTGATCTGATCAAACTCGTCAGGCGAGTCATCATCACTGTGTTGCAATTTTCGACGCTGGGCTTCTTTTTGGCGTCTTCTGCTTCGTCTCTCTTCCAACTCAAACTCTTTCTGCAACTTTCTTGCCAACGCCTCATCGTCAGTTTCTGTCACCGGAACCTTGGTGCTAGAAGCTGATAAAGAAGAGCCTTCGTAAGCTGGAACACCAGCAGCGGGAATTTCCGGTTCTTCAATTGTTTCGTCGGATATGTAGAGCAACGCATTAAAGGACGTATCCAAGTTACCTTGACTAGCAATCAATACCCCGGTAATGATTCTGTCATCAAGCATTGGAAATGCTTCCTTCAAGTTGGTTTTAATCGCCGTGATCGGTGATACCGGTCTGGGTGGTGCTGGAGGAGGTGCTTCGTCTTCTTCCACTTCAACCTCTTCTTCTTTGGTGGACTCTTCAGGTTTGGTAGATACATCGGGAGTTGTCAGTTTTGACTCGATTGCAGCCGCTGTTTCGGGTTCAGTGGGAGTGGATACTGCTGCACCATCGTCTCCCAACTCAATTGGATCGTTTGGGACCACTTTTAACTGTTTACTGCTCATTCTTATTGGGTGGTAGAATGCGTGATGATGTTTCGCTCCTTAAAAGAGCGCGAACTTATGCTCGTCTGAATTCCCTCCACAAATGTACACCACCGGTCATGATAGAGATGCATTTTCTCGACTTGGAAAACAACTCAGTGACATCCACCTGAGCCAACTATCGACACAGCTTTCAGTGTTCCAATCTGCACTCATAAATTTTGCCAACGAGCACGGTGAAGATATCAAACAAAACCTCGAGTTTCGTTCCAAGTTTACTGAATTGTGCTCACTGGTGGGACTTGATCCACTCGAACTCAGCATATATACAAATTCCAAAGACGACAAGCGTAACAACAACTTTTATATCAGTCTATCGGTACGAATCGTCGAGGTGTGTCAGGAGACCCGAGACTTGAATGGGGGGCTAATTTCATTCAAAGAGCTTCTTCCTCAATTGCAGAACAACGTCAATTTGCATTCTAAAATAACCGACACAGATGTGACGAAGGCCTTGGAGGTTCTTGCACGGTTAGGCAACGGGTACGAGGTGCTTACTATCCATGGTAAAAATTGGTTGAAGTTTTCTTTGGCTTCCACCTCCAGTAGTGGGTTTACGACCGACCAACGGAAGGTTTATGAGGTGTGTACTTTCATGGGAGGGCAAGTGTCGTACCGGTTGTTGCGAGACAATTACGGGTGGGACAAGATCCGATGCAAAACGGTGTTGGATGAGATGATTATGAATGGGTTTTTGTGGGTGGACAATCAGGGGGTGAATGGAGAGTTGCATTTTTGGGAGCCATCGTGGATCAGCAGTTGATTTGAGGGCCTGGATGGTTATGAAATATGAGTGACGAATAATAAACAATATAATTATTGTTCTAATAGACAACTGACATTAGAAGTGTCTGTATTATCAAGTGATTTAGATGAAGTATCTACTGTTACTCTATACTCTCTACCTGCTCCAACTTCCGTCTCTTACGTTTGTCCTTGTGTCTCTCGTTCACCGCTTCAAATGTCTCTCCAAACTCCCTCTCAAGCACTGGAACATATGTCTTGAAGTTCCGGCCCCTTCCATCTCCTACGTTGATCACTCCAGAATCGGAAGAATATACCAATTTGTCTTCATCTTTGACGACCGTTTGTTTCATAATTTTATTCACCTGTGCCTTCAACTGGTAGTCCAACACTTGTCCATTCAATTTTGCGTACTCCCTCGAGTTCTTGAAGAAGGATCGTTTGAAATCAGAGGGAACCAACCATTCCATCTCAGGATATACGCAGTCATACAAGATTAAGGGCACATCATTTGCCAACTCGTAGTTGGGTTTACTGGGATACTTTTCAACATCAAACAAATTATCAATTAACGACATTTGTTCATGCCCTTGTCCAATAGACAATATTACTGCTACCATATACCGCACCTGGTGCCACAAGAAGGCAGACCCCTTCAAGTCTAACATGACAAACTCATCATCCCACGGGATTATTTGTGAGTGGTAGATTTCTCGTCTGTAGTTGGTGATTTGCTTAGAACCATCAATTTTGCAGAAGTTTCTAAAGTCGTGGGATCCTTTGTATTTGGCAGCAGCAGCTTGTAACAAGTCCAAATCCAATCCTTCTTTTGCAATGAGGTATCTATAGTGTCTATACTCACAGCTGAACCGAGCGTCGAACTTTGGAGGAGGCCGAAGGCTAATGGCTGTCACCCGGATATCGGGTGGTAATATCGAGTTCAAAATGAAAATATAGGGAATCTCTTTATCATCATTTGACTGGAGTTGTTGGTCCTCTGGAGAAAAGTCCGACCGCACACGCAATGAGATAACCTGGTTCATCGCACTAACGCCCTTGTCTGTTCTACCACACCGGCTGAAATCGCAGCATCCTGGCTCAGCATCCTTCACCAACTTGGCAGTTGCAAGAGCTTTGAGAATCTGCTCTTCCACGGTGGGGAGTGGCGTGTCCTCGAACTGAAACGCTAAACCGTTGTAGTTCCAACCAAGATATGCAAACCGAATTGCCACAAACCGCGTGTGGTACTTGGAGAAATCGAACTTCTTAGTCTTCTTCTTGGTGTTGGTCTTTTCTACTTTGGGCTCATCTTCATTAGTAGCCTCCAACTCTCGAAGCTTGTCAATGAGCTGTTGTTTGCTCCACCCTTCGTATCCCTTTGGCGTGGACATTGATGCTGAAACTGTTTCTTTGCTCCACAAACTGCGAAATACCCTTCTCATCATGTTGTAGAAATGTGCTGATACCTCATCGCAAAAGTGCGCATCGTTTTCTAATACTGCAACAGACCATGGAGAAGAAGAAAGGATCTTTATCTTGGGACAAACTCCAAGGTCAGCTTCACCCATGGCTCTATGATGCAGTAATTTCACTAGGTTTCCAATCTATGACTCCAGTTCAAGCCTCAACTATCCCATTGTTATCGGGATCAAAGGATGTCGTGGTTGAGTCTGTCACAGGCTCAGGAAAGACTTTAGCGTTCACCGTGCCAGTCCTTCAGAAAATCTCAAAGTTGCTTTATGACGAGCAGATCATATTGAAGAAGGGTCATTTTTTCGCTGTGGTATTGTCCCCCACTAGAGAGTTGGCAAGTCAAATACAAGCTGTTTTTGACTCCCTCATCGCATATTTGCCTGAAGATAAGCCTGCCATCAAGACTCAGTTACTTATTGGTTCAATCGGAACTGTGAGAGAAGATTTGCAGAAATTTGTCAAGACGAGTCCTCAGATCTTAATTGCCACTCCAGGGAGGTTTTTGGACTTTATCTCGTCTACTAATGTGAGAACCAACTCTACTGAAATTGTTATCTTGGACGAGGCTGATAAGCTATTGGACATTTCCTTTGGCAAAGATGTTGTCAGTGTGTTGCAAAGGCTCCCGAAACAGAGAAGAACCGGGCTTTTCTCTGCCACCTTGTCGGCTGCTGGTGATAGTATTTTCAAAGCAGGGATGACAAATCCTGTGAAAGTCACAGTCAAAGGGTCTACCTCATCATTGAACAGTTCCGCTCCCAAGTCCTTGAATTTGAGCTATATGCTTATTAACCCTGAGAAAAAGATAACAACTATGTTAAAGCTTCTTCATGATTATAAATTCAAAAAGTGCATCGTTTACTTTCCAACTTGCACATCGGTTAAATACTTTTATTTGACGTTCAAATCCCTACTTCCCCCAGATTTCACCGCAAAATTCCACTCCTTACATGGTCAGTTGACTAGTAAGTCAAGGTTGAAGACACTTGGGAACTTTGTTGATGCCGACACGTCTGAGTTCAAACACGTTCTTATGACCACCGATGTCGCGGCAAGAGGAATCGATATTCCTGATGTGGATCTTGTCATCCAAATAGAGCCTCCCATGGATCCTGATGTATTCTTACACAGATGTGGACGAACTGGTCGAGCCAATAAGGTTGGGCGTGCAATCACCTTTCTTAATAATGAAAATAGTCATGAGGTTGAGTTTGTGGACTACATGGAGGTTAAAGGTATTACTCTCAATGAGTTACCAGCAATTTATGATAACAATCATGCTCAGTTTGCTTCTAAAATGAGAGGCTTTCTCTTAAAGGACAGAGGAGTCCACGAGTTGGCCATCAAATCATATGTTGGCTTTATCAAATATTACAGTAAGCATGTCGCATCTTCTATCTTTCGATTATCGCTTCTTGATTATATTGGAATAGCCAAGGCATACGGACTTCTTCGTCTCCCCAAGATGCCTGAAACCAGGTATATCCCAATTGAACAAATGCCCGAAGATGGATGGCTTGGGGAGAAGATTGATATGAACAAGTATGCCTATGCTGATAGCCAAAAGGAAAAAGTTCGACTTGCAACCATGGAGGCCGATAACCTCAAACGTATTGAAGACTCTAAAAGAAGGAAAGAATTGAAAGTCAAAAATGAAGCGTGGTCAAAGAAAGTGGATCTGAAGGAGACAAAGCAAGATAGACGAGAGAAGAGTAAAAAGAAGAGAGAAGCAATAGAAAAACAACTTATGGAGGAATCTTCCAGCGACAACGAAGAAGCTGAAATCGATTGGAAGGAGGTTGTGAGAGAAAACAAGAGGCACAAGAGTAACGTTCAAGTACAAGGGTCTTTTGATGACTTGTAGTATTATAGCATAATGAATATTCAACTAATCTTGTACCGGTTACTAATTGATCGTATGCCGTCAAACACTAACATATTATCTAAGGGAATATATTGAGACGTGCACAACTTAAGCACCTCTTGTGAAGCAATGCCTCCTATAAGACTTGCCGTGTTAATGTAGTTGGTAGTATTATGACAGAGGATCTCTTTGAATGTGTTCATGATGGACGTGGAAATTTCACTATGGTCAACTTTAAATTTCTTAGTGAATAGCTGGGTGAACACTTCTAAGTCATGGGGACAGGGTACCCGATGGACTTCATTGATGAATTCGTTGAATGTGAGAAGTCCATAGTATATGGCGAGTGTATTGGCATTGGAGTTGGAGTCTTCAAAACCATTTGAACTCTCCTTCACTAGACTCTCAATGAGCTCTGGGCTCGAAAGGTTACCTGATCCTTCTGCTACATGGAGGGTTTGAATGTTCTTACAGAATACACTCACCAGATCCAATTCCAGCAGTGTGAGATCTCTTTTAAGAAGAATTTTGGTAGCTTCAACCAACTCTCGTTTGTCTTTATCTGCCTTTTCTCTGTACAACCTCTGCAATCTCACATAGTTCTTTGTGTCCGAAGCCATATCAGGAAGAGACCCCGACAATGGGATCTGCTGAGAAACATCAACAAACTGCTTGAGGGCTTTGATAAGAACCCAGAATAATGGAGTGTCATTTCCCACGGTTTCTCCCGGAACTTTTGGATTGTTGAAGAGCTGGTGTAGCTCAGACAGAACTGAAGTTCGCCTATAGGCTCTGGAAATGGTTTCAATTGCTTCGATGAAGTTTGTTTCAAAATCCATATTGCGTGCCATCAACAGTACGAGTCTTCTAAACTCTTTCTTCTCGTTGGTGTTTCTTGGTGCGGGAGATTCATGATGTGAACGCCAATTCTCCAATGCATTGATAAGTATCACCACCGATGGGATATGTGCGTGGTCTGTATCATCCAATGCATCCCAATTAAAGCTATGAGCATATTCTAATAACTCTGGCCATGGCTTGTCGACTCTCAAGTCATATAGGTTATTGGCATGGGTATCAATTACAGTAACTTCTTTAGTAATCAAGTGTACTGTTCCATAATACCCAACCGTGTTGACTAAAAGCAAGGGAATCTCAAGTTCAAACAAAAGGTCCTTGATCTGGATCAACCGCTCAGAGGCAACATAGTCAGTTATGACGACTATATTGAATTGACTCCAAAACCCATCTTCAAGAGAATGGAGAGGTCGCGTAACAAAGTGTCCATTGCTGTCTTGGTTCAACTCGCCCAAGTACTTACACATGGCCTCACTTCGGGGCCGGCCCGTGTCTGTGCGAGTCATGAAGAAGTTATTGGCCACATCCGCATCTGTAGTCACAGAATCATCCACTATTGTAAAGTCTCCGATTCCTGGAAGAACCAAGTTTTTTAGCACCTCAGAGCCGGTACTAGTGGCATTGACCAAGCACACATGGCAGTCCTCAAGACGGGATTGCCCAGAAGTGGCCCAAAGCCGTAATTGCCGATCGTACTTGTTACTTTTCTCCTTGGTGGCAGTCATGTTAGCACAAACCGAAAACTGCGAATGCGAAATAATTTCGGGTTTTCATGAATTAACCTACATCATTACACACTTATTACCTCCAAACACTTCGGAGTATCTTTCTTGATCTCTATCTCTCAACTTTTGTTTAACCTCCTTGGGGAACATTCTCTGCATCATCTGCATGGTTTCCATGTCGAGGTTGCTCCCATCTGCCAATGAAACGGCCTTTTCGTATCGACATATGGGACAGTCGAACTTATCTTCGTGCTTCATTTTCACCAAACACCGCACACAGAAAAGGTGGCCACACTCCAACTTGATGGGTTTAAAAGCTATTTCCAAGCAAATGGGGCAAGTATAATCCTCGAGTTGCGGAACTATTTGCAACAAAGAAGTTTGAATAATATAGCAGATGGACTGACTCAAAGACTTACCCGTGAAAAATACATGGTCATCGGAGATGAGTTTGGGAAGCCGGGACTTAACGTTGAGAGATGTCTGCTTGTCGAACTTCTTCAAGATCTTTCTGAAAGCGGTGGTGTTGATAGACTGGAACTGAAGCACTTTCAAGAGATATTCGTTGACATGAAGAAACTTTGTGAATGCTCGAAGAGACTTCTTATTCTTGAATTGGTCAAGGATTCGAGATTTGGTTACTATCTCGTTGTACTTATTGAGGTTGTTTTTCACCAAGGTCAAGGATTTCTCTGATGCTTGATAAGTAGAATCGTTGTACTTGAAGTAGATCTCGTTATCTAAGAACAACCTGAATAGCTCTCTCCAGGTATATATATCTGACTTCTTCACAGACTCATTTCTGGACAACTCATGAAGGGTCTCGGCTACATTTTGGATCTCTTGGATCATTTTGTCTTCCTCCTGCTTCTTGAACTTATCCAAGTTATTCAACTCTTGGTTCAACATTGAAAAGAACTTGGTATCAGAGTTGAGCCGTATGGAAATCTGATATTTCTTTCCCGATGAACCTGCGGTGCTTGGAAGCTGTTGCACAGACGTTTTTGATATTAATACGTTCTCTTCGATGCTATTGTTTTCATCATCCTCGCTATCCTCATCTTTCATGTCGTTGTCAGAGAACCCGTGAACAATCTGCTCCAAGTTGCTTCGCAACACCTGGATACTGGTGTTGATATAGTCGTCTGTTAGCTCAGCATTGTAGTCAACAACGATTTTTAATGACGGTATGACCTTAGAGTCTTTTGTCTTCTTTAGCACATACTGGGCAACCACCGGATTGGAGGCAGTCGTTTCGTCTTGATTGACTTCCACGTGATCTAAAAGAACTTTGAGAGTATTTTGCTCAAGACCTAAAAGGTTTAGTTCTTCTACCACGCGGGCAATACACTTTTTGAGTGCTTTGTACTGGATAGCTGCCTCAATCCAATCATCGGGAATTTCGTCCTCCACAAGGGTTTGTTCAAATACTTTAGCAAACTTCATAGAAACTTATTAATATTTTTAATATTGCTGGACAAGGCTAAAGGCTATATGTCACCTGGCATGCTACTTGGAGGAAAATGTGATGTTGTAATGAGTAAAGGCCTTTCAGAATATTTTTTGATGCGATGTTCGTAGCGCACGTTTTGTGGGACCGACACAAAAGGCGAATAAGTATTGACATTTAGGGAAACGAAAAAAAGTACCGAGCAGTTGGGGCAAGGAAGAACACTAGGAATAGATTGACGAATGAAGAGTACTGGAGTACTAATGGCCTGCTTTTGAAGAATTCTAGAATAACAATTGACATTTGGCTGCAAATTGCGAAACATAAAAGCCTTTTGCATCCTGAGTGAAGAGATGTATCTTCTTCAAAGTCTGCAAAACCACCACAGTTTCAGCAAACAATCCACAATACGATAATGGGTTTTATTCACGCCGAATACCAAATAACCACATATCTCCCCCGTTGTTCAATCGTACAGCGACGCTCGCGCCAAGCCCCACCACCCAGTGGTGGGCCGACCCGCCTCCCGCCGCCATTGCCCGCGAAAATTCTAGAAGTCGCACCTGCCAGGCCAAAAGTGCCCTCACAATCTCAAGTTTCTCTCAACATATATCACCATGGACTTTGAATTAGAACCAACTTTGGAGTCAATAATCAACCAGGATACCCTCAAATGGGTGTTTGTCGGTGGTAAAGGTGGTGTTGGTAAAACCACCACCTCATCTTCCGTCGCCGTCCAGTTGGCACTCAAGTACCCACAAGATCAGTTCTTATTAATTTCTACCGATCCTGCTCATAACTTGTCCGATGCCTTCTGCCAAAAGTTTAACAAGAATGCCACCCCAGTAGAAGGGTTACCCAACTTGTCGTGTATGGAAATCGACCCCGAAGCTGCCATGTCGGACTTACAACAACAAGCAGCTCAATATAATAATGATCCTAATGATCCATTGAAGTCTATGATGAGTGACTTGACTGGTTCTATCCCTGGAATCGATGAGGCTTTGTCGTTCATGGAGGTTTTGAAACACATCAAGAACCAGAAGGAAAACGCCGAATCGCCTGATTCCAACACCATTAGCTACAAGACAATTATATTCGATACAGCTCCCACCGGCCACACCTTACGGTTTCTTCAATTACCTGCCACGTTGGAGAAGTTGTTGGGTAAGTTCCAGGATTTAAGTGGTAAGTTAGGTCCCATGATGAGCATGTTGGGTGCTGGCCAGCAACAGGATGTGTTTGGCAAATTGAATGAATTGCAGAAAAATGTCAGTGAGGTGAACGAACAGTTTACCAACGCCGATTTGACCACATTTGTGTGTGTGTGTATTTCTGAGTTCTTGTCTTTATATGAAACGGAAAGAATGATTCAAGAATTAATGAGCTACAACATGGACGTTAATTCGATTGTGGTGAACCAATTGTTATTTGCTGAAGATGATGAAAATTGTAAACGGTGCCAGTCGAGATGGAAAATGCAAAAGAAGTACTTGGATCAGATGTCCGAATTGTATGAAGACTATCACTTAGTCAAAATGCCATTATTGGGAACGGAAATCAGAGGGGTTGAAAACTTAAAACGGTTCTCTAAGTACTTATTGACTCCTTATGACCCTAAAGCTGATGGTCACTTGGTGTACGACATCGAAGAGCAGTAATCTTATATAGCGTATATGTTTATGCCACACACGACCGCACCACCAACCCGCACCAAATGCTTCAAATGCGACTAAAACAATTGGCCAAGCCAAACTTTTCCTATATCAAACATGGGACACAGTGAACATTACGAGTTTCAGGCGATTCCACCCATCAGTGAGTTGGATGAACACAACGTGCCCCTTTTGCATAGAGACTCTTGTGCCAACCCTTTGATCAACTATTACAAATGTTTGGACAAAGGACTTACCTTCTGCTCTTCCACCAAAGATGAGTTTTACAAATGCCAGTACTATTTATTGAAGAAGCGGTTGGACGACGGCCATTAGGGTTCGTCAATGAACTTCACAACAAAACACACTATAGATAGCATAATACACATCAGTTAAGAAAGTTCACAAGTTTGACAGAGTTTCGACTTTCGGTTTCGCTGACTACACACTCTGTTATCTGACGAGGTGTTTTATTCAGGCATTAAAGAGACAAGGGTCGGAGAAGTCTCTTACCAGTAGTTGTTGGTGGTGTCTTTTGTAGTTTGTGATTTCTCTCACGCCTCTACCGCCACTGCCAGCCAAGCCGCACCCACCACTGGTGCCAGCTCCCACCAACACCGCGGTGCACCTCGCACACAGTTCGCACACTTGAGGAAAAACTCTTTTCTTATTTATCAATTCTTTCATTGGACAATGTCAGTAACCAAATTTCCTCCGCTTCGTACGTAGCTCCACCTGCATTTGGGTACCATTTGATATCACCCAGTATATCACCAACAGTTTACTAACAACCAAATTCAAGTTTCCGATGACGACTTGCAAAAATATAAGGTTCCTTTGAAATGGAGAGACAGATGTGCGTTTTACTTTGCATTATATCAAACATGTCTTATTAGACAAAGTGCAAATGGCTCTGTGGATTGTGGACACGATAAACATGCCTGGGAAGAGTGTGAAAACTTGGATTTGATAAGAAGAAAGCAAGAGTTGGCACAGGTGAAACAAGCCAGAAAAGAAGAAGCATAGACTGTATAAGATAAAATATACAACCACTTTAGCAAATCCTAGACGTGAGTAAGTATGGACCCCAGGCGTTTGGAGGAGACAAGAATACACGAACTGATGTTCGGCGTCTTGTTGCATCGTTGTATCAAAGAGAGGGTCAACTGGGGTCTAATGGACCTACAATCCAATCAGAGTGAACACTGTGAGGCCGTAGCGTCGTGGTGGTGATCTCGAGCAAACCGCACGAATACAATCATTTTTGCTTTGATTTCCAAACTCTATAGCCAAGTGACATAAAGGTCTACCTCGTTTCGTGCTATAAGCTACTAGCAAAAGGTTTTCCAGCACCGCGACATCCCCGACATTATTTACACACCGACTTAATAAGACATGTAATTTACCAACCGGTAAAAGTACAAGGCTTATACTTTGTTAAACCTTGGCGAATATAAAGTTCGAAGGAAGACACCTCTTATTCTTTCTCTCGCATACCGCACAGATTGCACATGCTGCGTTTAGGGCATGTTCAATGAATTGCGAAAAGTAGGTGGGGCGCCATATTCCCCATATGATTTCGCAGACCAAAATTCTCCATATTAATGACATCAGGAACGTCTTCATCTTCCCATGTTTCTATCGAAGAGATAGACGTCTACCTAGGCAATGGTGTCTCGGGAACTATAACAGTACCACCCGCCGCCCGCTCAACTGAGTCCATTTTCTCCCAGGGGTTAGCTCCTCCCACTCATAAAGCAGCTTTGATTGTACATGGTCAAGGTGGACACAGAAACTACTGTTACCAAAAGCAGTTGGCCCACCGCTTGGCCAATGACTTGGGAATGTACTCGTTGAGAATAGACTTTCGTGGATGTGGTTCTTCTGCTGACAACACAGACCCCGTCAAGGGCCGTGTATTAAGCCAGGATATCGAGGATATCCAGCAGTCGGCAGAGTTTCTTCTTGACGGCACCCAAAACCCCCTCGGTATCGACTTCACGTTGTCGACTATTGTGGGACACTCCCGAGGCAGTTTGGCGATGTTCTTATGGGCGTTGAAGCAAGATGCCCTTGCTAAATCCGAATGGTCTTCCAAAGCCATTATCGTGCCCAACTTGGTGAATTGTTCTTCAAGATATCAGTCTCATACTGTTTACGATAGATATCCGATCAGGGGAGATGATGACTTCGATGGTGTGGAGCAAAACGTGTTACGCCATGGCAAGTTTCAGCCGGTGATGATCACAAAGACAGAACTAGTTGATTTGGCTGAAGCAGATTTATCGGGCCTCAGTGACTTATCGTTGGACTTTTCGGTGTTGAGTATCTACGGGTTAGAAGACCATATTATCCCCATTGTTGACTCGGCTCATTTTTCCAATGCATTAAACAGAGGACATTTATCTCACCGACTCGAGTTAATCCCTCTTGCAGATCACAACTTCTATGGAGCTGTGGCCATCGAAAATGAAGACGATGCCGACACATACAATCCTGATAACTTGCCTTTGAACCGGTCAGGATTTGCAAACTTCAATGGTATAGTAGTGGATAAAATTGTTGATTACCTACGACCCGAGAATGAGCTTCAAAGGTTTTTGCATATCAGCAAAAATATTGGGCATTTATCTAGATGGAAACAAATTGAGGGGGTGAGCAACTTTAGAGATATTGGGGGGTGGAGAATAACTAATCCTCGGTTTCCATTGAAGCTGCCTGTTCTGGGAAAATACTATGTTAAGCACAATCTTATGTTCAGGTGTGCTCATATGGGAAAGATAACTGAAAACGGATTAAATGCTTTGAAAACCATGGGTGTCAAGGCTATATTTGACCTCAGATCATCGGGGGAAACCTCTCGTGATGGGTACCCTCAGAACTTGGAAAAGCATGGGATCAAGAGAATACATGCTCCGGTGTTCAGTGAACAAGATTATTCTCCCCAGTCTATTGCCATTCGGTACACCAACTTAACCACCAGTTGGCACACCTACGTGGATGTTTATGATGACATGTTGTTGAACGGTGGTGGGGCATTTAAAACTGTGTTTGAGTTTATCAGAGACAATAAAGATACTCCATTTGTCTTCCACTGCACTGCTGGTAAGGATAGAACCGGAATTTTGGCAATGTTGATCTTGTTATTGGTGGGGTTGGACAAACACACCATTGCCAAGGAGTTTGAGTTGACCACCATAGGATTGAAGCCAGACCACGAAGAAATCAAGAAGAATTTTATCAAGTTGATAGAGAAAACCAAAAGCAGGATGGACGATCCCAGTGAACTTGAAAAGTCTATAGGAAAAGGTCGTGCAAACTGGACCATATATAAAGATGGGTTTGAAAACTTGATAAGCTCCCGTTATGAAGCTATGTTGTCTACCATTGAAATGTTCAACCAAAAATTCGGTGGAATTGTTGCATACTTGAAAAAAGCCATGGGATTTACTGATGATGATATATTGAAAGTCTATGAAAATCTCATGGTGGTAAACACCCTTGGATTCTTCAAGGAAGACACGTTTATTGAGTGGAGCCACCGTAACAGCATGGGTCCGAATTTGTGAAGTCAGATTAGATATTAGATATTAGATATTAGAAATAAATACAATTGCTGGAATCGTGTATTGGATGCATCAACCACTTAATTGCTCACATGATGGGCAAGGGTCGGTGCTTAAAGATAATCTTCTTTCGTATTATATCCACCATGTCTATTTGAGATTGGGACCCGTCTTCATTGCACGGGATCTTGAGTAGCCCCAAAGGAGTGTCCAAATTGGCCATTGTTCCCACAAGTCTTTGGGAGTTTCCAATGAGTAGCGTGACTTTGGACTTGTCTTTTTCATCGAACCTAAGTTTTCCAAACTTGACTGCTTCGTGGATATCATCCACCGTGATATATTCAAGACCAGCACTTTTCTCTTTGGGTACGTTCAACACGCCTTGGATTTCTAGAAGTGAGCGCCCGAATGGTGTGGAGATCACTTCTGGTCCAGGAGCAGGGTCTTTCAAGCCCGGTAAAATCTGGCTGTAGTTGAGATTCACGCTAGGCATAGAGATTGAGATGTAAAATTAAAACGCGATCTCAAGAAAACAAAGAGGAACTCCAAGGTCCTTACATAAACCCAAATTATAATATATCGCACAAAAATTAACTACTTCGTAGCTTCAAGTTTACCACTGTAATCTACCCACTTTTGGCCAAGGCCCTGGTGGAGAAGAACGTAATTACACCAGTTTGGTGGTCATCAGATGGTACTAACCGCCGGGAATTTTGCTTGGTGACCGCATGGTGTGTGGGATGTGTCTTTGGTGAGCTCTTTACTCGCAAACCTATTTTGAGTGGGAAAACAGATTCTCACCGGTGTCAGATAATCTTCCAATTATTTGGCAGTCCTACCACTGACTGGTCCGGTTCGCTGGACCTACCGTATAAGACCGACTTGAATATTGGATTGACGTGCTGAAGACGAATACGGTCCTATTATCAATGATGCCCAAGAACTAGATTTGATGAGCCTTCTTTTGACCCTCAACCCACACAAACGGTTCAACACATTGGACGCCTTGGACCACCCGCGGTCGACGCACAGCTGACCAGACCGTCAGAATTAAACTTCGAAAAGCTCTATGAGATTGACAAGGAAAGATTTCAGAATATGGGAGAGAGGTCAGTTACCAAGAGAGAAAGGTCAGAACTTCAAACAGAACCTCAAAACACAGACTATCAGGCCGTCAGAGTCCAGGACCACTTCTCATCCTTCTGCGATCACCTCTCACCCCGAACTGCCCCGTATTCCAATACCAAAACCTGTATTTCATAGTACAAAACCAGATAATGCCAGCCCCAAGCAACTCAGTGGGATCTCCGTGCCAAAGCGACGCAAACAACGCCCGACAGAGCTCCTCGTCACAAGCAGGTCTCAGACTCAGACATATCATTAGGCAGAAGAGCGAACGGATGGACTTTGAAAGCGACTTGACCGATTTTGAGCAAGACATATCAGAGCGGAAATGAACGGTACTCAATCTAGAACGGTACCCTGTAAGTAGCGCTAGCCACGAAAACACCTGGTCAAACACATAAACACATTTTTAGAATCGACACTGTCCCCATAGAAACTGTCCCCAAAACGGAGCCATATACGATGACCGAGGGCGGGCTGGGAAATGGTCGAATTCCGAGGGTGTAACTTGTTTGATGGAAAAGATAAAATTCTGCGGTCGTCATCCGCATGAAGTGAGGCAAATCAGACATATTCCTATAAATTCAAACACAACTTAAGATTATGGCCACCTTGGATGGTGTTCCTCCTTTCAAGTGTTTCTCATCGTGTTGAGAGAAACCCTCGAACTGGCCATCAACGTATCAGTATTGTTGGCATTTCTACACCAGAGTTTCATCACTCCCCACACTGCGTATTCCAGGTTGGGTCTGGAAGAGATCGACACCGAAAACGGGATGAAGCCGGCACCGCCCTGGTGGAGGAAGGGCTGTCGGTTCACCCACTTGAAGCCGTCCCCGATGAGTCACTTACCATCCACAAATACTTGAGACTACAGGTCTAGATAGAAGGATTTTTGGGTTTGGTATGCTGCCTAATATTGGGATCTGTCATTTTAAGAATCTTCTACGTCATTGGAAATGACCTCTGGGCTGTGACTGAACACTACTGGGAAGGCACCTTTTCGATTGTTGCCAGCTCATCATTTCGGTGATGGGAATCAAGATCTTGCGGGTCGATAAGCTGCAGGAGAAATGGAAGGCTAAGCTCCATCATCCAGAAGTCGGACTTCCTCAATAAGGTGGTAGCAGTCCAGAAAGGGTCTTTTGGCGAGTCTGTCGATACGTATAGCGAAAAATATTCGATGTTCATTGTCCCCTTCATAATCACGTTGAGAGAAGGAATGGAAGCCATTGTGTTGGTTGGGGGCATTGGAATCAACGAAAACACCTCTGTGGCGTCCATTGTGATTTCCACTTTCACGGCCATAATTATAGGTACCATCATTGGGATCTTGCTGTATCGTACCGGGGACTCATTGTCTTTACGGTGGTTCAAGATGTGTTCCACTGGCCTTCTCTATTTAATTGCGGCAGGGCTTTTCAGCAAGGGCGTGTGGAATTTTGAATTGCAGAAATTCATCGACTGTTGTGAAGGGTTTAATGTGAAGGAGACGGGCCATGGGCCTGGGTCCTACGACATCACCAAGAGCGTATGGCACGTGATCTGCTGTAACGGGGAACTTCAGGACCATGGGGCGTTTTGAATGATAGCCACGGCCGTATCGGGCCCGGTCAACAGCGCAACGTACATATGTCTTGCTGGCTACTTGGGTTACAGGGTGGCTGTCAACTATGCGCTCACGTCATTGCTTTTTGAAGAACAGCACGGCTACTTGCCGATTATTACTATAAAATTGCAGAAAACGAGAATCAAAAAGAATTTTTTGGCCAATCAGATGATACACAATAATGTCTCCAGGGACAGCCTCAACTTCACCTCCGGTATGATGGCGTAGTTAGCAGGGTTTGAAAATGACATTGGTATTTTATTATTTGTGTAGACTCCTATGATTCGCTCTTTTCGGAACGATCGACGACCTAACGAGACTGACATGTGATCTTGCATATAAACGTGTGGGTTCAACAATAAAAAATTATCTGATCAATCTACTTGCAGGTGCCGTGGTTGGAAAGCTCATAACACCCAACATGTGACCGGCCCGAAGTTTGTCCCCGAGGCCCTAAGTGATATTTATTGACTAGTTGCTAAACTAGTGAAATATGCCAGCCTTATGCACAAATGTGTCTGACACTAAGTTGCCTCGGCTTGGCACCTTTTGACATGAGCCTCCTGTCAAAATGTCAAAGCAGGAACGTTTGCCCAGAAAAAATACCAAGAACAAACCTAGGATCCGCCTCAATGAGACCGCAGATCTGCAGACTTAACCAGGTTACGTCTTTTGGTTTTTCCAATAATAGCCAGTCACTGAAGCGCCTTTCAACCATTACGAGGCCGTTCTAGACCGGTTGAACCCCCATGGTTTTCTATATATAATGCTTGACCCGGCTAATTACAATCCCATTATTTATTCCAAGCTGAAGTTTACGTTTCAGATGCGGTTGCTGTGGCTCTTTTTAGGACTTTTCACTTTTTGCCATGCTCATACTCCATCTCCATTCGAGTACTATCCGGAGTCAGAACTAGCAGCATACTCATGTAACTACTACCTCCTGCATTTGGCTACCTTCTGTGAAGACCCCAATGTTTACCCGTGTTACTGTGCTAATAAAAACCTGATGGCCAGTTTTACGGGATGCCTTAACTTGGAAGGTGAATTGAAACCTGAAATTTTGAAAGGTGTAGCTGGTATGTGTGCCAAAAATTCTTACAATGTAACTGTTGACCAGCTCGAGGATGCTTATGAGTATTACAAAACGAGTGCCGTTTCCATTGACGACATTCCAAATTTCAACTTCTCTATTCCCGTGGATGTGCCTATTTTGGTCGACCGAGCAACTGTCATGGATTACAAGATCTCCTATATAAATTTCTTGGGAAACTACAACAATTCCATCTATTACGGCTCCGGATCCCTTGGATACTGGGCATTGGCTTTGCTCATTGCATCCATTGCCCACTGGACCAAGTTTTTGGCACCCGAGTTTGTGAAGAAAAGATGTGGAAGGTACACTAATTGGTTCCGGAAAAACCTCACCATGTCTGCCGTCAGTAAAACCCGAGCAGAGCCCATGAAGATTAAGGGCGTGGCGATAGCCCTTATCCCCACGAGATTGGAAACAGCGGTGACGGTGGGCTATTTGGTGGTGGTGATAATATGTGCTGGTTGCGAAATCAAGTATTATCCCCGTGAAATGGTCTTCGCCAGTAAGACTCAAGCGTTGGCGAGATACATAGCGGTTCGGACAGGGATCTTGGCATCATTTTCGGCACCGTTGTTGATTTTGTTTGCTGGAAGAAACAATTTTTTGCAGTGGGCTACCGGATGGAATTTTGCAACCTTTATTGCCTACCACCGGTGGGTGGGTAGAGTGGTATTCACACTCGTGTTGGTGCATGCGGTGGGATATACCATCACCTTCAAGGGTCGCTACGCTGAAGAAATGGCCGAAAACTACGTGATATGGGGAACCATTGCCACTGTTGCAGGAGGTCTCATTATGGTTCAAGGTCTTTTGGTGTTGAGAAGAAGGAGTTACGAGATCTTTCTCTTTTTGCACATAGTATTGGCGGCTTTATTCATAGGAGGTGCCTGGCTTCATGTCGACACGTTAGGTTACATCAACTGGTACTATGCTACAACAGCTATCTGGTGTGTGGACCGGGTGGTGAGAGTCATCAGGTTAGTACTTTTTGGGTTCCCCGTTTCCACCGTCCAATTGGTGGCCGGCGAAACCCTCAAAGTAATCACACCCAAACCATCGTACTGGAAGTCTGTTCCCGGAGGCCAC